CAAGTGATTACTTGAACATTTGGAGAAGCTGCATAAATTACAGTCGCCTCGATCAGTGATCAGTGATCAAAATTTGAAAAGCCCTATTCACCATTTTCTGTCTCCCATTCGACAGGCTCTCTTTGAAAAGCATTCATCCCTTCTTTCAAAAGAATAAGCATCAATTCACTTTTTTGATCAAGTTCTTTTAATAGCCCTGAAGCATCAAAAAAACGAGCTAATCTCATTAAAACCCATTTTTTGCGTTCTCGGGGGAAGTTCAATACTCAACCGCTAATAAGACTGTAGCGAAGATCAATTCTAACAGAATTTTGATTCTTTTCAAGGGCTGAAAATATGGCGCACTCAGCATTTATAATAATTAGATGCAGAAAGCTGAAAAACTGAAATATCGAGTTGAAAATTGAAAAATGATGATGGTGATAAATTATCTCAGCGGGATTTCAAAAATGAATTTTCTTAACAAAGGGTTAGGTTTAGATAACAAAATTGAAAATATATTTTTGAAATTTTATTTTTTGTCTTGATTTTCAAGCCGCACGCGGCTTTTCTGATTATATGAGCTTTTTTTAAGAAAACTGAATTTGGGTCAAATTCGAGAAAAGCCGCGTGGCGGCTTATTTGAAAATAAAGCCGCAAAGTTTATTCATAAAATGACGGCTTCATTTTCAAAATAGCCGCTCTGCGGCTTCAATAAAAGCTTCTGAAGGACCCTAAGTCAGATATTGAGACATCTAGAAAGCGGGCTCTCTTTTTGATAGAAAATTACTGTATAAAAATGTTACTTACTGTTAATTCTTCTGTTAAGTGTCCAAGGAATTCAAATCTCTTTCTTTTTTCTTCTTATTTGTTTTATTATTTTTTCTTATTTCTTCTTTTGTTTATAAAATCTCTTCGGATAAATGAAAAAACACCAGTTTAACTTGCTACAAAATCGTTTTCAAGATGGTTGAAAATTTTCCTTCTTGATCCTTATTTTTTTCAATCACACGATGATCGGCGTTCAGAGCGCGTGGCGCGCTCCGCGATTGCTCCACAGCGCCATCTTTTGCGCAAAGCGGGGATGAATTTTCGGGTGCGCTGCGGGAGAGATTTGACAAAATGTGCACGCGTTGTAGCCCCTAGCGCCCTCTGATAGTGATTTTTGATAATATTTTCAACAAGGGTTCTATAATTATAAAAATAAAAATTATACTGTGATATTTATCAGTATCTTAGGACGGAAAGAATTTATCTCTTCGGAATAATAGTTAAAATCGACTATAAATGTATTCATAATTCCATATTTTTATCGAAAATTAGCCACTTATGGTAACCTTATAATTTTCTTTTCTTTTGACTAAAGTCAAAAAAGAAATTTTTTAACAAAATATCGAAAGGAAAAAAGACCTGATTGTTGATGATAAAGATAGAAAATGATAATTTTTAAGTCAATTTTTATGAAAAATATCGCATTTTCCTAACCCCGAAAAGAGCATCTCAAATTCGCCAGCGTCTGATCCTCCTTCTTTTTCAATTCTCCGTCGCGGGGAGAAAAAAGGATGAGATGGAATTTCAGCGCCTTTAGAAAACTTTACCCTTTCTTTCTCGGGGGTCTTTGTTTTGGGAAATTTGAAATTTGATTGAATTCATTAGGCATGAACCAAGGCGCCGCTGCTGCAGCGCAGTAAATTGATCAAAAATTAAATCTTTATCGTTCCGATAAGCAAAAAACGGCGGGGATAACAGTTTTTATTATTCAATTACAATTTGGTAATTCTTGGTCTTCTTTATTTTTTCTGGAGAAAGCAAGTTCCAACGAGGATAAATTTAATTTCTTCTTTTCTCCCAGGGTCAATTTATCCTGAATTCTTTTGAAATTTCAGCTTATTTTTGGTTTTTTGAAATTTTTTACCTAAAAAATTGTGGATACAATTAAGGTGACCCCGTCTTTTATAATATAAGTTTTTCTGGGCTAGGAAACCTGTGAAGAAAATCTGTGTAAAAACCTGCGTTGAAAACCTGTGTTGAAAACCTTTGTTGAAAACCTGTGTAGAAAACCTGTACTGAAAACCTGAGTCAGGGTCCTAAAAAGCAAGAAAATGAAAAGATAGTTCTCTAGTTGACCTTGTCGTTATCTCATTTTATTGGCAGCGACTAAAATGAAAAGATTATGAGATGTTTTATTGCGAAGCCGCTTTGCGGCTTCGATTTTAGCTTTTTCAGGACCCTGACTCAGGTTTTCCAAACGACTTGCCGAGCCTAAGATTACTGTTTCCTACAGTAAGCTTTACGGCTTTTTGGGATGACCCTCGGTTCGCCGGGATTTTCCCCTCATCCTCGGTTCGCCGGGACTTTTTGGCCCGAATCCCGGCGAACCGAGGATGACCATTTCGATGTCTCTTGAACGCTAATTTTTGTTGATTTTGCCGTTTGGGAATGTTGTGATCGTTCACAAAGTACAAGGTAGACATAGAATATAATAAAAAATTATTTACTGTAAGAAATTATTTACTGTCCCTTACCTAGGGGCTCCGCCCTAGGTCCTAAAATGCCGGGGTCTAGTCTAGGGTTACTTAGGGTTACCTTCAGTAACCCTAACTAACCCTAGCCTATCCCCTCGGGAGACGTTGTTCTGTCATTTTGCCCAGTGCCCCCTAACCCTTACATTTATTTATATGAAGTGAACGATAACAGGCTCGTTCTAGACCTATTTCGCGAAATTTTCTAGAACAATTTTCACCATCCTCGGTTCGCCGGGACTTTTTGGCCCAAATCCTGGCGAACCGAGGATATCCCGGCGAACCGAGGGTATCCGGCTTTTTGGGCAAAAAGTTTTCAAAAAGATCGATAAGGGCTTTGCCCAGCAGGAGCTGAAAAATTTCATCAAACACCCTCCCCCACCCCGTGACTCAAAAATCTTCAAAGCCGTTCCCGCGCAATCCGTTTGATTGTGGTCCTTCAGAGAAGAAAGCAATTTTGCCTTCCTTTCCTGCAGCGAAAAATTTGCGTCCGCGTGAACGCATTTTCCCATAAACCCCATATTTTCGGTGCCCTTGTTGTTTTTCAAGAGCGGGCGATATTTTGAGAGGGCGATTTTGGAAGAATAAGTTTTGATAAATATCGGGGGCGGATTATCTAACGCGAAAACGGTTTTGATTTCAAGGGTCAATAATTCTCCTTCTTTGGGAATGAAATTGAGCATCAATATTGTTGAAAAATCATGTGGAAAAGACAGTCAGCTCCGAAACCAGTGTAGAAACCTTAGTCAGGGTCCGGAAAAAAGCCTCAACTTTCTATCAAAGCCTTTTCAGAACCCTGACTCAGGTTTCTACTCAGGATTTTTGGACATGATTAGCAAGACCCCTTTTTTCAACATCTCCATCTTATTGTTCTTAATTTGCAAGAGCCACTTAAAATTTCTCGAGCAAAAACAGGTGCTTCGAAAAAAAGAGGGAACTTCGCGGTCGAGCGAGCCCAGTTGGCTAATGTGTGAATTTCTCGAGGAGCGACTTATGCAAAGTAGAGATTGTGTTTTGCGAAAGTATTGTTTACTAAAAAATGCAATCCGGGTCACGGAAGCTCTTGTCCAGCTGGTTTTTTGAGATGTGATTTTTTCTCTGTTTGCTGCTATTTTTTTTTTGCTGTTTATGGCGATTTGGAGCAACTTGATCGCTATCTACAAGGATGAGTTACAGTAGCACTTACTGTAAACATCGAAAAAAGGAGAAAAGAGCCATTTTGACGAGGATTTCGTTCAAATTATTGAAGAACCTTCAGGGCAATTAGCCCGATTCTCGAGCCGACATTTCTACCCGCGGAAATGTCTTTTTGGGAGTGATAAGAAATCCGCGTTGGATACCGTTTAGTAGGTTATCGCTTCAGAGATCCTCTTCTTTCTAGTGAAAGATCGGAAGCGAGCTAAATCGAGCTAACGAGCTTAGTCGTTTCCGGCGAATCGGATCTCGGACAATTCGACTGCTCATCACCCGCTGCGATTATTGGTGATAAGGGAAGGGGCCTTCCCGACCGGGGGAGTCGTTAACCTCTGGGACTTGTTTGAGCGGGATTTGCCTTAGAAGTTATATTCAGAACTTGCTCTAGAAAACAGGAGAAAAAGAAACAATCGATTATTTTCCGATGATTATGCAGAAAAAAGTAGTTGGTAAGTAATTAAATATACATTTAAAAAAGTGCCACGTTATAATTATGTTCCGAGCCATATTTAACGTATTGGACACATGTAATGCTGTTGGCGGAACAAAGCGGAAGTCGAATGACGCTGAGTTATATTTATAGAATTCTCAGAGTTTCGCGAGCTTTGGCGAATTATGCTTTTAAAGATTCCTTTCTCCTTTTTTCAAAAGCATAATTCGGCATTCGGTGGGTGTATCTAACGAGTTTATCCCGTTGACTCGATGAACAGTGTGTGCACACGGCGATCACCAAAAACGGATTATGCGACCTGTGCGGAGATTTGCGACGAATATAAACGCCAATTTCCCACTCAGAATATTCGCAAGTTCGACTTTGCTCGTTTTCGCTGACTCTTGTTTTGTAAATAATTCATTATTCAAAAGGGGCTTCTGACTGTTTCTTCCTACAGTAAGGCCATTCAATAAACCCTGAAAAAAGATTGCCAAAAAGTTGGCAGAATCGCGCAAAAGGGTTAAAATCGTCTAATTCAAGAAGCCAATTTGCCCGACCCAAAAAAGATCACGGCCATAAATTCATTCACCGATTATGAGCTAAAATTTGCAGATCAAATACTTCTGGCTTGGGCGGGAGAAAATATTTTCCCTCAAAATGTCAGCGCCGATATCTGAAATGTCCGAAAATTTGAGGTCAATAGAGCATTTCCGAGCGTGACGCGATTACGTTATCCATTCCGGTGCAAACAATAAGAAATTGATATCACCTGCGCTTCCGGATTTCGGCTTCGATGCGAATTGGTAATTGTATTTTGAAGGAAAGACAATTTCAGCTTGAATTATTTATTATCAAGTAAGTAATTGAACTGTTCAATCCCAACAACTGAGATTGTCGCATACTGTTCTGTTGTAAGAATCAGGATTGTCTGCCAAAAATTCCATGCAATTTCTTGGTCCAATACTCTCATTGAAGTAGCTAAAATAAAGTTATTTGTAAAGAGTAATTTGTAAATATAAAGTATATCAATTAGTAATATAGTATTTACAGTATTTAATCTGTTTATAAAAAGAATATTTTTTACTGTTTATATAAGTAAGGGGGGGGGGTTCGACGAGAATCGGGATTTCCGTGACCAAAAATGCGGGAAAACCGGATAAGATTGGGAAAATCTGAGGATACTGTTGGCGAAAACTAGAAAAAAAATTTGCCGGAAAAAATCGGTCGAAAATCCCCTGAAAGTAGGGGCATTTTCGCGAAAATGCACCGAAAATAGCCATCTTTTTACATTTTTCTTAATTTTAACCCCTTAATCTCATTTTTATGAATTTTTTTAGGGTCAAAAAATTCGGGATATTCTGAAAATTCTAAAGATATAAGTTTCATACACTGTTTATGATATAAAGACTATGTGAACAAGCGAAATTACGATCATCCCTGAAAAATTTCTCGACGCCCCCCTTAAAATAAAGAAACGCCTAGCGCTAAATTTTGTCATTTACCAATCTTCGCCACAAGTAAAGCAATCCTGAGGCCACCCTGGACAAGTCCTGCCATAATTTATGCCACCAGTACAGTCACCTTATTTAACTTTCATAAAAATTTATAAAGAGGTATTTACCTGCTTTAATATTCTCGCAAAAATTAACGCATCCTTCAGTAGACCCATTAAACCATGTCGTGTAAGTGACGTAAGGAGGTGTAGTTGAAGTCGTTATTGCGGAGGTTGACGAAGTTGTTGATGAAGAAGTTGAACTTACGCAAGGGCATTCTCGCATTTGAGCAATCTCAATATTTTGGCAATCTTCATAGCATGAAATGAATGGTGGGCATCCTTTCATACATTCATTCTTATAATTAAAGAATATTTATTTTTGCCTCCGAGAAATTACATGATCCAATATGGCATTATCCCGACAAGTTTTGTACTCTTCGTTATCTTCCTCAGCGTTATCGCATCGCGAGCAAATCTCATTTTCGCAGCCTTTGCATCCAACAAGACAATTTTGACCACAGGGACAGTATGCCTCGCAATCTTTTATTTAAAGTCGATTGGATAAAGAAATTTGCCTTACTTGAAAAGGTGGAAAGGCAGAAGCTGTTACAGCTTGCGCTATCACAACTTGCAAGACACCCAAGGTAGTTAAGCCGACATGATGTTACACACTCATCATACAATTCCCGATCTCTTTAACATACCAATATAATAAATGCTTAAAAAAGTAATCACTTACTGACAAAACTCCTCTCTAAGATGGTCTTGAGGCTTCGATTCAAATTGTCCAAGAAAAAAGAAAACGAAAATTCTCATTTTCTAAAATGTTTTGAACAATTTTCGCTCCTTTTTATTAATAAAAGCTCTTAGATTAAAGGACTATAAATTTTTCTTGTCGAATTTTGCGTGATGAAAAGAATAAAACTATCATTGAATTTCATTGGAATGGTTTATGACTCCTTCAAGTTGAGAGGTTCCCAAAGATTCAAAGGAGAAAAGAGCCCTGATAGATTTGGTTTCCTATGAAATGTTATAATTTGAATAATATGATATTATTAATATCTATATTTTTGCTCCTTTATTACTAGTAGGTGAGATTTGAAAGTTGTAAATTTTATTGTAAGTTAAACGCGTCAAAAATATACGAGATTGTCGTTATTCTTATCTTCGTGCTCTCTGCTCTGAGATATTTTACGACAGGCCCTGATCTCCGCTACACGTTTTTCTGATCCGACGACAGAGAAATCGTTTTACTTTTTCAGCAGAAAATACACTCCAGGGAATTTATTCACACTTCCTGTTTTCGGCCGCTTTTTGGTCTCTTAGGGTCATCTGGCCAGACTGGCGCCCACGTGACATACAAAAATTTTGGAAAGAGAAAATTTGAAAAAGATAAATAAGAAAGCGAAGAAGTTTTTATGGAGAATTGTAATACGAATTGCACAGAAGCGTGTTCCCTTACTTTCAGGAAGGAATGAAAAAATTCTTTTTACTGTTAAATTTGTGCTAAAAATCGAGGAACCGCTTGCGGCTTCTAATAAAACTAGGGAAAAAGCCGCGCTTCTCGACTTTCAGGAACAGTTTTGATCGGAATTCGAGTCGAAAATGACAGTATGGGTATTAAAAATGACGATTCTCCTTGTTGATTTCAACAAATTTTCCCCCTCTTCAGTACTGGTTGAGTCCCTAAAGTCGACCTACCAGGACTGGATGGCCGAGCGGTCTAAGGCGTTGGATTAAGGCTCCAATCTCTTCGGGGGCGTGGGTTCGAATCCCACTTCAGTCAAACCTTTTGTCCATTCCATCCCTTAGCCCTTATCTCCACAGCCTCTCAATCTACCTTTACGAGCTTGCATGCTGCCAATGCGAGAGCTTCGAGAGTTTTTGCGAAGAAGAGCGCTACGGGTACACTGAGTTCTATCGCGGGAGCTACGCGCGGCTTTGCAATCCGAATCAATTTCATGAAATCTGCGGGGATGAAGTTAGCGATCTGCCAGTTTTGAACAATCCAGCTTTGTATGCTAATCTTACGGATAATCAAGCGAAGTTTACGAGAAAAGATGAAGCAGCTTGTCCCTATTTGAAATCTTTCGATGGAACGAGGAACTATGATGAATGGTTTCACTTTATTTATCCTGCCTGCCCACCAAGGTAGAACTTATGTTCTTTGAATTTTTTACTTCTTGTTTGCAAAAGATATTTTTGTCTAAAAAATCATCAAAAATAGATTTTTAATAAGAGGATTCGTGTTCAAAAATTAAAGAAAAAACCATAATTTGTAGAAATTAAAGTTTTATAAGTAATTTTTATTTCGATTGATATTGAATCTATTTAATTAGTTGTATTAGGATATATTATCTAAACCGAAGTAGAATCAATTCAAATTTGAATATTTATTACTAGAACACTCTATCGTTCTTTACAGACTTTTAGCGCGTTCGGACTCTCCCGGTCGCAGTGACGCGCTTTTTTTAAGGTTGTGCAAGTTATTTCTCTCACTTTTTCAATGAAATGCCCAGAACACCATATATATTTGGAATCAGTAGGAAAAATCTAGAAACTTGACCTTTTTAGTTTTTCGAAAATCACTTCCGGTTGCGATTCTAGAGCCGGAAGTTGACGAAATTTAGCAGTTAAGATAAAATGAGACCTATTAAATTAAAGCCCAGAAAATTCTGAGTCATTTCATAATCAATTCAGTCGAAAAAAAAGTCTCAACCCCGGTCAGATCGACCGGTAAAATCATGAAAGGAGGCATAAATTATTGAAATTTTCTTCATTTTTTACCGGTTAGTTTGGCCGCGGTTCGGTTAAATTCCTTTTCCAAATAACTAGAAATGTTCTAAGCTTTAATTTGGTATGTCACACGCATGAATTTCCTAGAAATCTCAACAACTTCCGGCTCTAGAATCGTAACCGGAAGTGATTTTTAAGAAACAAAAAAGGTCAAGTTTCTAGATTTTTCTTGCTGATTCCAAATATATATGGTGTTCTGGGCATTACATTGAAAAAATGGGAGAAATAACTTGCACAACCTTAAAAAAAGCGCGTCAGTACGACTCTTCCTACTGGACCCTTTCTTCCATCCTTCCTTCTTCCTGCCTCAACCTTCAAGTCTCGTATCTCGTCATTTTCGCCATCCTCGCAACCCTCATCACCATCGCAAACGTCCTCGTCATCCTCGTCCTTTCCCGCGACAACTTCTATCACAACTCCTACGGCGTCTACAAAATGAGCCTGGCAATAGCAGATTTGATGATTGGCCTCATTGTCCTCCCTTGTTTAATCGGGTTGAGATTTCATGTAATGTTCAATGTCAAACTTCCCTGGCGAGAATATGGACAAGTTCCGAAATCAGCGGATTATTTCAATCAAACGACGCTCGATGTTCTCGGTTTTTTCAATATTTTTTCGCTTTGCATCTCTATTCTGACACTGACGTTTTCAAGGTAAGACAAAGAGGGTGTAAAACCGAGAACCCCTATTTTTATCATAAAAATCTACTAGTTTTGATCGATATTTGGCCGTCCGATTCCCGATGAAATACAAAAATTCCGAAACAGGCGTCAAAGTCTTGACGATCGTTTCAATCAGTATGGTTTGGATTCTCGCTCTCTTCCTTGCTATCACTCCCTGGCTCAAAGGTGGAATGCGCTACGTACTGGGTCCGACACAGATGGTCGTCGGAGTCATTCCTGGAGCTGATGAGAATTTTCCGTATACTTATGTTTGGACGGAGATTTTCTATGCTGCGATCATTGCTACGCCACTGGTGGTGGTTTGGATTGTCAATTCTGCTACGATTTGGGAAATTATTGGCGATGATTGCTGCGCGTTTTTCAGGAAAGAAATTAAAAGATGAAGTCGCCATGAATACGGGACTTTATCAAAATTTTTATACAAGGACACTGTTTTGTTGCGATGGAAGATTCTGCAAAACTGCTCCAAGAGAGAGCCGAAGACCATCTGCCTTTGGTCACGTGCCGAAAAAGCATCAGAAGCAAACGTTTGAGATCAGAATCGCGAAGACATTTCTTTCAATGACTGCGGGTAAGTTTTTTAAAACCATAATAGACCTTTTGATGAGAAAAGTTTATAACAAATGCGCAGAAGGTTAACTCGATTGTTATTTTAAAGACTCGTCTGTAGTTGCGTCATTAGGACTGCCGTGTATTAGGACTCAAATTTGATTTTAACAGATTCTTTTTGAAACACGATTCCTTCCATAAATGATAAAAACTATTTATAAGCCTTTACTCTTTCACTTCTTCCAATGGGCCTGGTCAATCTCTGGTTCTACCTCGACCCAGAATCAACAAATCCTCATAGCCTCCACTTCAACCCTCGCCTATCTGCTGCTCGCGAATTCTTCGACCTTTTCGGTAACTACCTCATCCATTTAGCAGTACTGTCAGAATTTCTCTAGCTGCCTTTTGCCTTTTTGGAAATTCGTTTCATAACTGCTTGATTTATACAATTAGAAGTCCTCGTTTCAAGGTAAGGATCTTCTGAAAATAAACCCTTTCAAAATTGCATTTAGCGTAACATGAGCGAAATCTGGCAAAATATCCGAATGTGTTGTCATAAAAGAGCGCAGCGCATAAGAAGATCATCAGTTTGGTCAATTTTGACGGAAAAGCGAAAGTCTTTGAGCTCAATCACGATTCCCACTAGACTGAGTGGCAGCGAAAGTTCAGAAGAAACAGCGATCAAGGTAGCGATTCTAGCAAGTTATCGGCCAAAAAACGATTTTTAGACAATAACACCTCCCAGCAAAACTTTCAACTCCGATAGCCTTCCTTTGAGCATCGCAAATTTACAACTGCATCAAGCCCGCGAGAAATAAAACATGAACAAAAATAATAAAGTTAGAATTTGTTTATTTAGTAATCAGGTCGAGAAGAGGGAACAACAACTGCTTGTTCATCGAAATAACCTTGGTAGTGAATTTCTGTCGAAATCATCATTCCCTCGTCTTCAGGGGTCATTTGCTTGATTCTCAGTTCCGCCCAGCGTCCATTTTCATCGATGGTGATTTTTGATCGGCTTCGGAGAGATGCTGGAGCGGAGTCATAGTAGGAAAGCTGCCTGGACTTGAACAACGAATACATTTTTCCGGAGAAAAGGAAAGCTTACCTGGCCAATGTAGTTGGCAAAGACTTCACTGTTGATTCGCCAGTAAATCTTCAGCTCTCCATTTGCAGCGATGCCATTAAGCGGGAACCAGCTCATTCTAGCGACGATTGTATCTCCATTGCTGATGCGAATATCCAAGTCAGATTTCAGCGGATTGCATTCTTCAGCTTGGCAAGGCTCGGATTTTGACTAGCAAGAGCTTTCAACTAGCAATAGAGCAGATAGTAAACGGGAAATTTTGAAGCTCTGCCTGTACGAGTTGTCCTTTATCGCCACTAGTGGAAACTGAAGATGCTCCACGAGCCATTTCGTCGACCTCGCAGGTGAGAGACTCTACTCCAGGTTGGCAGTTTCGACGTTTTTCTCTGAAAGGCTGAAAACATTACTTTCAATCATTTTGCCGAAGACCTACCATGGATCCAGTAACAGGATTGATGCAAGTAGCAGAACAAGCCGACCATTCACCCCACTCGCCCCAGGAAGGCTGTAGCCCATTTTCAACACATTTTCTCTGATTTGCCCTAATTAATCAAAATTGGTTAAAAAAATACTTTTTGTTCTTACGTTGCTGGATATTTTTTCTTGCAATCGACGACCAAATCATACAATCTCTGGCCTCGAATTTCCTCATCAACAACCTCGTACGCCTCATTCGCATTACAGTCCTCTTCGATGCATTCTCGTTCCCAGTTTCCATCTTTGGTCTCTTCAAAAAACTGCCATGCTCGTCGAGTTCTGCTCAAAAATGCATTTGCTTCTTGACTGTCAGCGAGAAATGGACTTGCTGAAACTCCAGCGAGAATTGTCGTCGAAATTTTCTACGAATCGATCAAGAAAAAGTATGAAAGAAAAGAGCCTACCATAGTTCTGATCTCTAGTTAGGTTCTGAACTCAATGATCCGTATGAGGACCAAGGTCTGATTATTTGTTTTGTCTGAGTGATAGTTCAGTAGAACATCTTATTGACAATTTGACTGTTGATCCTGTTATCTTCATGTGACCATTCTTGAGAATCTTTCAGATCGATTTTGGAACGAAATTGAAAGATATTGTCAGTCTGTTGAGTTATATTTATTGCAGTGTAGTTCTGCTCGCTTCTAGCAATTGTACTCCTTTCTAGAGGCATCCCAGGCATTGATGACCTTATTCCAGTTGCCATAGCCTCGAGAGGGCTTCTGACAAACGCTGTCGAAAATGGTCGCTCCATCATAATATGTTTTGGAGAAGGATTCGACGGACATGAAGTTGTCAGCTAAAATTGAAATGAAATTTTCCAACGGATTTCAGAAAAGGTCTACCTGAGGATTGTTTTTGGCCAATCTCATTTTTTTGCTCGTAAACCCACGAATAGTTGTTGTTTTCGGGCCCGTTAATTATGGTTAAAGATAAGTCGGTCCGTTAAAATTACAGTTAACTTTTGTAAGAGGACTTTTGACCAGTCCCTGTGTAACAAAATGCATGCCAGTAAAACTCTGGAATATCGATTATATTCTTTGTTGATGCAGGCCTATAGTTCATTGACCCGTACAATCCATAAGTTCCAACAATGATCCAAACATATTCATCTTCTATTTCTCGTTCCATGAATTCCCTGACCATGCATTCGAGCTGATTCCAAGCCCCCTTGTTGAAATCGCCGAATTGTGGGCTGACATTGGTGAGGGTGAAGGTAGAGTTGGCTGCATCTTTCACTTGGTTAAGCAGGGCATTTGGCATCAGATGGCCCCGGTCGATGCTTAAGTCTTGAGTGTTCCCCTTGTAGTCTTCGTCCTGAGTTGGTATCATAAATAATAACAAGTAATAAAGATGCACCTGTGGTTGCCATCAATCACACTCATTAGGACTCTTAACTTCGTCAAGATTGCAATAAAAAGAGGTGTCAGATGGAGGAGTGTTAGTTCCGCAAAGACCCTTGCACATCTTAAGCCAAACTGACTTAGGTCTTGGCTTGGGACCGCTGTTGGCAGGTATGAATTTGTCAGGTCTGGGGTAGGATTTTCCATTCTTCGTTCGGCTATTTTTACGATAATAAAGAGCCGGAAATGGGAAAATAGGGGGTTCACCTTATCTTGATGGCGGAGTAGACAGGCAAGTTAGTGTCCGTGTTGAATAGTGTAGCGAAGTAGTGATCTTTCCCATAGTTATTTTGACAGAGTCTTTATTGTGGTTAAGGACAAATATGATTGAGTAAAGTAACCTTCTTATACAAGTTAACTTGTTAAAACACTTTCAACACGCTTCCTGACTGTTTTACCACTTTGAGCTCCGACAAGCATATTTTGAAGAGGCCATTCTGCACCAGGTCTGAAATAATCGGGACCACAGTTCACTGGGGTTTGCAAGCTGCTTTCTGCAGAAACTTTGTCCTGCTTTTCATTCCTAGTTACAGCTGGCATCCCATTTTCAACACAGTTACTTTGACTCTCCCTCGTATTGTGTTTTTCTTTACAGTCATTTAGCAAATCGAACAATCTATCGCCTTGTTCCTCATCGTCAACAACCTCATACGCCTCATTTGCGTTACAGTCCTCCTCAATGCACTCTCGCTCCCAATTACCGTCTTTGAGTTCTTCCATAAACCCCCAGGCTCGTCGAGTTCTGCTCAAAAATGCATTTGCTTCTTGACTTTCAGCGAGAAAAGAGCTCGCTGCTACGCTTGTCAGGATTACGGTTGAAAGTTTCTAAGGGCCCGTAAAAGAAAAATAGTAAAAACTGACCTTACCATGATCTCTTAAATGAGCTGAAATGGGAATAAATTCGAGTAAGAAGAGTCTGATTATTTGCTTCTGAACGACTGACTAAACAGAGGAACTGTTTATTTACAACTGGTTAAACTGGAATGAAACATGCGTACTGAGTTGATCAGATGAGTTATGAAACGGCATTAGATCAAATTGAAGGTATATCCAATAAATAATTTATTTTGAAATAAGTAATTTTCAATTGATAGAACTTTGCAACACATAATTTGTATGTTCTGTATAATCAGGCAGATTGAGTCAAGAATTTCTACAGTTCAAGTCGTTGAGGGGATGAATTTAACTATTGAGGCATCCTCGGAGGCCCTGGGCGACGGACATGATCATCGCGAATGAAGCGCCCATTGTCATTGCTTGTCTAAAAAAGGATGAGCTTAGGGCTCCAGGATTAAAGTCCTCTTACCGGCTGGTATTCTTTACGAGAGCCATTCGTCGCTGCCCACCAAAGAGTCCCCCAGCAAAGCCAAGAACAGTTCCAGCGGCGCCACCAACTCCGCAGCCCATGATGCCGCCCATCATGATTGACTGAGTGCAGGGGCTCATTCCTCCGGCCTGGCTCATTCTAGATCGAACAGGACCATGAGAAAAATTGAACATAGAGTTGATCTAGTAGAAAGGCAGTAGTAAGTCGTGAAAGAAAATAAGGAAAAACTTGGAAAATGTACATGTAAACTTGCACAAAAAGAAGATGTCTTGTTGTAACTTTCTAGCTTTCTGAAGGCTTCTCATTTGTTTCGACAGGAGGTTGGTCCGTTTCCATAGCTTCTGAAGATGATGCTTCTTCGGTTTTCACCGCATCGCTAGAAGCTGCGGCTGGAGCGGCAGTTTCTTCTGGAGCCTTGGGAGTTGGGGTTGCTTCTTCCTGGGAAACTGGTTCAGCCTTGACTGCTTGTGATTGAGCTTCCATTTTGGCAGGTTCTGAAGCTAGAGTTGGCACTTCAGCTGCTACTGGTTTATCAACGTTTCCAACGAGCTGATTCATCGCGGCAAGAGGATTTTGCGCTACAGGAGCAGCGGAAACTGGAGCAACAGGAGCTGAAGCATCTTCGGTACTGACAGGCTCTGTTTTTGGAACATCGAGAGCTTGACGTTTAGTTGGAGCGGGAATGTTCGTCTCCATCTGCTCCAATTCTGCTTCGTTCGATTCCGAGACGCCGTTATTTTCCGTCTTGATTTCTTTCTCTTCTGCTGCTGCTTGTTGCTGAGGTGGATTCTTCGCAGCTTCTTCAGCGGCCAGTTTGGCTTGTCTCTCAGCTTCAAGTTTCTTGAGACGAGCTTTTTCTTCTTCCTCTTGGCGGCGTTTTTCTTCCTCTTTTTCTCGCTGTTTTTTGAGGTCTTCTTGCTTTTTCTGAAAAAACGGCTCACCCTTTCATTCAAAGTAGCGGAAACCTACCGTGTATTCTTTGAAGTATTCTTGTGGAGTCATTTCTGCGAGTCTTTTCCACTCCTAGAAATAATTACAGTCATTATTTGACGAGAAAACAGCCGTTTACATTTTCAAGATCTTCGGAGTTCTGCTCCCATCGTCGCTTCTTTGCTTCGTGTTCCTGTTTTGCTGAATCGATGTCGTCTTTTTTCTGCGCGATGCTGTTCGTCAGGCTCTAGAATGATATTCTTAAAGGGTCTTTCATGAGTGGTTTACGTTTCTGTGGTAGTCCAAGGCTTGAATCTGGTCCGCGCGCATGATTTTCATGTGATTGTTGACATTGTTGTCGGACAAAATCTCCAGCATGTGGTACGTATTCCGGTGATATCTGAAATTCTGGTAAGGAAGGGACAGAAAGAAGGAAGTACCTCATGGCATGAACTGCTCGATTGCTGCAGCTGTTGTCATCTGTAGCGACATCGTCGATAGGCTCCATGGAAAAGGTCATTTCGTCGTCGTCTCGGACTTCTGCCGAATCCCAGCGTTGTTTTTGCTAAAAATGACTCTTATTCCCGCTCAAAAGGAAATCATTTGGCACTTCAAAGGCCTGAGAGTCAAACTCCAGTAGGTTCTGGAACCTGTGAATTAACCCGAGTCCTGTTTTGCCAAAGATGAATATTTTTCGACAAAGGTTGCTTCGCTCCGCGCTCAAGAAAAAGCTGAATTACCTGAAGATAGTTCTGATACTGTGGCGAGCTGTAGTATCGCTTAACAAGCTCATGATACTGCTTCTTTTCTGAAATAAAACAGTCAATTCGAAATTCAAAGAAATACAACAGACCCGCATCATATCCTTGAATAAAAGTCTCGCGTTCCTCTTCCGCCGCATCGCGCCACATCTTCGCGATGAACTTGGAGATCTCCCACATCTTCATGTCCGGATTGTTCGTTTTCACCGTGTCCCAGTGTTTCTGAGAATATCTGACAAAGGGGGCGACTGGTTTCTCCGGCATCTTCGGCGCCCGTGGAGCTCCGTTTCGTCCTCGATGGTGGCCAGGAGTGAAGATGATCTTTTGCTGAGCAGGGTGAGCTGGGGGAGCGTTGCCGCTAAGGTACGCTGCCATGGAACTGTTGTCATTCTTTCGCGGCATTTTCAATCTGAAAGGATTCGATTTAGGTTTACTTAAATCTTTGCTCTTTCGGAACCATAACTCAGGTTTCATGTGATTGTATAAAGAAGAATAGATTTTCATTAAATGTATTAAGAATTCAGTTCTTTTAAAAAGTCGCGAACAGTTTCAGTATTTCTTTTTTGATAATTATCCGTTTCAGATAAAAGAGCAATTTTATATGCTTCATCTGCTTGCATCCCTTCGTCGTAGATAAACTCCTGTAAGCCAGGGAAATTCCTGAGAATGAGGACTAATTCTTGGCGGACTTCGATAGGGACTTCCGCTCGGCGAGAGAGAAGGAAAATAAAGAGCTTTCGTTGATTTATCGAGCTGCCCAGGGGGATGTCTTTGAGCAAGTGAAGTGTGTAGAGAGAGAAAAGCGGGAAACGTTCCAGGTATTCAACGAAATTCTCCATCGCGAAGGCTCCTTTTGTGTAGGCTTTCTTGAGATCAGAATTTAGTAAAGTTTTGCGACAAGGTTCCTTCTGATTCAATTATAATTATTTCAATATCGTTCCAAACAGTGCGATCCCTACAGAAGCTAAGGTTTCATTTTTCGAGGTTTCTTACATCAATCTCTACCAATTAATCGTATTCTGAAGCGAGTTATGGCCTCCAGAATCGGTTTTATCCGATACGATTTCGATCTTTTCCTGATAAGCTAGTCCCCATCTTTACATCTTCAGTTTTAAACTCATTGACGACGAAGTGAAGAAAATTTCTGGCAGCGATAATTTTGAACTTCAGCTCCTCATCTTTCTTTGACTCAATTAAAATAACCTTTCCTAGAGCGAAAGTCATGATATTTTCTTTGCTTCTTTCAAGAAAGATCGGCTTTAGTTGTTCATAATCGTAGTTTTTCTCGATGATGATTTGAATGAATTCTTTTGCCGCTGATTCGCCGATTTTGAAGAGTTCGAGTTCTTTGAGGTAGTTTTCAACGACGTTGTATAAAATGCTGACAAAAACGACGGAACTAGCGAGCCAAAACGACCAAAAAGCTCGTTTCGCCGTTGTCGGAGCTTTTGAATACCCTGCGACGTCCATGGCGATTCGCTGTAATCCATGAACTCTTGCTTCTTCGGAAGGAGTTAATTGACGATTTTTGACGGAGGCTTCTGTCAGGAGCTTCGGATCCTGGACACGGAATTTGGAAGGGATGAGCGGGTTCGAACCGATTGTTGAGAAGCGTTTTGAGATCCGAATACGATGCATGAGTTCTAGGAGGTGGAAATGAAAGGACTTGGAATTGAAGAATAGTTATAAGTACAATTGATAAGAAAAGTATAATAGAATTGAATAATTCAGTTTTACAGACAGAAGCTTTTGGGTTTTATTGATTTTACAGTAAGACAAAATTATACACCTCGTCCTGCTAGTTGTTCAGAAGCTCTCTCAAATCATCATGGTATTTTTCGACGTATTCGTCGATCTTTGGAAACTGCCCTTTCGGCGAGAAACCGAAGTAGTGTGAAAACACGACGACAGAATGAATCGAACCGTCCATCACGAAAAGATCGCTTTTTCTACCGTTCCGCAGAAGACGAGAGTGGAACATTTGTCCGTCGTTTTTGAGCACATCGCAATCGCAAACGGAAATTTTGCATTTCGGGAATGATTTCAAAGCGCTTTTAGAGATTTTTTATCAAGAGAAACGTATTTACAGTGGTTACCCATCTTAAGAGGCCCTAACTTAAGAGGACTTTTGCGTCAATTTGGCTAATTTTGTCATCCTAAAAAGTTCCAACTTAAGAGGACTTTCTTGATGATTTTTATTAAATTTCGGGAAATAAAGAAACTCGAAATCTTTGACTGCTTTTCTGGCCATTTTGAAGACGATGGCTTTGCAAAATACATAGATCCTGTATCTCTTTGTCATCGGGGAAGTTTTCATCGATCATTTTTCGTAACCATCTCGCGACTCCACGAAGTCTCATTTTATATTGGCGTTTCGGGTATAGTTGCTTGATTTTTTCTTCGAGCTTTTGCATTGATGCAGATTTCTTCTGCGTGAGTTGGTATTTGTGCTTCGTTTTCGATGACAGGATCGTAAACCTTTTGTTATAAAGGTTTGTAAATGTACATTTCGGAATATCTTGTCCATGCTCTTTTCGATAGAGCTCATTTACAGCCTTTTTAGCATTTCTTTTGTTTGCACCTTTCACCAAAATCTCTGCATACTTTTTTTTCTCGGCCATCGTCATGCGAATTCTCTTTTCGGACATGTTTCCAGCAAAATATTTTTCGAGGAATGAACAAGTTAAAGTTAAAAACATAAGTGCGCGCCTTGTTCTGGAAACAATAATCATGATCAATTTTTCCATCAAATGTCCAAATTTTGACTTCAGTAATGCTGCTTAGCTTCGACATTAGTGAGAAAAGAATTTTAAAATATGTATTCCTAAATTGACTCGAAATGTTCTAACTTAAGAGGACTTTCTCTCAGCCCTTGTCATCTCAAAAGGCCTCTTAAGATGGATACCAACTGTATATGCGAAAAATGATCAATAAAAACCTTCCTGTCAGGAATGATGAGCGGCGTAAAAAGCGGATCTACCATCAACTTCGACCACTTTTCCCTCAATTCTCTCTTCTCCCCCCTCAATTCAGAACCGTCACAGCTTGATTCCCTCTTCTTCCAGCCTTGAAGCTCTTCTTGATCGAGAAAGTTGGACGGATCAGAGTACGAGTTTTGTTCTTCCGTAAATTGGGTAAAATCGAAGCACTCATTCTTCGATATCATTTTGATCTTCCAAGGAGTGACTTCTTCGCCGATGAACCAGAGGAGAAAGTGGGCCATTGCGTCGAAAGTTAAGGGCGGGTAACGACGATTCCGCAGCTGACTGAAAGTAGAAATGAGATAAAGAAATCGAAAAGCCGTTTTCCCACGATTGTTTCCTTTACCTTGGAGTATCAAGAGGTCCACCAACCGCAGGATACATCAAATGAATCCCACTTGCCTTAAACTTCGAGTTCCTGATCAGCATTCTGTACCAAACTTCAACCGACATGTATCCGCCAGCGGAGTCGCCGGTGAAAACGATATTCTCCGGGTCAATTGAAAGTTTCGCCGCATTTTCAAAAATATACAAAGCTGCTTCGTAGCAATCTTCAACGGGCGTCGGGTAGGGATGTTCTGGAGCTTTTCGATATTCAGGGCAGATCACTGAAAATAGGAATAAGACTAAGGTCGAAGAGCTAAGGTAAGCGGGGTCCTCGATATTTCGATTTTATGCTTGTTTTGAGCCCTAACCCTAACCTTACTCACCGGTAACAGAATTCGCAACAGCAATAGAACTCACAAAGCTTCTGTAGAATCGGACTTGTCCAAGTGCAAATCCACCACCATGAAAATAAACGACGGCTCCTTTGTTCTCCAGATTCTCCGGCCTGTAAACGAAGATCTTGAAGTTTTCCAGCTCAATTATTTCTTCGTCACATTTTTCGCGTAATTTGGTGTGTTTGGCTGTTGCTAATCGACGGCGAGCGAGTTCTGATTTTGGTCCAAAGCCGAGTTTCATCAGAAATTGAATGATGGCTTTTCCGCGGACTCGGGCTAGCAGGGCAAAGTACATCATCGTGGAACCATCGGCGTTGGGAGGGACGAGACCGGGCTCGTAGAAGAAGTAGAAGATCAGGCCCTGGAAAATCCCGAGAATTGGCGAATTGGCGAGCCACCCTCCCGAGAGTCCGATAGCGAGACTGACAGATTCCCTTTTCATTCTACAGTTCAAAGATTGTGATCAGAAGAACGCGTAGTGCACTGTAATATATTAATAAGGGGAAATCGCATGATAAGCAGTGAAAAATATCACTTCTTCCTATCAATTTTCGTTTCTCTTATTTTTTTCTGCAAATGTCGGAAAATCTTCGAAAAAATTGGGAAAAATTGAGAGCAAGCGTTGAGGTCCTCCGCGTTAGTTGAAAAGTCCTCCGCCCACGATTGGTTGGCGGCGCGCTTTTGATGGAAAACAGAAAAAATAAGAAGAATGCGCTTGAAACTCAAAGCGGTCTAATTCAGTAGAAATTTTAGTTCTGTTAACTTCAACTCCTTTTTTTATTGAAAAAACTCTCAATTTTCGAGAATTTCATCAATGCTTGATTTTCCAAATTAAAAAATGATGATAATTGAAAAGGATAACGAAGAGCTATTCTTTGCTAATAACAAACATCAGATGTGCAACAACACAATCTTATTTACAATCAATAAAAGTATTTTAGACGGTCGGAAATGATATTTCTCATTTATTTCATGTCTAAATAGCAAAAGATTAACCTCGCGTTTTTATCATAGCATGAAATAGCATAATGCTTTTAATTTAAAAGTCTCTGTAAGCCTGCAGCGTTGACGATTATTTCTGGGATTACTTTTGCCGCATAACTTATGCGGCATAAGTCTCATGTAAATTTTCATAAGACCATGTATGTCGTTGCTTCTCCTGGATAACATACGGACAAATTCGCGAAAAAATGTTATGAAAAATTCTGAACTTTGAAAAAAAGCTCGATCATCTGCGGGAATTTTTGTCATCCCGATGTCAGCTCGCACGGTACACTTATCTTGTTATCTCTAAACGTTTTAAAATGGCGGATCCCAGAGTTACACCTTAGAATTAGAACTCAATGTAGACATGCGATAGCGTGAGGTGCACTTGCTCTGCGGCGCCAAGGTCGCGCTATCAGTTCTTTATAAACTTTCGGGTCGAAGGAAAACCATCAGATCTTTTTGATAGAAAAAGATAGAGAAAATAAAAATGAAACTTTTTGCTCTCGCTGCGACTCCGGTAAATACTTTTTTTATTATTTTTTGCAACGAAATTTTTGGAATATTTTTTGAACAAAATTTCAGGCTTTGGCGGAAAAATCCGCTGATCCGACTCCCTGGTTCATTTCTCTCGAAGACGAGCCGCAAAAATTCGCGGAAGAACCCTACACTCCCTACTGTTTGACGAAAGACATCAACGGCGAGCTCAAAGCTATCACCGAAGCCAACTTCTGCGACGGCGTTGCTGATTGCCCCGAAGGAGAAGATGAAGACGGCCGACTCGCGATTTGCAACCAGCCGACTACTGAGAGCGGCTGCTGCGCGGAAATCAAGGTCAACTGGAGCGGAGCAACTTGCTATGCTCTCGACACTTACAGGGACAAAGACCGATATTTCTGCCGAGAATACTATCCAAATGGAATCGACTTCATCACCCGTGAGCTCCGCTGGGAACCCTACCACGGCTGGTTCTACACCGACTTTGTCGGCAACTGGGGCTACTTCGCTGTTGGCAACTGGCAGCACGACGCAACTTGTATCGGTGAGCACGGCGAGTTTGAAGATAACTACAGCTGGACAGGATACAATTTGGCACTGAGCTGCAACGATGAAGCCCCAGCTCCTCGACCAGCACCCTGTGCTCATCATACTTGCCCGGACAACAAGATGTGCTCGAATAACTTGGATGTCGAAGGAGGATACGAATGCGTCAAGAGAGACAACGTCAGAGATCAATCCTTGAAGAGAATCAACACCATCGAAGGACACATTCAGGTAAAAATTCAATCGTTAACTATCGTATTTAAATAATCTTTTCTAGAGACTTTACGACTCCGTGACTGGAACCAGAGCTGGTGACCGATTTATTTTCCGAATGAATAAAGTCTTGACCTGGGCGAAAAACTCCTGGACTGGCGAATCCTGCCACGAAGGCGCTGCTGAAGATGCTGAAGATGTCAACGTCTTCTCGAAAGACAACATGTGCAAGCTCAATGGTCAAATCAACTCTGCTCTGAACAGCTGGGCGAGAAATTTCGCCTGCTCTGGCGACAAGGATTACTCGAGGAAGATCATCAAAGCAGCGAGAAAAAATCGAAACTTCTTCGATGTCAAAAATGATTGTTGATTCTGTTGAGCTTGATTATTTGAAAACAAGAGCTTTCTTATCCGAGGACATTGCTCTTATTTTGACAATAAAATATGGAAAAGAAGGATAAAAAGAGAGAGAGGAAATCAGATGAAAATTTCAGCATTCTTGATCATTTGGAACAGTAAATTCGATTCGACAGGAAAAGATCCTCTGAAGATCGCAGCTGACGTCATTCCATTTCTCCCATCCGTAGCTCTCAATGCAATTTTCATTGCTATGGGCGTCGTTGGGCTCGCCAGAGTTCCAGTTGTAAACGGTGCTTTCAACGCCGGTCATGGTAAACCATTGGTTTCCGTTTTTACGTTCGATTCCAAGCCACTCACGTCGACCATTTTTGACAGCGTGGTAAGCTTCAAGCTCTTCTTCGGTCATGAAAAAGGAAACGTGGCCTCCCTCGGCAACACATGTAGCCTCAGCGGTGACGAAATCGACTTCGGCAGTACCCATGTTTCGGAACTCCAAACAGGTTTTTAGCTTATTCAAATGTTAAAAGAAAAAATCGATGGTGATAAAATTTACCGGTGATTCAAGCTCAGAATCGTCGCACTGCTCTGACCCAAGAATGGTTCTTTCCACTCTGCAAGAATAGGCAAACATTTGATCAGGAGCACACGATCTGTCATTCCATTTGTGTAACGGGTTTGAGGCTGGGCGGCTGTGCACGCAATTTTCGTCGGAGTGCAAATCATTGGGCTCGTTTTCATCCCAATCGTAAACTGGGCTTTCAATACCCGTGAGGGTCAGCCACTTGTTGTCATCGCTGCGGTTGATTCCTAACCATTCATTGCGATCTTTCTTATGTTCGTAGTAGAACTCGAGCTCCTTGTCACTCAGAAAGAATGAGACGTCTCCATCAATAGCTCGACAACCGTCAATGGCCGTGTCGTAAGAGACCTTGTCAGTTCCCATGTCGAGGAATTGGACACATTTTTTCTAAATTTTTTGTTAATGTCAACAGCTAAATTTCAAATAAAAAGCTAAACTAATTCGACATACTGGCGATGCCAAAGTTGTCGTTGTTGTAGTGGTTGTCGTGGTTGTCGTGGTTGTCGTGGTTGTCGTTGTTGTCGTGGTAGTCGTGGTAGACGTGGTCGTTGTCGTGGTGGTTGTAGGCCATATTTCCGGACAGTCTTCCCAGACGTTAACAGTTGAGTCAATTCGACAGCGAAACATCTCGTCAGCCCAAGTGCACTCGACATCGTTCCACTTATCTGGAAAGCCATACATTGTAGTTGCACATTTTTGGCTAGGCGTGCTCGGCTGGTTCTTGTACCATGAGAAAATGGTTGCCGGCTCACCAGTTACGGTCGCCCAGCCACTTTCAAACGTGTCGTTTCGAACGATTCCTAGCCACTCTCGCGTCGCTCCGGGTCGATCTTGCCAAAGTTGAAGCTCTTTTTTGTCATTGAAAAAGGGGAGATTGCCACCAATTGACAGACAATAGTTCTGAGCGTCCTTTTGCTTTGATGTTGTATAAGGAGAAGTTTCGAAGGAGAGGCACGACTTTGTTGCGATTTGGCCAGCTTGGCAGATTGCATGGTGTTTGTGATTACAGTCTTCCTGTTGAACACTCCACGCAGTATGTCCAGCGAGCGACTGTTGCACATAGCACACCGTTTTATTCGGGAAGTATAGCCATGAGTAGTCAACGTTGTTGATCATCATGCTCTTTGCAATGCCGCTCTCATAGTTAGCTAGCCACATGTCTTTCAAGAAGCAGTAGGCCCGTGCTTGATCGTAAGTCATCTTTTCATCAGAGACATGAAAAGAAATTTCTTGGTCACGGTTCATGTTCTTCCGGGCGATGGTTGACATTTCATCCAGGGCTTTTTGAATTGCTTCGTATGCTTCAGCGCTAGAATCGTCAACACATGCGTAGGACTGAATCCATAGCTCAAGACGAGCGACAAGAGCTTCAATGTTCGATGATGGGCTGGCCTTTTCGTTGAAAGCAATGTCGAAAGTGACTGGTTCGAAAGTTGGGCTTGTAATTCCGGAATTGCAACTACCACCACTTTGGTAGAATCCCAAGATCTTTTTCACTTGGTCGTACTTTTGCTGAAATCTTCTGCCAAGACCCTGCTTATCAAAAGATTCACCGACCTGGTAGGCAAAAACGTCGCTTTCTCTGAAAAAGTCGAGGAAATCGGCCCGGCCTGAGCTTTCAAGAATCGTCAAAAAAGATGAAATTTTCATTTTCTACCGGTATTGACTGGCTTACAAATATCGATATATAAAATATCTTATTTGTGATGCACTAGAGAGGATGATACTATGCCCTCCTCAATGTCCTTTTATAGGGTGGGGAGTAGAGATAAAGCTCTTAACAATGTTGTTACATGGAACTTAGACCGGGTAAGAAGCCCCGTTATCAAACTTTTATCGCAATTTCGTCCGATAATGGGAAGTACTTCTTACCCCCGAAGTCTTTACTTGGAAGGAGAGTTCGCTCAATAAGATTTTTGAAGACTGCGGACTTATTGATGTTTTTCTTTTTTTATTACCTTGCGGAAATAGTTAAATACGAGCATGAATCGTCATGCATCCTGACAACATAATAACCACCTATAAATTCGTCTCTACATGCGTTAAATCTAAAAACTCACGAGCTTGCATCTTAGAAGAGAAAAAATCATGCTCTTGAAATTGTTGATTCTTTTTTCCATCGAAGTTCAAGCCGGTTACTTTGACCTCCAGTGCAGCAGAACTCATGCCAAATTGACCCTCAATACTGACACTTTCAGTTCAAGTAGCAAAGATCCTTCGTTTGATTCTGACCTGGTCGGGCTTTACTTGAACTCGGAAAGGAAAATGCCAGAGAATATCACGGAAGACTGCAAGCTGGAGAACAACATGGAATTTGCATACAACAGTTCTTGTCTTCATAATTCGACCAGTAGGAAAATCTTTGAGAGGGACAAAAATAAACTATTTTTAGCGTCTTCGGCTCCGGTTTATTCTGGTTTCATAATTCAATACGGAGTGGTTGATGACTCCTACATCTATATTTCAATTGATGAAGATATTGAATGCAATGAAGATTCATGGGACAATTATGTTCACCCTGACAATGCGATACAGTCCAAATCTGGTAAATTAAACCCATTTTTCAGCTCTGAAAATTATTCTAGAGGTCCAATCTTCAAGTCTTAAAGCAAACGGAACATTTGAACTGACTCCGGTTTTTAACTTGACGATCACAGGCGGCGACGGTCTTGGAGAGAAAATGACTGTAACAGCGACGAATCCATACGACTACAATTTGATCATTGACAAGTGCGATGTTCTGCTACAAAGCAAAGATTTCACGATTATCGAAAATCGCAAAATGACTTCAGTAGGGCTTGCTTTTGGCGGAAAGATGCTTTCCGAAGATTCTTTCGAGTTCAGACGATTTTCGATTTCGATGAATGTTGTGGACAGCATTGATGTCGCTTGTGATGTCACCTTCAAAAAATAATTTTTTTTTCAAAAAGTTCAGCTTGATCATTTGTCTTTTGAAATTGCAGAAGTTAATAAAATTCGGATTTATTCTCAGTCAACATGTTCGAGCTCGTTCCCTTTCGTTTGTCTTGACTCAATAAAATACTCAATATTTGCTCATGAACGGTAAAAGCGAAGTTTACAATTTTTTCTCGATTTTTCCACGCCCATTTACTAGAGTTTATGAAAAATGAAGAGAGAGAGCGGAAAAGTTGATTCGATAGAAATGAAAGAGAATACTAAAGAAAAGGGCGAGGAAGAAAAGGAAGTTGAGTTGAAAAAGAGGGGAATAATTGACTTGTACAAATATGCAGATGGACTTGATATACTCATGATCGTCATTTCTGGCTTTTTTGCGATCATTGCTGGTCTTCTCGTTCCCGCCGCCTACATCATTTTCGGCGACATGACCGATACCTTCGTAGACTTTGGTTTCCTCGGCGATTGCTCTGACGCAGAAGCTTATGAAAAATGCTTTCCAGGAAATTTCACAGAAGATCTCGACCTCGACCTCAACTTCAACTTCACAATCTGCGAATTCGCCGTTGAAAACTTCGACTACTTCCACGACTGCGCCAAAGAAGCCGTTGGAGGGTGCGTTGCGGATCCAGACAATGCCACACAGATTTGCACGCTTCTAGAAGACTTTGACAATTTTGACTTTCTCGGAACAATGACAGAATACTCTCTTTACTTCTGCTATCTCGCCATTGCTCAGACGCTTACTGCCGCTTTTGCTACTTCTTTGTCCATGTTTTCCGGTAAGAAACAGTTTCAAAGCCCCCTCTTTCAATCCCTTTTTCAGCTCAGCGCCAAGCAAACCGGATCCGAAAAGCCTACTTCGCCGCAACTCTTCGCCAAGAAGTTGCCTACTACGACACCGTCGATTCTGCCGTTACAGCACAAGCGATGACTCAAGAATCCAAAAAGATCCAAGACGCTATCGGCGAGAAATATTCGACCTCTTTGAAATGTCTAGCGTCCTTCGTTGGCGGTTGCGGTTTAGGCTTTTACTATGAATGGAAATACTCGCTAGCGATTTTCGCTTTCCTCCCAGCTATTGCTATTTCTGCTACTTTGATGTTCATGGTCGACAAGAAAATGCGCCGAGTTCGCGACGCTTCTTATGCCAAGTCAAATACTGTTGCTGAAGAAGTCTTTTCTGGTATCAGAACTGTAGCTGCTTTTGGCAAAGAAATTTACGAACTTAACAGGTTCAATTCGTCGCTAGAATTGTCGAAGAAAAATGGAATCAAATTTGCCCCGTTGAAAGGGCTTGCGATGGGCTTTTTGCCCTGCGTGATGTATGTCATGTTCGGCTTTGGATTCTGGTATGGTGGACAATTGATCCTTTTTGAAGGCTGGACGGTTGGGGAAATGTTCACTTGCTTGCTTGTCGTTCTCATTGGCGTCACCCTTCTTTCCCTGTTTTTCACGAATCTTGAATATTTCACCTCCGCCATCGTTGCAGCCGAAAAACTGTACCATCTGATCGAACGAGAATCGACCGTCAATTACGAGTCATCCGCAGGCGCATCTGTTTCGGAAAAGTTCGAGGCGGCCATAGAAATTAAAAATTTATCGTTCAAATATCCGACTCGCGATCAAACTGTTCTGAATGGCATTTCGATTGACGTCAAATCTGGGCAAACCGTTGCGCTCGTTGGCGAATCTGGCTCTGGAAAATCCACTGTGATTCAACTTCTTCAACGATTTTACAATTATGAGCATGGGGAGATCCTCATTGGAGGGAAGAGAATTGAGCATTATTCGGTCCAAGAGTTGAGGAACCAAATTGGGGTGGTTAATCAAGAGCCGATTCTGTTCAACAAAACTATCGCGGAGAACATTCGCTTGGGATGCCCCGAAGCGAGCGACAAAGAAATAGAAGCAGCACTAGCGGAGGCAAATGCACTTGATTTCGTCAAGAAGCTGCCCGAAGGAATCCATACGATGGCCGGGCAGCAAGGAGGACTGCTATCTGGTGGTCAGAAGCAACGAATTTGCATCGCTAGAGTTTTGGTAAAGAAGCCCAAGCTGGTTCTTTTGGATGAAGCAACTTCCGCGCTCGATTTGAATTCAGAAGCGCTGGTTCAAAAAAGCTTGGAAAACATGGGAGTGAACAGAACTGTCGTCGTTGTTGCCCATAGATTGGCGACAATAAGAAATGCGGATGTTATTTATGCCCTGAGGGATGGTAAAGTCGTTGAATACGGGACTCACGAAGAGTTGATTAAGAAAAAGGGATATTACGAGCAGTTATGTATGCTTCAAGGAATGGCTCAAGAGCAGGGAAAAGAAGAAAAAGTCAAGAAAACGGAGATTGTTGAAAAAACGAAGAATGAGAATGAAACTGACTTCGGCATTGATTCAAGAGACATTTACACAAAAAGCGTTTTTGCTGAATTGATGAAGTTGAACAAACCAGAGCTATGCTACATTATTTTTGGATGCTTTTTTGCTCTCATTGCTGGTGCTGTTGAGCCATTCTTCGCTGTGGCTATCGCTGACTTTATTTATGTATTTTCGGAGAGTAAAGACGCAGATGGAAACCCAATTACAGATGAAAAACGGGAAGAAGAAGTGCTTGTCTGGGCGTTAGTCACTGGTGGACTTGGCGTTATACTGATGGTTACTGTTTTTCTTGGTAAGAAATCTTTTCTGAAATAAGGACCTCAATTCATTCCTAGAATACTCCTGCCTTGGAAAAGCCGGAGAAGAGCTCACTTATCGAGTCCGTTCTCTTACCTTCCGCTCCATCGTCCACCAAGAAATGGCCTTCTTTGACCAGGAAGAACACACAACTGCACAGCTTCAAAATAAACTCGCCACTGATGGCGACGCTATTCAGGGCGCTACAGGGACGAGAGTCGCAAATGTGATAAAAAATTTCATGACCCTACTCGTCAGTTTAGCGATCGGATTTTTCTTCAATTGGATCATTGCTTTCGTAGCCATCGCGTTCATCCCTTTGATTGGCGCCTGCCAAGTGGTCATCAATAGAATGCTCAGCGGAGCTGGAGCCGAGGCAGAACGAATCGCGTTCGAGTCCGCTCAGATCATCGCTTCGGAATCAACGAAGAATATCCGTACTGTAACATCTCTCCAGTGCCAAAGAACGCTCAAGAACGAGTTTGCTAAGAATCTCGAAAAACCAGCAAAACAGCAGAGAAAGAAAGCAATTGTAGTCGGTCTTGCGATGGGCTTTGCCGATTCATCCCTTTTTCTAGCCTATGCGAGTTGCTTCTGGCTCGGAGCCTGGCTAATTGACAATGGAACTTATGAATCAACTGAATTCGACAACATATTCAAGGCTATGATGGGAGTCGTTTTGGAGCCATGGTTTTGGGCCAGAACACGGCTTTCATGGCGAATTATACTGAAGCGATCCTAGCTGGGCGGCGATTATTGACGATTATCGAAAGTAAGCCTTCAATAAATGTGGAAAACTGTGGTGGGGGAGTCGAACAACTTGAAAATTGCCAAATTAAAATGCAGGAAAGTGATTATTTTCCTAGATTTTGAGTCTTTGAACGGTTTAAATCACATTCTCAGAGCATAAATTTCGCATATCCAACGCGTCCAAAAAATCAAATTCTCAAAAATTTCGAATTGGAGCTCAAACCTGGTGAAACCGTGGCTCTTGTTGGTGAGTCTGGCCAAGGAAAATCGACGATGGTGCAGTTGATATTGAGATTTTATGACGCTGATGGTGATATTTTAATCGACGGAGTGCGACTCAAGAGCTTGAATATTTCCTACCTGAGGTTTTTTCTTCTCCAAAATATCGAAAATCGTATGTTTCAGGTCGATGATTGGGTTGGTAAGCCAAGAGCCGGTTTTATTCAACGGATCTATTCGAGAAAACATTCTTTACGGCAGCCAAAACAAAAACATTCCAGAATCGGAGATTGAAAAAGTCTGTCAACAGGCAAATGTGCTAGAATTCGCGGCAAAAATGGCGAATGGACTGGATACAAATGTAGGAGAACGAGGAGGAAAGCTCTCTGGAGGGCAAAAGCAGCGAGTGGCAATTGCGAGAGCGTTGATAAGAAATCCAAAAATAATGCTCTTTGATGAGGCAACCTCGGCGCTGGATAATGAGAGCGAAACCATCGTGAAAAAAGCACTTGATGAAGGAAAGGGTACTCGACTTTTTAAAGAATATTGAAGAACTAATTTGAATACCCACAAAAGCTCGGAAAGGCAAAACGTGTCTCGTGATCGCGCATCGTCTTTCTTCGATTTCTTTCGCCGACAAAATTGGAGTTTTGAAAGAAGGGAAGATCATCGAGTTTGGCTCGCATGAAGAACTTTTTGCCAAGCGCGGCGCTTATTTTGAACTGATGCAAAGTCAGGTCTAGATTTTCCAATACTGTTACTGTATTTAATAAACTATCACTACTGATATTTTTCCTGAAGATAGTTGATAGAATGAAAAGCTTTCATTTTATGTTCGTATTTTTCAGTTTGAAATGTTTGTATATATTTTTGAAACGGAAGTCTTATGAGCATAAGATCTTATTTTCCTTAAAAATCATTAATAGAAAATAAATGACAGAGACAAGTATTGTTGATTTGATGAAGAAGATCATCGACATCTTCAACGAGCATGCTGGTGGAGACAACAAACTTGACAAAGAAGAATTGAAGCAGCTGCTTATTCAAGGTAGAGATGTTCGTTCATAACATTGAATTGTAAGATAAGTCTACTTGGATGACCCCTCACTTTTCTCGTCCGAAGAAAAGGCGCAAGAAGTCATGAACGACTTTGACAAGAATTTGGATGGGAGCGTGACTTTCGAGGAATTCATCATGCAGATGGCTAAAATGTCTACCCAGTTCAAAGATGACAGCGAGGGCAATTCCAATTCCAATTAAAACGAGATGCTCCCGCTTCGTTTTGACTGTCGGCGAAATGCTTGTTTGCTACAAATAAACGCTTTGATGAATGGTTATTTTTCTACAGAATAGGTTAAATACATCTAATCTTTTCCGAAACATTTACAAAGCGAAGCTGCCCGGGCCTAGAAATTAGATTCAAACAATGTTTATAACAAAATAAAACAATCCTTGAGCTCCAAGGCCGCAAGGTATATGCACCACTTGTCAAGCTTGTACTTTTTGAACCCGGGCCTTCCAGAGCTCAGAATAAACTTTTTTCAACAGAGAAAATTTTGATCATTTCAACAGAAAAGAGAAAAATATAAGAAGCAAAGCAGGGCTCAGGAAGCTGTCTAGAAAACCTGAGTCAGCCCTCAGAGCTAGAAAAGGAAGAGGATTCGAATAAAAATAATGGCGAAGCCGCTTTGCGGCTTCGTTTTTCGAAAAGCCGCTTCGCGGCTTTAAATTTTAGCTCTCGTTGGATCCTGACTTAGGTTTTCTAGAAAATTTTCCGAGCCTAGGAGCAGTGAAGACCATTGGTTGAATTAATTTTCCTACAAAATCATCAGCTGCTAGATACAGTATCAACAATGGTAATAAATTCATCATTTTATATGTTTATCGTTTTATCGGAGCATGTTCAACCTGTCAGGTTGCCGATGATCCCTGTCTTCTTTTGGGACATTTATTGAAGTTGCAAAGGCACGTGGCTCTTTGGACAAAATAAAGATGATAAAATAAAAACACTCCTTGCCTTTTTCGCTATTCGTACACACAAATACAATAATATGTTTATTAAGATTCGAAAGATCAGCGAACCATGAAGGGAACTGGAAAATAGACGGACTATTTCAACAAAATTCAGCAAGAAAGAAAGCTTAAAACTGAGAGAACGATGGAAGATGCGGAGATGTTGGAGGGAGATGGTAAGAATTAATCCGTTTATGTAATTTTTCAAATGTTTTGAAGCGATCAATTTGCTCGCTTTTTCGATTGAGACGAATATCGCGAGGGGACATACGACCGAAAGGATCGAAAACGAAGAAATGACGTTGATGAGTGAACTCAAAGAAAATGCCTTGAAAATTTTCATCCACAATTAAATTTTATTATTATTTAAAACGAGACAAATTTTAAGCATTCGAAGACCACAAATGGTTGATCATTCTTATTGGCGTCGTTCAACTCTTGCTGATTGTTGTTTTCATTATAAAGGTTGGAAACCTTTGAAGATGTTTAGTAAGATAATTTTTAAGAACGTGATTCAACTCATGGCAAAACGAGCTCTTGCAAGGAGAGTTCCATCAATTCGCGTCAGGTAAAAGATGCTTCATTAAATATGGTTGTTTTGGCGGTTCGAGAAGACAAGTGTTAAACATATTTCTTTGCTAGTGTGGTGCAGCAAATCGACATGCGGGAAGAGAGTATCCATCTTATGCCGTCTAGTTCTCTTCAGTCAAAATCTTCCTTATGAGCTTCAATTCTTTCCTGAGCTGATGATACAATATGTATTCAAAATTTCAAAAAGCACAAGTTGAAATAAAAAATATCTGATTAACCTTTTGATATGCATTTTAACTGAAATTGAACAATGATGCTAGCCGATTCGGGATCAAGACAAATCCCAGCATCCATTTTTCAGTCATGCTGATTGAAAAAAGAGCACCAAGCTGAAAACGAGAGATAGTACGATAGATGGTAAACTTCAAAGATAATTTCGTGTACAAAGATTCGAAAATTCAGTGAAGTATGACGGGAACTGGAGAAGAGACAGAAAAATTGCCAGTTGGAATAATATTGTTTCACGAAAAGAAAACCTAAAAATAAAAGATATGGAGAATGTGGAGATATTCGAAGAAGAAGGTAGAATCGAATCAATTTATGTAAATTTTGACTGTTTCAAAGCCATCAATTTGCTTGCTCCTTCATTTGAGCTTAGCTCACCAACGGAAAGTACGACGACAGAACAACAAATAGTAGAGATGGGTATTATAACTGAACTCAAAGGCATGCTTCAAAAATTACGGTCCTTCCAAGTGTTTTGTTTGAGGAGGAGCTCCTTATTCAAACTCATTTGTATATTCAAAATACCAAGCATTTGTAAGAGCTAAAATGGCTTATTATATATATATTTTTCCAATTGCAATCGTTCAAGCCGTGCTGATTCTCATTTTCATTCTCAAGGTAAGATGATTTTGAAGGATCAAGATTTAGAGGAAATTGTCTGTTTATTTCAGCACGTGATGAAATTTCTGGCGAAACGAGCAGCTGCTAAAAGACCTCAATCAATTCGAGTCAAGTAAAAAACATTCTCAACTCATTTCTAGCCTTATTTCTAGCGTGGTGCAGCAAATCGACCTTGGCGAAACCCAAAACTTGGTCTCCTAGCTTGCCTTTCTTCTCAGCTCCTCTCATAAAAAAAGCAACTCCCAAAAGCACAATATGAAAAAACACTAATAAAAAGAAGGTAGCTGATTAAAAATTCTCTTCTTTCTTAATTCTTTTTCTTCCTGCCCGTCCATAATAAAGTTACCGTCCATTTATTGCTGCCCTCTCTTTTGTACAGTTAAGATATTTCATTATTGGGTAATAAGAGCTCAAATGAGAAAGATATGACAGGTGGCGGGGATATTAGACCTGTGGTAATCGCCTTTACGCCGCGAGAGACGTGACTTGCTCCCACAAAAGCGAAAGAGCTTAAAGCTCAACTACTTACAAATAGAAATAAACACATCTACAGACGAACAGAGAACTCGAAATAAAAGAAAAGAAAATGGACCAAGAAGAAGAGCCAGGTAAAATTGCCCGTTGATTCATTTTATCATTTATGATTTTCTAGCAGATTTTCTGACTGAATGAATATTTTGTCAGTCAGAATTTCCGGGCCAGGAATAAAAATAAATAAAATTCTTTTGAAAGAACTTTAATATCGAAAGCTGAGAATTTATTAAGTTGGATATAGGAGCTAAAATGTTTCTGCGAGAAAATTAACCTTCAAAGGTTCCAATTTGACTTTTTCCTAATTGCCAATCAGTGATTGTATAGTCTTTTCTACAGAATGAAGACTTCAGTAAAACCTAAAGAAAAAGCCTGTAAATGGGAATTATTAATTATTCTTCCTTGCCCCCGAGTTAACCTTCATTTCTCCTTCAGTAATCACAAAAGCAATGGTCGAAGATATGCAGTATCACAGGGACATCGAGCGGACCGTAAGTGCTTCACTAATTAATTTGCCCTAAAAGCATTGCTTAGCTCTTTTCTGTCGCCGCAGAAGACCTCGTTGCCTTCGTTCAAGCTCAATATCATCAAGGTAATTTACAATTTAACAACTTTGATTAAGTATTTTTCAGATTTTCTGATGCATCAAGAAGGCCCGAATCCTTTCCGCCGCGAATCTTCCTGTGTCATAAGCTAAGAAAAAAAGCACTCGCCTTATTGAATTATAAAAAAGATCCGTTTGTCTTCATTTATCCTTTCAAATAAACTCTTGTTGATTAACTTTGCCTTGCTCAAGCCGAAAAAACTTTTCCTATTAAAAATTAACGTCTTTATAAATAAAATATTCAGAAAAATGCTGAATTACTGTTTTGATTAATCATTCATTTTTCAACCGGAAATCATATTCAATCAAGTGGTTACTTAGGCATATCATTATTTTAAACGAGAAAAAATGGATGTTGGGCGCGTTGCAGGTAAAACAAAGGGATCATTTGTCACTTGCTACAGTAGTTGATGTTTAGCGTGCATGGTAAAACCTGCTGAATCTAAAGTCGAGGAAGCCCAAGATGCTGGATATTTCCAACGATTAAAGAAACAATACGAGCTGCTGTCCAAAGCAATCAATGATGCCGGCAACGCAACTGACGATGCTGAGGTCTTCTTGGGCGGCGTTGTCGACGAAGTCAGGGCAATTTCTCAACCCTAAAGAGGCAGGCTCCTTGAATAAATCATTAGGAGCCAAATAACGCTGTTTTGTCATTATTATCTCTTCGAAAAATGATTAAATCTTCAAAAAATGGCACTTGAATTGAAACTAAACCCCCAGATGATAACAAAATGATCCTGCAGAAAACCCCCAGATAATAATTTTGCCGGTTGATAGGAAGCTAATCGGCTTATTCCCCCTTTAAATAAAAACTTGCAAATATATTTTATGCATAATTGACTAAATCAGGCAAGGTTTCATTGGTAGCATAAAAGTTGTAGTCGCTTAAGATACCAATAAACCTGTGCAGTTGATAATTTTATGAAGGCAATTTATTTCGGCTACGATAAGAGGAAGTTGGAACTAGAGGTAAATAAAAAACAGCTTTTTTGAAGAGAAATTTTCACAATAATTGAAAGAAGACGAGAGTTGGAAGGTAAAAAGAGCTACGAAAGAAAATTCGTTGGAACTGGAAGAAAATGCAAAGAGTTTCTGAAAGAATTGATTTTGCTACTAATGAAGAAAAAAGGTTAAACGCTGACTTCTCCGCCACGAGGGTTGAGGCGTTTTGCCTGCCACCAGACAAAGCCGAGGGGAGCTACGCAGCTGAGGATCATGATCGAGCCGGCCATTCCCTCTTTCTCGATGACTTTATTATTGAACTAGAAATATTAAACGAATAAAAATACTGAAAAGACCTCTCTTTACCTTGTAAGCAGTATGAAGAATGCCAAAAATGCCGCCAACCAGGGCAAGAACGATTCCAATAAGGACGTTCGACCACTCCGTTCTGCCCCAGTTGAAATGCTTGAACGGCCACATCCACTCGTTCCATTTCCAGGCGAAAATTATCAAAGTAAAGAATTGATAAACCCAGCTTAAATCATTAAGTAAGAAGGCTTATTAGGATTACTCAAAAAAGAGCCGTTTCTGACAATCAAGGGGCCGCTTGCTCGCGAAGCACGGTAATTAAAATCGAAGCCGCAAGCGGCTTCTCGATTTTTACCTAAAAACTTACATCCAGTTGCCGCAGAAAATTGATATTCCATACAAATTGCCTCCTTCGATCCGATCAAAATTAATTTCCAAAATGAGGGTACCAACAAAAGCGAGCAGAAAAGTCAGGAGCTTTGTGCATCCCTGAAGAGTGAAGCAGAAGGCGAGCAGGGTGTGGAATGCGAGCTGGATATTGCACATTCTAGCAGTAAAAGATATAATTTCTGTTAGGAAGAAAGAGCAATAAAATACTCTCTTTGTTGAGAGCTTTATGACGCGGTAAAGGAGTACTGGAGTAACTCAAGCATGAAAATAAGCGTTTTTAAAATTAGGAATATAATTTATTGATGAAGGAATCGACGGTCGGAGCCGGCAGCCTGTGTAAAAGACCTTGAGACCTCAAAGGATCCCGAAACAGTTCTCAGGATCAAAGCCGCGAAAGGGCCCCTCAATAAATGCTCTATGAATCTGAGAGCAAAGCCAATTCGATGAGCCTGACTAAGGTTTTGAACAGAGGCTGCCGTGCCCAGATTAAGGATGAATTATGAATATGAACTTGCGGAAAGAAAGCTTGCATGCAGAAGAATGATTGAATTAGCGGGGGAGAAAAGAGACTTTGATCTCTTTGGAAGGGTTGGCTAAAAACGCCGTTGTTCGTATTTTCTTGATGTCGTCGACAAAATCGCTTGGAAATTGCACTTTGAAGTTTTTCAGAATTCGCATCAAACCCAAACGCGCTAAAAACCATGAAATTAGCTTCAAAGGGGAGTTCCTTACATTGCATATGAGCAAATCGCATTCCAACACAATTTCTAGGCCCAACGCCGAAGGGAATGAAAAACGGCGCTTTTTCCAACGCAGGATTTTCAATCCATCTATCTGGCCGGAATTCGCGCGCCTCTGGGCCCCAGTATTCTTCAATTTCATGGAGGTAGTCGACTGGTACTTCGAGATTGCTTCCTTTTGTTAAGGGAATGCCGTTGATGACGACGTCGTGGTCACAGTAGCGGAACTGGAAGATTGCTGGAGAAAATAGACGCAGGCATTCGTTCAAAACGGCGATCAGGAGAGGCAATTTCTTTGAGTTGAGATTTTCGTACTCTTCTGGGACGTCTTTTACTTCCTAAAATGGTCAAAAATTATGGAAAAATTGTCGAAAATGGTTTGATCAAAAGCACGGTTCACTGCTTTTTTCGCTGGTAGCCCTTGATAATTTTCTATTTGTACCTCATAGAGTCGCTGCTGAAGCTCTTCGTCCTTGCAAATATTGTAAATCGCCCATTGAAGCAATGAAGCGCTGGTTTCGTAGCCAGCTCCGAAGAGAACGAAGATCTGGCTGATGATTTCATCTTCTGTTAATCCCTTTGTGGCGTCCTTTGCATCTTCATCCGATATTCTGAGCTTTTTGAAGGCGCTGAGAAAGTTTCGCTGCTCCGTTTCTTGAGTGTCCGCCGCGAGCATGGACTTACAGTAGCCCGTGAACCATCTATGAGATCTACCAATTTGATTCATTAACTCAAAGAGTACCTGATTGCTTTGCTTGCATAGATTTTGATATCCAGCTTGTCGAGTAAACTTCCAAGGCCCGGGAAAATGAAGAGGAGAAAGATCTGAGGTCCAGGAGTAAGAATTTCGTTGAAATATTTCAATTCTTTCGAGTTGTCAAAGTCCTTGATCGAAGCCAAGTCCATTTGGAATCCCATGGCGGCGGCTAAAAACGCATCCATCGTATATTTCCCCGACACTGTTCTCGGATTGATGCTTTCTCCGTTCAAATCTTTGATTTGTTGGACAAGAACATCAAGTCGTGATTTCGTCACTGCCATCATTTTCTCAAGCTGAACGTTCGAGAAGCTCGGTGAGACAGACTGCCGAACTCGTCGCCAAATTTTGGGGTCAGCAAGTACATCCATCATTTTGCTCATTTCCTTTCGAAGGGCTCGACAAAATGTATACAAAACCTGATTCAGGATCCTTAGAACGCTTTGAAAATAGCCGCGAATCCTCATTCATATCCTGGTTCGTCTATTCAACATTATTCCAGGACCCTGACTCAGGTTTTCTTCAAAGGTTGCCGAGCCCAGCCTTGCCCATTCCGAAGGAGCCAATGTCAGGCTGTCGATTTGTGAACGAGCCAAAGTGGGTCGTGAAAATCGGCGTCAGAAGATCAACATCAACCGACAAAACGACCGGAGATAGAAGACGATAGAAACCAACTGTTTTTCTATTCTTGGCACGAAGCTCTTCATCTGCCAACTCCACCAGGCCGTTTTCACGAGCGTAGTGGCCACAAGTTCCGAAGGTTAAAAGAGAGGGAGTGAGGATGGGGATTCCCCAGTCGTTCATCGCCGTCCATGAGTACCGAATGTAAGCGTAGCTGAGAGCAGTTGTTCCGAGAGAAATCTAAGAATACATATAGGTGGTTCCTAAGACATTATTTCTGCCAGTTTCTGTACGCCAAAGAGCCGCTTGCGGTTCCGAGCAAATGAAAATTGTGTTCAAACATTTACTCCTCGAAAAAAGGAGATTGCGTTTTCAGAAATGGATGGTAAGGATAGTACCTTGACCCAGAGAGGAGGGTTTTTGAGCTTCTCCGGAATCGCTACATTTGAAATTTCTTTTGGAAGGCGACTTGACAGCCCCTTGATCTCCTTTGAAATCGAGTCAAAAATCCCGTCCATCCGATTTCTTGAAAATTTTGACTTTTTAACCAATTGATTTCACTGATGTTGAAAGTTCAAAACTACCTGGTTAATAATTAGTCATATTTTTAGGATTTGGAAATGCCTATTTGTTCGAGAAAAGCGTGCAAGAAATGAAAACAACAAGAAGTTTTTGGGTCAGTTTCGCGAACTGAAAGTGCAAGCATTTATTATTTTTTTTCAATGATGATCGGCGTAAGTTGATACAGATGGAAAACAAAAAATAGCAAAACTTTGGACTGTTTTGTTTTTCTTTACGTTGGAGATAGATAAGGGGCAGTTGGGAAAAATCTTTTATTGGCTGACACTACAGCAGTGTCAATTTTCCTAGAAGAACTTGGCGCAATGGCTCTAGTATGGCTATTCAGAGTGTTTTACAACTTGTTTCTTGATTTTACTTCATTTGATTTCGATTCTAGTTAAACACGATCCTGATGCCTTGCAGCACCGCCTCGTCCGCCGCCTCGCATTGATCCGGGAGCGTCGTAGCCGCCGTAAGCGCCTCCGTATCCACCACCGTAGCCTCCTCCTGGCTGTCCCCAAGCTGGAGCGCCTGACTGGCCACCACCGCGACCACCCCCTCGGCCGCCGCCTCGTCCTCCACCGCGGCCTCCTCCGTAGCCGCCGTATCCTCCGCCATAGCCGCCTAAAACATCGTTAACCCTTGCTCCTCCAAGCTTTATCACCGAAGTCCTGGCCGTATCCACCGTAGCCTCCAGGAGCTCCATAGCCACCAGGTCCGCCACCGTAGCCGCCTGGACCACCGTAACCGCCATAACCTCCACGGCCGCCTCGTGGCATCTGGTTCTTTGGCACTCCTTCTTTGGTTTCGCATCGTTTTCCGTCGATTTCGTGGTAGCGATCTCGGCAGGCAGTCTTCATGACGCCGTCGCGTTTGAAAGTAACGAAGCAGAAGCCTTTGTAGTTACCGGTTGCTTTGTCGACTGGACGGTCGACGACCTCGACTTCGCCGTATTTGCCGAAGTAGTCCTGAAAGTCGAATCAAAGTCAAGCCCATAAAGCGAGAAAACGGGTTTTTCATATTTTTACTCGAAAGCTTCTCGATTTTAAACGCTCTAATAAGCCCTAGAATTATTCCTGCGGGAAATTTTACCTTGATAGTCTGATCGGTTGTTTCAGCAAGAATACCTCCGACGAACATCTTTCCATCTCGTCGCTCGGCCTTTTTGGGATCGATCTTGAAGAAAAACAGTTAGTGACAAGCACACTTGACAGCGGTCTACCTTTTTGCCGTCAAGGATATGTTCTGGTGTGGCCAAAACAGCATCCACAGAGGCGGAATCCTCGAAGAGAACGAATCCGAATCCACGGCTTTGCTGGGTCATTGTGTCGATCTGAAATACAAATGACTGTAAAAAGCTGGATTCAGGGGTGACTGCACCTTGACAGCAGCGTCTCTCAATCCACCGAAGCCTTCGAAGTAGGTTCTGAGAGATTCAGTCGTTGTTGATCGCGAAAGTCCGCCGACGAACATTTTGAAATCGTTGCTGATTTCAGAGCTAGAAAAGTAGCGCTAGAATTGACACTAGAAGCAGGACTTACTTTTGGATGAGCTTTCCTTCTTCTTTGCCCTCTCCTCCCTGAGCAACGGGCTCAGCGGGAGCAGCAGCAGTTCCATATGATTGCGCCTCGCCGGCGTACTCGTTTCCAGCAACGGGAGCAGCACCGTTCTGGGCAGTAGGGTCCGCGCCGTTGTAATAATCTGCCATTTTTCACTACTTTTTTTTTAAAGCTGAAAATTTCAGTGTTAGAGTTTGAAATATAGAGTTTTTGAAAAGCGAGAATCAAAATTGAAGCAAACTAGGTTGGGCACAAAGTTTTAGAAAAGTGAATTTTGATTGGTTGAGAGACCAAATACGGGCGTCTGATTGGCTAAAGACCCAATGCGCCCAACCCAGGACAACACAAAACGTAACTGTAACTGTAAGAACTGTAAGATTACTGTGATAAACTGTAGTACTTTAACGACGGATACTGTAATATACTGTACTGTACTGGCGATAAACGATAAGATAGGTAATAACGATAATAAAAGACGGATTTTTCCACAACTTCTCTTCTTTTTTGGCTTTCTAGATTACGAATTCTACTGTAGAATAAACTACTGTAAACTCTCTAATCTAGACTCGGGCTGGAACGATCTCGATCTTGTTCTTTGCTTTCTAACTGTACTGTCTAGACTCTGACTGTAGTACTAGAGCTATTTTTCTGCAACTTTTTGGCAAATCTAAATAGTCCGTTAAAAATGCTAAAATGCGCTAAAAAGAAAAACTTGAAAATATTCATCCTCTTTTTTGGAGACATACCTGTCATTTCAAATTGCGATTCGTTCCGATTGAAACAGAAAAACGAGCATTCATTGCGCGATTTTTCAATTTGAACATTCTGAAAATTCTGGATCAAAAACCTTGAAGATAATAAATAAAAGGAGGAAATTAATTAATAAATTGAGAACGAAAAATTGGAATTTATATTAAATCCGCGTGCTTTTCAAAAATATCACGGAAAACCCGCTCGAAAATTAAATATTAAATTTTATGGATAATTTTAAAATGAAATTCCAATTCTTCTAGTGAAATTGAGTAGTTCAGTTCTTCCAGCAAATTCCATTTTCGTCTCGAAAATCCCTCTCGGTCCTCTTTTTTTCGCGTGAAACGTGTCATTCGCGCAGTGCCGCGTTGAAAAAAAGTTCGTGTGCGTCGCCACCTACGCGCGCGCTCGGGCCAAAACCAATCAGCGCGCGCCGTTGTTCTCTGCCAACGCGACATCCACGAAGCTTGCTTCAGCTCTGGCTACGGGGCTCAAAAAACGGCCCAAAACGGTTTTTCCAACAATTTTTTTCAAGAAATCTGAATTTTTGCGACTGAACAAAGAGAGAACAATAATTTGAAGAATGGCGGTGAAGTTTTTAGAAGTTATAAGGCCATTTTGCAATGTCCTGCCAGAAGTTGAGAAGCCTCAGAGAAGGGTAAGCACGAATATCAGTATTGAAGCAATTTTCCTCAATATTTTCTTTTCTTTCATAGAGAAATATAATAAAATTTGCTGATCTATTTATTAAAACTAATTTTTAGACGAAGGAGTCGACTTATTTCGTAAAAGTTCTTGCTTCAACAGTATACTGTTCTAAAATAACTATTGTTATGAGCGTGAATCTAGCTTTTCTTTTAAAATTAGACGTTTTCATTCGAAAACCCTCAAAAATCCCGGCATCTCGTAAATTCAGACGGTTGACTTGCCCCGAGGAATCTTAAAATCTCTCAAAACTCATCCTTTTCTTCAATAAAACGAATCAATAATCATGTTCTCTTTAGATTCAATTCCGCGAAAAAGTTCTCTGGACTGCGATTACCCTCTTCATCTTCCTTGTCTGTTGTCAAATCCCGCTCTTTGGAATCATGAGCTCCGAATCTGCCGATCCTTTTTACTGGATCCGAGTCATTCTCGCTTCCAATCGTGGTACCCTCATGGAACTTGGTATTTCTCCCATCGTCACTTCTGGTTTGATCATGCAGTTGCTCGCGGGAGCTAAAATTATTGAAGTTGGTGATACCCCTAAAGAACGGTAAGACAGAAAATAAGTTATAAAACCCACAATCTCCTAGGAAGTCTCTGAAAAAGGATCAACAATGAATTTCTAGAGCTCTTTTCTCTGGCGCCCAGAAACTCTTTGGAATGATCATGACCCTCGGCCAGGCTGTCGTCTACGTCTTGACAGGAATGTACGGTGACCCCGCTCAAATGGGCACTGGAATCTGCTGCTTGATCGTCATCCAACTCTTCGTCGCCGGAATGATCGTCCTCCTCCTCGACGAGCTCCTCTCTAAAGGCTACGGTCTTGGCTCCGGTATCTCCCTCTTCATCGCCACCAACATCTGCGAAACCATCGTCTGGAAGGCCTTCTCTCCCACCACTGTCAACGTCGGCCGAGGAACTGAATTCGAAGGCGCTGTCGTTGCTCTCTTCCATCTTTTGGCAACCAAGCAGGACAAGGTCCGAGCTTTGAACGAAGCTTTTTACCGACAGAACTTGCCAAACTTGATGAATCTCCTTGCCACCGTCCTTGTTTTCCTCGTCGTCATCTACTTCCAAGGTAAAGTCGAAAAGAACTGAAATCAACGGGATTTCGGCCTCCAAAAATAACTAATACTCACCCATATTTTCAGGTTTCCGAGTTGACCTCCCCATCAAATCCATCCGATACCGAGGCCAGTACTCCACCTACCCCATCAAGCTTTTCTACACTTCCAACATCCCTATCATCCTCCAGTCCGCCCTTGTCTCCAACCTCTACGTCATCTCCCAGATGCTTTCAACCCGATTCGCCGGTAACTTCTTCGTCTCTCTTCTTGGCGTTTGGGATGCTGTAAGTAAAATTCACTTTCCAAGACTTTCTGAAAGTCGAGAAGCTGCTTGCTTTTCTGTTTTTTTATTCCTCCTCCTCAACCCTTCCTTTCTAGACCGAAGATCGACGAGGCGGTTCTCACCCAACTGGCGGTCTCTGCTACTACCTCTCTCCTCCCGAATCGTGGAAGAGCGTCACTAGCGACCCAATGCACGCCGTTCTCTACGTCATTTTCATGCTCGGATCATGCGCCTTCTTCTCCATGGTAATTTTCTTCCTTCATTTATTCCTCTAACGCTATTTTCAGACCTGGATCGATGTCTCCGGCTCCAGCCCCAAGGATGTCTCCAAGCAGCTCAAGGAACAGGGCATGGTCATGCGAGGATTCCGTGAAAGCTCGATGACTCACGAACTCGGACGGTACTTCCCTTTTATCCCTTTGAACACTCTTTTTACTGGTTGTTTTAGATACATCCCCACTGCCGCTTGGTTCGGAGGAATGTGCATTGGTGCCCTCTCAGTCATGGCCGATGGTCTTGGTGCTATTGGATCCGGAACCGGTAAGATATCAGCGACACTAGAATTCCGATTAAAAAGACATTCAGGTATTCTTCTTGCCGTTACAATCATCTACCAGTACTTCGAAATCTTTGTCAAAGAGCAACAGGAGCTCGGTGGAATGGGCGGCATGTTATTTTAAGGTAACCTACCTCATTATCTTCATTCTCTAATTGCGCTTTTAGTAATTTATAGAATACTCAAAAAGAAAACTATTCAAAAATTCGAAAAACAGACTGCTTCATTCATAGTGTTCACAGACGCCATTTTCTGTTCATCACTTTAGTTATCAATTCCTCTTTATGTGCAATCCTGAATAGGCTGTCCGACAACCTTCAACAAATAATAATGAGCGATAATACAGATTTTTATTATTGAAAGCTGCGATCGTGTTTATTTTATGCAGGAAATACAGGGTGTTTGAAAGGACTTATAATAACGATGGGGAAAAGCCTACCTATCAGTTATGGTCACAGTCTTGGTCAGGAGAACTCCGATCCCGACCACCTCCTCCTTAGGCTGAAAACAACGAAGACTATTTGAAACCATTTTCTACGTTTCGCTATTTTTTAAACGCAATGTCTTATCATTACCTTTCTTTTCCCTTATTATTTAGAATTTACGAAAAATGGGTCTCTTGAAACAATTCAATTTGCAAATCACGACGAGTCCCCTTAATCCAGCATTTTCACGTGCAAGATCATTTCGCCAAATTAGTCCGTTTTCGTGCCCGGTAATGCGCGAGGCCTGGCAGCTGCAAAAGACGTAAAAATGAAGAAGCAAAAAACGAACAAGTGTTGTTCTACAGTAGATCTTCTTCATTCCTCCTGTCCGCTTATCAACCAAAAACGTACTACCTAAGGGGCAAGGTGGTTCTCAAATATGTCCATCGTTGCCTATTTTATGAGCTGTTTTCGGGGAAAATATTTGTAAACGGGATGTTTAGGGGAAGTGGCGCTATTGTCTGACAGACAGGACAATACAAAAGCCAAGAAATTTCACAAGAATAGACGAAAAAAGGTTGACATTATGCCGTAAAGTTTATCGCTAAAATGATCACTTGGATTTATTATGGGACTGCAGTGACGCTGAATTAACGATATTTGACGCAAAATACTGATTGAGAACGGACTTTTAATGGTTCTTTTATATTCACTCCTAATAAGATAATAGCGCTTCCTAATTGAGAACACGAATCAAAAATGTGTGATTGAACAAACAATGATTAGATTTTTTGTATTTTATAAATTATAATAAGCGATTATCAATTATCATTTATATGTTTAGCGATTGGTTGAATTTCTAGAGCTATTAAAGTTCAACTTTTTTGGTAAAAACCATTTTTCTTTTCAAAGAGGTATCTTTCTGAAATTAATTATCGTCTTTTTAATTGAAATTATAAAACCTTATTTTATGAGTTTTTTGAGTTATTTTGCACATTATCTAAAATTTTAATATATCGTAAATGATAATTGCTGATTTTATTCTTTTACTTGTTTGTTAAATCATACGTATTTTCAAACTTACTAACAATCAACAAACAAAGCTTCTTAGCATCCACCCCGAAAATAAATCCGCTGATAACGCTCGCGCGCTAAAAATACCCCGCTTTATCGCGAGAAAGCTCCCGGTCGTAGCGCCACCTGCCGAGCGCTGGATTCTAGCTGCGCGCTGATCTCCCTTGCTTCTCCACTCTCAAGTTCATCTTTTGAATATTCTCCCTTTTTGTTATAGTATCGTGGATTTTGACCAATCACGTGGTCAATTCTCCCTTTACTAGAAGTCAATCCCAAACAAACAACCAAGTTCACTTAAAAGAGAATTCAACCAAGCCAAGAGATAACTTTAACCCGTCAAAACCAAAATTGACAAGAAAAAAAATCAATCAAACTTCAATTTCAAAAATTTCAAATTCAAAAAATACATAGTTTTACAATCTTCATAAAACTAGAATAAAAAAAAACTCGACGAATTTATTTCATAAGGAAATTTATTCGGAATCTTAAAATTTCAATTTTAAAGGATCTTAGATAGAGCTGCGAAGAATTTGCTACATTCGACAGTCGTAGAATATTCAGGAATGGATCAGTAAATTTTTTTTCATGCTATTAAAACGACGGAACTTTGATTTTTCAGGGCAATATCGCGGTAATCCACTTTTCGGACCCAGAATTTCCTCATTTTTTTCAAGAATAGGGTCGGTTAACTGTCTTGAAAACCTGAGTCAGTGTCTAAATTATCTTAAATGAAAAGCCGCGGAGCGGCTTTTTTTAATCGAAGCCGGAAAGTGTCAAAGCTAGAATTTCAAATTTGATGCGAAATTTTATTTTTTAAAGCTTTCTTGGGCTTTTTTCTTAAAAAAGCCGCTACGCGGCTTTTTGTTTTTGGGTTAGTCAGAACCTGACTCAGGATTTCGTCTCAGGTTGACGTGAAGAGATCTGATAGGATGTTATAAAAGCTGTTTTTCAATATTTTTTTCGGAAAATACCTTGTTTGCTCAAAGCGCCGGGACGTGGAGGTCAAGAATAAAGCGTTCACTTGTTGTTGATACCCTTAACCCGTGTAAAGGGCATTACATCACCAGATCCGCGCGGTACATGGGGATTGACATTCAACACTGTGAAATGTGAACATTGCACCTGCCCAATCAGGGCGACCCAAAGAAAATTGGATTTGTTTGTATCTTGATTTTAGCAGTCGGGCACTCCCTCTTAGTTTATTCAGTTTATGAAGTAACGTGAAGTATAAGCGCTTTTTCAAAAATAGCGGTATTTTGAAAATCCCCCAGGGAATTCCTCAGCCTCCAGAATATCTTTTAGAGATGCTCAATTCAATAAAACCACAGAACGAATTCCTGTCTTTCAAAAGCATTCCGTTGCTTCATAAATATTTAACCGCTTTTTTTCTATTTTTCGACTTGAACCAATTTCAATCCCACAATTTCATTTTCTCGTTGAACGCGATTTTCTTGGTGAAAATTCGAAAAATGGGAGAAAATTGATTGATTAAAATTTTATCCCACGGTAGCGGAGGAAATGAAGTTTTGCTCTTTTGGAATTGATTCTTCGGCCTCCTCGGTTTTTGGTAGCGAGAGTTTGGTAACGGACGTCGCGAAACCGGTAACGGAATTTTAACAACACCTTCGAGTTATGAATTGTTCAGTTAACCCACATGTTTGGACAAAAATAGACATGTTCTACCGTTACAAGCTCGTTTTAGTATATTCCGCTTTGCTGGAAAACCTGTTTTGAAACCCTGAGTCAGGTTTTAAGGACCAAAGATAAAAAGCCGCTCTGCGGCTTTTTTTATTCTAAAACGAAGCCGCGTTGCGGCTTCGCGGCATATTTCAAACCTGAGTCAGGTTACCTGACTCAGATTTTCTACACAGGTTTTTATGGGGTTGATACCCTTAAAATAAGAATCAAGAAAGTGCCGATGGAGGATCATATGATGCATCGGTTGATATTATCTCGGAGATATTATTGCAGCGCACGTATATCGATAGACATGTTTGAAGGATAAATGTCCTTTTCGAGTTTTTGGAAGACGAGGGAAAGATAACATTTGTGGAGCGCGTGGCGCTGACAATCTTGACATCGCCTCACTCTAGCCCTCATCAACATCTCAGAAAAGTTGAAGCGCCAGGTGCGAGTCGCAGCGAAGATCGGTTTTGACAATGTCGCATGCATGTATTGAGATATCAATACATGTACATGAAGATAACAATGGTTTTGATGCTCTCATAAGCGATTCTAGCTCGAAACGTAATAAGGGTAACCCCAATCTTTATATCGAGGAGTAACTGTATTAATGACGTGAAAAAGCTTACTGTCAGCCCTTGTAATCTTTATCTGATATCATTTGGGCTGAGCAAAGAGCAGTAATTCGCGTCAAAAATCGGCTTATATCGGTAACAGAATCCGGAAACGTAAGAGTGGCTCAGCGACTTATTTTAACCGAGCTCTTGAGTTACGCCTAAACCGCAAAAAAGTATCAATTCGTTTTGTCTTTTTCGCGATTTTTCAATTTTCACGTCAATCATCCCTTTTTTTCCTTCAAATTCAGCAGTTTGGTGGAGCCACGCCGGTTGACAAGATGAAAGCGAAAGAAGGTAAAATAAATTTTTGATGGCCGAGTATTAATTTGTCGATTCGTTCCGGTGTATTCAAGCAGCAGTACGAAACCGCGTTCCGCTTTACTTCGGACCGCCAATTTCCAACCGCTTCTCAAAACAACCGCCAGCGTCTACCACGGTCACCTTAAATGCTTTCTCAGTTTTATCGTGCAAAAGACAAATCTTTTGAAATTGTTTTCTTCATCCCATCGTTTCCCATAAGTTTCGGGCCATAAGATCTGCCATTAAAAATTACATTGAATATTCATTTTGTGCAATTCTAGTGCAATTTGACATTCTCGAGATTGTCGGATATTCACATTGGTTTCGTTGGCACAAAAACGGTGTAGAAGCGCGGATAAAAGGGATGTCGGTTTGGAAGATAAGGCATTAAATTGTAGATAATGGCTTTCTAGCGCTAAGAATTACTTAATTTGATTTCGACAAAGCATCATAAAGGGGCAATTTCAAAACTCTAATTGTAATTTTACTCAATCTTCAATAATGATCTTCACCAAAAATTATGTACAACCGTGTTATTGTGGACCGAAATTTAAATTTGATGTAGTACTTAGATCTCAATTTTACATAACAAGCACTTCATGGATATTTTTTTTCGATAAGAATTGGAATAAAAGAGTTGAAAGAGGAAACTCGGCCGATCGAATTTCAAACGAGCCCGTCAGACCGCTGATAAGAGTGGAAAGTGAGAAGATAGCCGCACTAGTTTGATAATATTTCTTCCGCTAGAGAAAGTCATAATTACGACTTGTAAAAAAGAACGATCATTTCACAGTCTCGCTCCATTTAGAAATTGAAACCAGCCACAAATTAATCGTTTTGGGCTCAACTCAATTTTGAAAAAAAAAAATCTTTATCGATGTCGCTAAAATCAGCCGACCGCAGTTATGAGATAATTTCAGCGCTTCAGCCGTCAATGTGGCAACGTTTGATTTCACGTTCTGTCAACTAAACGGGTTCTTCAAAATTTAGACTCGCAATTTTGGTGAACGAATTAGACGATAATTTGTGTTTTTGCTTTTTTAAATACGACGAAATTGTAATAAAAATATTTTCGTTTATTTTTTCATCAGTCATGTTGTCAAACTTATGGCGATAAAAACTATGAGTAGCCATAATCCGAACATGCAACAAGAAGCTGTACAAAAAAATATGCACAGCTTCAAACAGACATTTCCTTCGGGTTGGGCTTCAGGCTCTTCTGATTGATCTAGAAATTCATTCCATTTCGGCCTTTGCTCGACATCGGCGCCTCCAATCATTGTTTCTGTTGGGGGGCTCGTTGCTGCGAATTGATTTGATGGTTCTATATCAACAGCTAAAAGGGTCAATCAGGAGGATCAAGGGTTTGCAACTTGAAAGTACCTGTATTTTGGGCCGCTTCAGGTTGGGTTTGAGCGGGAGTAGAGAAAGGAGAATATGGTTCTGTTGTCTCCTGAGGTGCTGTTTCAAAAGGAGCAAAGGCCGGGGCTTGAGCTAGAATTGGCGTTAAATATATAAAAATCTAACTGTAAACCTGATGAATCCCCATAATTATACGAGGAAAAATTTCCATATGAAGCCCAAGGATCATCTTCCGACCCTTGATTTGTGGAAAAAGACATCTTCAAAACTAAAGTGATCAAAATGTATTTTTACAAAACACCTTGGAGCTCTAGAAAATAAGAGACAAAGAAAAATTACTGATCCAGCAACAGACCTTTTCAACCAGAAAACCGTACGATATCGTACTTTTGAACGTCGCCCCCAATATCGGGAGTTAAACCTCTTTTTCTATAAAAAATAAAAATATAAAAAAATAATTCAAAAAGCAACTTGAGAATTTCAAAGCCTTTTTCTCATTTGGCAAAAATTTCGAGCTTTTTTTGAACGCGCGGTTGTGACTTCAAAAAACGGAAATAAGTACAACTCCAGTCAAACTCCAGTAAACAAAATGAGACAGACAAGAATGCTTTTGGCATTTTTGATGATACAGTCAGTCAGTGGACTAGCAGTGGAAAGAAGTATAGACGACAAAGACTACTTGCTCTTATCAGGGACGGTTTCGACGAGTATTATTTTCGGGAAATTTAATTATCAGGGAAGAATAGCCTAATAGGGGAAATGAGGTTTGCGTATCTTGTCGGCAAAATAGACACATGCATAGATCAACACACGTTTTTGGTTGAAAAAAAGGTTCAAATCTGACGTTTTTTCGCAATTTTTAAAGTAGGATTGAATCTTTTAGAATGAGGGCAAAACTTTTTTATCATGCAAATAAGGGCGTCACAATGATAACTTTGTTTTATGGGAAAGATCTTGGGTGGTATCAGGACAAAAAATTTCAACAAATTTTGCGTGGGCGGCTATGCGGCTTCTGATTGGCCGGTCTGACGAGTCCAGGGTTCTGATTGGTTGAAAATCTGCTTGAATCGGCTTTTTTTATTTTAGCTTTTTTAAGACAAAATGTAGATTGCTAGAAAAGAAGAAGTTCAAAGTACTAGTCATGTGTCTTTGTATTCATTTGTCCTGGTAGTCGCTTCTAAATCGAGCGGGTGCAAATGCGTGATAAAAAGTGAGCTGAAATTGCAAATGTGGTCAGGTGCGCGCGGTGCTTGTTCTCGGGGCCCGCCGTTCTCGGAATTGCCCGACCTTTCCAAATTTTTAATATCGGCGCCGCTCTCACATCTAACTCAGAATTATTAAAAAAATGTGACGAGAGCAATATTGCAGGGTCTTAGATATTCCTTTACGAAGTCATAGAAGGCTTACTCATAAATTTTCCGTAGAAAAGAAAAAAAAGATAAAGTCGTCTTTATTTTTTTAAAAAAACTTTTGAGCTGGGCCTTGTCATGACGAAATAATATAATCCGCTTGGATCCACTCGTGACTTTTTTGGGCAAATGATTAAGCCTCTCCGGAAGCTCTTGATTGACCCGCCCGTTTTCTTTTCAATTCCACGTCTCTTGAACCTTTTTGACAAACGAATTTGAGAAAATTCAAATTTGTCAATAAAAAACAGCTGACAATCGATAAGCCGCTTTCGGCTTTGAGCAAAAATTGTAATAGCCGCGCTATGCGCGGCTTTTTTCATTTTTAGCTCGAAGCCGCAAGCGGCTTCTTGATTTAAAGCTGTTATTATTGACAAATTTTAAGGGTGCTACCTTCGATTTCCCTAATTTTACGATCATTGGGGAAATCAAAGGTTGTCCCCTTAAAGCAGAATAAGAGCTTTTAAATTATTCCTGTATATATCTGTATACATTACAGGCGATTCTAAAATTGTCAACTGATAGTGGCCACTTAAGAAAAATGGGCCGTATTTATGAAATTTCTTGGGCGGAATGCATGTCAAATATCTGAAGTGCTTGAGTTTTACAACCGGTTCTTCAAAATATTTGGCGCCGAACCAAGTAGAGTAAAGTCAGAGTTGGGCGGCCGCGGGCGATTTCACTGTCTTTTTTTCACGGAAAAAAGTAACGTCACACGTTATTCAGAACACTAAAGCCGGCTGTATTAAGTTACATAATTATTTGGCAATTAGGGTTGGTAATTTAGCGCTGAAAGTGTTGGTTCAATAAAAAAAAATTGAAATTTTAAGCCGAAAATTGAAGATTTTCGTTTCAAAAATAAAATTTTTTTTGCGCCAATCAGATCATTTTATTCAAAAAATTATAACAAATTATTAAATTAAAAAAAATTAGAAAAATTTTAATTTCGAAAAGTTCATTTTTCTCCTTATTTTTTAAGTTGTAAGAAAAGGTTCTAAGCGCGAGTTGCGCAAGAATGTTAAAAACACTCAGTAGCGGTTTTGTCGAAACCTGCGGCTTCAGAATCGGACCTGGCGGAGTCAAGCTGCCCGACTATCGACCAAAGAAGCACCAACGATCAAGTAGAGCCACTTTACAAACTCAATCCCAAGGCGCGGATTAGAACACACGCAAATTTCCTTATCAAAGCAGATGTATTTCGGTGCCATTAAAAAGGGATGAACTTTTTCTAACAAAATTTGGAGGCCACGTTTCAAGAGTTATACTTTTCTTTTTGTAAATTGCCAATTGACCTTCACGGGGCTGCGATTTATTCGAAAATTGCTAGTTTCGAGACGAAATTTGCAAAAGCGTTTTGTTCTCAAGACCATTTTTAGACAATTTTCTATGCATTTTTTGCAATTTTTTTCATGAAGGCATAATCTGAAAATCCATATCCACGTTTTTATGAGCGATGTGGATTAATTTTCCCGCCTGAAATCTCATCCCTTTTCATCACTCTCAATTTTCACATCATTTTTAATCCCATTCGAAGCTATTCATTACGCCTGTTTACATTTGGGGTCCGTCGAGCCAGCTTCAAGGACTAAGGGAGTCAATCGGAGTTGCCATTCGATTGAACAGAACTCTTCTGCTCCCGCCGTTTCTGACGCACAATTCGGACCCGATTGGAGGAGACAAACCTGTACCTGTTGATGTCAGACTTGATATTCCAGAACTGAGGTAAATAAACAAAAAATATGATGAACAAGCAATTTATCAATAAGAGTTTTTTATCGATAAAAAACCTGAGTCAGGGTCTAACAGAGCTCAAATGAAAAGCCGCGTAGCGGCTTTTTTAAAAACGAAGCCGCAAAGCGGCTTCGCCAGAGTTTTTTTAACATATTTGCGAAGCCGCTTTGCGGCTTCGTTTTCAAAATAGCCGCTACGCGGCTTTTCATTTGAGCTCTTCTAGACCCTGACTAAGGTTTTCTACACAGGTTGCCGAGTCCAGCCTCCTCTTCCTTTAAAATCTTTGTCATGAGATATTACCAAGCTCTTTTTGTGATCTCATGTTTCGAATTCTCCTGTTTGAAGGAATGAGCCGCAGAAACAAGTGCTCGCAAAGTTTTTGCACGTGGCGAGTGTAATTCTGGTTTTCGTGAATCAAAAATTCGATTACACAAGTTGACAGTGAAAGAAGCTCACTTAAAATTGGAAATTCTCGCGTTTTTAATCAAAGATCATAAATAATGAAATTTATTCAGAAAGCTGATTTCGATTGGATTCACCGAGTCTCTGACCTGTCGCCAAGCTGACGTCGTGTTTTCTGCGCGCGGAATTTACCAAAAGCCAGATGACTCGTTTCCAATGCAGGAGCGAGTAAAACGGATTTCCGCCTTTGAAAAAGCGACCCAGATGGAAGTGCTGAGACGAGACGAAGCCCAAAGCAGCGACTTTCTTGAAAAACCGTTTTTGGCCGACTCGATGCCAAGTCCAAAAAGCCCGAAGCTCAGTGGAGCGGGAATGCAGTTCAGGAATGTTTCGACAATTTTTAAAGGTGCTTAGTTATCCCAGAGCAAAATTTAAATGATGCTAAACATCAGACTTAACCAGGGGTCTAAATTCGCAGTGCGAATTCGCTTTATTGCGAAGCGATGCGAAGCGAAGCGAATTCGCTTTCGCTTCGCTTCGCACTGGAGAGCAGAATTCGCTTCGCTTTCGCTTCGCAAAAATTCCCAAATTTTCGCATAAATTTTCGCACAGCAAGCGACTTTGCTGTTCGGAAGATTCTTTATCAAAGAGTTGGAGAGGGGCATTATTGATGCCGTTATAAATTCAAGTTTTCTCAGTCTTGTCAAGACGAGTCTAATGGTGGGTCTAACTGGATACACGACGTTTTCAGCATACCGACGTTTTCAGCAACCGACGTTTTCAGCATAACGATGTTTTCAGCGCCGCTGAATTCGTCGGTTTGCTGAAAACGTCGGTTTGCTGAAAACGTCGTTTTTCACCTGAAAACGCGTGGGCGTTTAGAGAGGCAATCATTTTATCAAACTACATCTGTAAACGATATTTCCGTAAATCGTAAAATAACATAAAATCGATGTAATATTAATGAATCATTTACAAAAGATTATATTTAATAAAATTATTATTTTTATCTTTTTCAATATTGATTTATCATTATTTTCATTGTTTTAAAACAGATTCACGAAACTTGATAATACGTTTATACTGTAAACTTTCTGGTGATTTATAGTGACTAATGATTATTATGATAATAATGTATTAGGAAGTAATTTAGCTAATTCTTACTTTTTTCTAAATAATGCATAATAACGTTTTCTAAATAATGCATTCTTAATGACTCATTTAGAAATGCTTTTAAACTATTAACTAGCCAATTAAATTGCGAGAACCTCGCCTTTAGATCCATTTGGTTTGAAAATTTCGTTCCGGCAAACGCCCACGCGTTTTCAGGTGAAAAACGATGTTTTCAGCAAACCGACGTTTTCAGCATAACGACGTTTTCAGCGCCGCTGAATTCGTCGGTTTGCTGAAAACGTAGATTGCTGAAAACGTCGGTATGCTGAAAACGTCGTGTATCCGGTCTAACTCTCAATAAATCCAAGGATTGACTGGTTATCAAGCTGGTTTTACCCCGGAAAACACGTTGTCACCACCCTTTTTTATTGTAAATAAGCTAGAATATTTTTTGAATGATCAGAATGATCCAGGGGTCTAAATATCAGCCGAAATCCTAGTGCGAAAGCGAAGCGAAAGCGAACCATTTTTTCAAATTTTTTGCGAAGCGAAAGCGAAGCGAATTCTTCGCCCATGTGCGAAGCGAAAGCGAAGCGAAATATCATTGAAAATTGCGAAAAAAAGCGAAAATTTTTTCGCTTGAATTGAAACGCATTCTCTGGCCAGAATCTTTAGCAATCAGCCACTCAAAAGCAAAGATGATTTCAAAAACCTATTTTCGGGGCAGAAAATTACAAAAAAATCTGTTACTGTACTTTTTTCAGCTCGTCAATATAAGTTGAATGGTTGGTCTTACTGATGATAATTCCAAGTTAGTAATAAACTCGATAGCAGAGGTGACCGTTCGGGCATCGGGAAGTCGGGGAATACGGACGATTTTCGGGCAAAATGTGTTCGGCCGGGCATTCGGACGGCTCAGCCCCTTAAGTTTGACCGGGCAAAAGCGGGCATTCGGGCATTTGGGCAATTTCGGCACTTTCGGGGAATTCAGCGCTTTCGGGCAGTTGGTTAAGCCCGCGCCGAGAAAAATTCTTAACTTTCGCATTCTTTACAACTATTTTTGCTCTCTTGCTCCTCTAACTAAATCAAAAGCCTCTAGAAACTTATTTCTCTAGCCCTTATCTATCGACGATTTCTTGCCCGAATGGGCACCCTTGCTCGATAGGAGATGAGATCATCTTCGATTCTAGATAAGCCCTGTTCATAAAGATCATTCTGATCATTCAAAAAATATTCTAGCATACTTACAATAAAAAAGGCTGGTGACACCGTGTTTTCCGGGGTAGGACCAGCTTGATAACCAGTCAATCCTTGGAATTATTGAGAGTTAGACCCACCATTAGACTCGTCTTCACAAGACTGAGAAAACTTGAATTAATAACGGCATCAATAATGCCCTTTTCCAACTCTTTGATAAAGAATCTTCCGAATAGCAAAGTCGCTTGCTGTGCGAAAATTTATGCGAAAATTTGGGAATTTTTGCGAAGCGAAAGCGAAGCGAATTCTGCTCTCCAGTGCGAAGCGAAGCGAAAGCGAATTCGCTTCGCTTCGCATCGCTTCGCAATAAAGCGAATTCGCACTGCGAATTTAGACCCCTGAATGATCTTTATGAACAGGGCTTATCAAGAATCGAAGATGATCTCATCTCCTATCGATCAAGGGTGACCATTCGGGCAAGAAAACGTCGATTGGGCATCCGAAATTCGGATTATGCCCGGCCGAAATCAAGGGCCAAGAGTCGCGCCGTCCGAATGCACAGTCGAGCTGGTGATGGGATTTTCAAGAGATAAGGGCTAGAAAAATAAGTTTCGAGAGGCTTTTGATTCAGTTAGAGGAGCAAGAGAGCGAAAATAGTTGTAAAAATGCGAAATTTAAGAATTTACCTCGGCGCGGGCTTAACCAACTGCCCGAAAGCGCTGAATTCCCGAAAGTGCCGAATTTGCCCGAAATGCCCGCTTTTGCCCGGCCAAATTTAAGGGGCTGAGCCGTCCGAATGCCCGGCCGAGCACATTTTGCCCGAAAATTGTCCGTTTTCCCCGACTTCCCGATGCCCGAACGGTCACCCCTGATATCGAGTTTATTACTAACTTGAAATATCAACAGTTAGACCCACCATTCGGCATATATTGACGAGCTGAAAAAGTACAGTAACAGATTTTTGTAATTTTATGCCCCAAAAATAGGTTTTTGAAATAATCTTCGCTTTTGAGTGGCTGATTGCTAAAGATTCTTGCCAGAGAATGCGTTTCAATTCAAGCGAAAAATTTTCGCTTTTTTCGCAATTTTCGAGGATATTTCGCTTCGCTTTCGCTTCGCACATGGGCGAAAAATTCGCTTCGCTTTCGCTTCGCAAAAAATTTGAAAAAATGGTTCGCTTTCGCTTCGCTTTCGCACTAGGATTTCGGCGGATATTTAGACCCCTGACTTAACCTCTTAAGGATATAAGCTATGAATTTGAACTTTCGTAGCGCCTAAAAGCGTAGTAGGATCATTTTCATTTCAAAAGCAATCCTACCTAAAAATGCACGCAAAAGTCAAATATGGTATTTTTAAAAAATTTTACTGAAAATTTTCCTTTTAGAGCGATTTCAAATCTTACTCTCTCGATTCCTCGAATTTTTCCCACTAAATCGGTCCAGTTTTTTCGATAAATAACTTCTCTTAACCCTTATCTACAAAATTGACGGATCAGTTTTCCCTAATTCTGACCGAAACCGATTTTAGAGCCATTTCCATGAGGTTTACCAAGCGCGTGAATAGTGTAAAAGCGGCGCGCTGGGCGCTCGCTCTCTCGACTCCTCTTTTCCGTGAGAGTGGCGCGGTTGAGCGGAGCGCTCTGATTGGTTGCAAGCGAAAAAGCACAAAAAGAAGAAAAACACGAGCAAGAAAGAGGAAACGCTATAATAAAAATTCGAAAGAGTTTTGAAATAAAAGCCCGTCAATTTTCTAGCTTAACATCATCGAAATAAAAGACACGGTTTAGTTTCAGCAATTCAATGGAAAAATTTCGAGAAATCGAGAGAGTAAGATTTGAAATCGCTCTAAAAGGAAAATTTTCAATAAATTTATTTTTAAAAGTACCATATTTGAGTTTTGCGTGCATTTTTAGGCAGGATTGCTTTTGAAATGAAAATGATCCTACTACGCATTTAGGCGCTACGAAAGTTCAAATTCATAGCTTATATCCTTAAGTCATGCTGGCCCATTTTGAGCTCCAAGAGAAAAATAATTGAGGAATAAAAATTTGGATGAACGAAAATCCGTCAAATCGTGATCATGTAATCTCTATCGGTCCGCTCAGCGAGCATTTTTTCTAAATAAACTTTCAAGTGCTAATTCGATTTTCATAAAATAAACGGGATTATCGATCTTCACGATGCTATCTCGAGCCTTTCGCCTCGTAAAAAGTGATTATATTTAGCAAAAGATTCATTTTTTCAATGATTTCTGATTGAAAAATCACAGTATTTTAGAATCAAACTATAATTAAGAGTAGCTCTCCTGTTGAATTGATCAATTAAACCTCGTTTGTTGTTGAAACAGGCGAAAGTTATCGCTCAGACACTTTGCAGAGTGAATACAACTCGACTGATACCTGTGCCACCTGGTTGTTTCCATTCAACAACTACAAATATCCCGTTGTTTGGTCAGCAAAAGATACCCCTCTCACCAGCGGCGAGCAGTTCTTCTATCAGGTAACTTTCCAGAATAATCATAATCGGGCGGCACTGGGCGGCACAAGGCGGCGCTATTCAGTTATTTCCCAATTTGTTTTTCGTTTTTAGCAATTTCCCCTTACCATAAAAAGCCGAGTGTCTACTGGAAATGATCCTGTTTTGTGGAAAATACTCCAAATGTATCTATATTTATACACAAATTCTTTGCTTTGAGTCAAATCTATATAATCGACTCTTTTTAATTGCATAAAAAGCCGCCTCTAATTAGTAAAGCTCAAGGTTGATAAATTCTAATAATGAATTTAAGATCGTCCAACACACCCGAAAGCCAGAGTACATTCGACAAATGACCACTCGGTTCATGGAGGAACAACTCAATGGACCATACGTTGCGATGCATTACAGATACGACGCGATTGAGTGGTCAAATGTCTGTGCTCGGCCGCAGAAAGGACGAAAAGGAGAAGTCTGCGAAATTTTAGAAAAAACTGGCTCAAAGGGTAAGATGAAAGGAGGAAAAGATGGAAGCTTAATTTATTATTCAGGTCTTGCCCTTGCGCTATCTCGTTTTATCTTGCAAACTGGCGCCTTTATCTCAGGCCTCCCACCGAGATCCTCCGTTATCTATGTCTCGTCGCCCCCGTCTGAAGCGCGAAATATTCGTGAAGTCATGAATCTTGCTGAAAAGATCTTGGAGGGAGAAGGTAAAGCCCCCTTTATCAAGCCCTTTTCTTAATTTTTTTTCAGGCTGGAACATCAAAATCGTCAGTACACTAGACACGACTAAATATCTCGAAGAAAACTACGGCAACTGTGGTGTTCTGGGAGATTTCAAGTCCGAAGTGATAAGTCTAGTTGAGCAGGAAATCGCCTACCGAGGGGATTATCTGCTTTTTTCGGAGCTTTCAGGTAACAAGCGATTTTCAGAAAACGAAAAAATTGGACAAAATTCGCGCATTAGATCAGATTTTATGACATTATCAATTTCACGAGTTCGATTTCGGCTCAAAATTATTCAAATTTTTTTTTTCTAAAAAAATTTCTCTAAAATCGACCGAAAAAACACAAAAAATTTAGAAAATTTTTTCATAATTTTTTCGAAAGATATTCGTTTTTGATTGGGCGTAAAAGGAAATACTGATTTTTGATTGGCTCAAATTAAATTTCAGGCTGGTCGGCTAATGTACGAAAGGAGCGAATCCTGGATGACAAGTATTTCAACGAAATGTCCGTGATCAAGCTAGTAGAGGACTTTGGCCCAGCCAGTCCCAACTACAGTCACGCCGCACTGTACTCAAAGGTGGAAGAGGAGAAAAAGCGGCTAGCGATGGAGCAGATTCAACTAGCGCAGAAGACGCCGGCGGATTTCGGAATTCGACAAATTCAGAATTCCTAAACGCGGGATTTGTTTTGCGCTAGAATCATGTTCAACGAGAAAATTCAAGGGAAAAGGGTTTAAGACGTAGATGTGTATCGAGCTCTAGTTGTTTTTGTTTTTGGAAAATTGCAGTTGTTTTCTGGGAAGCATCAGAAAGAACTTAAAATGCACTTAGAACGTGAAATGAACCGCTCAAGTGATCGTTTTTTAATTCTACTCCCCTGAAATTATCCTTTTCTTTTGTGGTCGCAATAATTACACCTCCCAGTTTTTCGAGCGTTTCAACTTTCAGTTTTCGAATAAAAAAAAACGCTTACGAAGATAACTTTCCCGCTCGAAAATGCCAAATTTGATTGTATTTTTGAAAGTTGGTACTTATTTAAGGGTATCACCCTCAAATAGAGAGTCACAAGTGACCATCTTTTAAAACCAATTTTATCACGGTAAAACATAAAGATTTGAAGAAATTTGCTCTATAAAATTGTTGTTTTTCAAGTGCTACCTCCTTAAGATCCATTATAATCTTAAGGGTATCTCCCTTATTCGCGGCCTCAGCCACTCTAAAACAATCAAACCACGTCAGTCTCGACGCATCTTTATCAGAACTATCATTTTTGAACACTTTTTCCAGCAGCAAGGTAGTCTTATCTCAGTTGATGCAACAACAAGCTCGTCATCCCCATTTTTCTCTTGTACGTCCAGCAGGGACAAATTGGCTCCACTTGAGGACTCTCGCTCTGGAGCGTCTTGCAAAGCTCCTGGAATTGTGGGAACCTGTTTTACACAAAAACGCAAGGAAAAACATGGCGCCCTTTGTTTCTTGCCCAACTGATTTTTCGGTTATTTTTATTTTCAACAACAAAATAAGGGCCTACAGTATCATTGTCTTCCAAAAAAACCCTTGACAAAGCACTGTACAGAAAAACGCCTGAATCTCGTCCATTCCTTCTCCTGCTCCCGACCCGCTGCTGCCATAATCTTCAACATCTTCGACCTCAGAGTACAAAATGTTCTCAAACAAAAACACACAAAATATTCCTCTATCTGTAAATATTCTTTCTTTCTCCTCAATTTTTGAAATATTCAGATTTTTTTTTCGAATATTTCAAAGTTTCAAATCGGTCCATAATTCCAAGTAAAGGCAGAAAAGAGTTGATTATGCCGAGCTTGGAAAGGCTTTTCTTAAAAATCAAGAAGTTTTGACTGAAAAATTAGCCACGTGATCGTTTTCGCCGAAAGTCGACAGTTTTCTCAAAGTTTTCTTTTTGCGCGAATCGCTAGAAAAACCTGGTTTTTCAAGGCAGACGACGGATTGAGTTGGCCCACTCCGCACGTGGGGCCAAGGCACAGGAGGTGTCAAGCCGAGAGTCAATAGATGCAAGGGACCACGCCGCCGGGGCGAACTCCTGCAGAGTACGGTTCCGGGCAAAGTTTGGAGCAAGTCCCGGTGTGGGACCTTCAGTAAACAGAATCAAAGGTCACATTGAGCGCGAGATCAGGATCAAGCTCATCTCCGGATAAGACCTTAAAGTGAAGATAAAGACGACCAAAAATAAAATTTGATGAAACTACGCCATAGACGGTAATCAGGGGCGTAGAATCCGAATCTTTGGTCGAAAAAGACTTTTAATGTCAAATGAGCCAAGGGCAGGAATCTTTACAACAATTACTGCCCTTTTTCTGCCTTCTGTTTGAGTCTTTAGCTGCAAGTTATATGTCGCAACTGTCTTTTTAATTTTCAAATCGGAAGCAATTAAGATTGACAAACTTTTATCAAGCAGCTGATAGAACAAATAACTAATTAAGGAAAAGATTTAATAAAAGAACTTCAAAAAAATGACGCTCAGGATCCAGAAAATACTAGATAACCAAGGGCAGTAATCTTTACAACAAATACTGCTCTCATAAGAAATGAGCCTCTCCGGAACTAGGAAATACTTTCAGAAATTAAGGGCAGTAATTGTTCTAAAGATTACTGCCCGTGGCTTATTTGTCATTAAAAGTCTTTTTCGATCAAAGATTCGGATTCTACGCCCCTGATTACCCTATTGGGCGTAGTTTCATCAAATTCTATTTTTCGGTCATCTATATCTTCATTTTTAGGGCTGATCCGAGGATGAGCTTGATCCTAATCTCGGGCTCAATGTGACCCTTGATTCTGTTTACTCAAGGTCTCACACCGAGACTTGCTCCAAACTTGGCCCCGAACTGGACTCTGCAGGAGTTCGCATCGGCGGCGTGGTCCCTTGCATCTATTGACTCTCGGCTTGACACCTTCTGTGCCTTAGCCCCACGTGCGGAGTGGGCCAACTCAATCCGTGTTTCCCCGTTTTTCACTTGATGGTTCGTAAAAAAACCCTTTTCCTGTAAATATTTTTTCTCGCATTTTTTTTCTTTTTCGGGTTCAGAAAAGTTCAACAAAAAATTTTCGCGCCTTGAAAAAATTATTTCGAGATTTAAAATTTTACAAGTCAAGATGGCGCCCTTATCAGCTCAATTTTTACTGATAAGAGAAATAAATTTAATTTTGAACTTGAACCCGTTGCTTCAGAAAAGGCTGAAGCAATTTCTTTCATTTTCAATTTCGTCTTTCTTTTTTTAACAAAGGGTTGAATAAAATTAACCCTTTGGAATTCAATCGTCCAATAAAATGGCAGATAGAAAATCTGGTTATCCATTTGCCGGACTTTTTCTTTGAAAACTGAGACAAGAAGCAAACTCACGAGGGCATTTTTCTGCCGATGTCATTTTTCATCAATTTTAGTCCTGTCAAGTCACGTGAGTGAAAATTCAAAAACTTCAAATCAACTACAAATCCGCCCGGAATTCGGGAGAAGCCCAAAATCCGTTAAAAACCAGTCTTTTAACTGTCCGAAGCCAATTCAAAAAGCCCTCACGTGACCAAGACAGAAGCCATTTTTGGTGGAATAAGATATGACATCTGTTATGTACACAAATTCAAAAACCCAATAACTTAAATTTTGAACCAACAATTTTGCGATCATAGATTCTTTCTCGGAAATATGCAATTTTGAACGTATTTAATTCTAGCGTAAAAGTAAAGAGCTTGGACTAATACTTTTTATGCTGTACGAATAAATAAAACAAACATTCATCATCATATATTTTATTGAAAAGGAAATTGCCAAGATTTAGTAGAACTCTTGTCGTTGAATTTCAGAAGTAGTGCGGATCATTTCTACGTTGATGTTTTCTTCGTTTACAACTGGTCCTAAAACCGGTTTGAAAACAGAAAATCGGACCGAAACTCACACCATCGCTGACTTTTTGGTACTCCTCTTCATTTTCCTCTTCTTCCGGCCAGTGAGCAGAAATGACAAATAAGTAGCAAAGGGAACCAATAACGCCTAGATTTGAATTTAAGAAATCCTTATTTACGCATCATTTTTACCTCCAACAAGAGGAGCAACAAGTGGAATCCAGAAAAAGTGCCCAGAACCTGCGATAGCTTCGGTTCCGTACATGATCAGTGAGAAAAGTCGTGGGCCAAGATCTCGGGCAGGATTGATGGCTCCACCACCATTTGCTCCGTATGACAAACCTAGGAATATTGACTGTATAGAAAGATCTTTGAGAGCTCCTACCGATTGTACAAGCAGCTAGGCCAATAAGAAGTGGGGCAGCTCCACCAGGATTGGCATTTCGGTTGTCAGTGACGCTGAAGATGACTTTGAGCGGTTCTTTTTTTTTGTCGAGATGGAATTATTTGTATTTTTATGTCAGAAGAGAGCCGGTCCTGTAATAAGGATCCAAGTACCAATAACCTGGTCAAAGAAAAGATTTCCAGCTGAAATCTCGAAATCTCCCGTCGGCCAAGTAGCGTAAAATCCGGTCAAATCATGCGAAGAAAGATTCTTGTTCGAGGTCAAATACTCTTCCTCGGCCTTGTATGCACCGTAAACGAAGAAACAACTTGAACGGTTATTTAGATACCAAATTTTTAATAGAATCTTACCTCAAAAACGCCCCCATGATCTGCGAAATCGAATAAAGGAGAAACATAACGGCATTTTCTCCCGCTGTTTTTCCGAGTCTCCCCAACGTCGCCATCGCAATCGTCACTGCTGGATTCACATGTCCTCCAGAAACACCGGCAGAGGCGTAGATTCCGAAAGCCACGGCCAAACCGTAGGCGAAGCAGACGGCGAAAATTCCTGTCTCTTTGTAAGCGCCTTCGTGGACAGCTCCGTTTCCGACGAGGCAAAGGATGAAGGTGCCGAAGAATTCAGCAAGACAGATGCGGATCATCGGATTTGAGATTCGGCATTTTTGTTTGATCAGCGCCTCTAGAAATAATCATCAAGATTTCAACCTTTCTTCGAGTTCCAAGAATAAAAAATTTTCTATAAGAAAAATTTTACCAAATGACATCTTCTCTAGAATAAAATGAAATTTGGACGGAAATATTCCCGGCATAGAGAATTGAGGTCATCAAGTTTATTATTTTGTAAAGTGCATTCGAAAGTGGAGCCAAATACTGGCATGAAATAAATGGTATGCAGCGTGGAATTCAAAAAGCAAATAAAAAAATGCGAATAGCTCCTCTCCCATATTGGCATATTTTAAGTTCAACCTTCGTTTTTGTTCGAAAACTAACAATAATTGAGCAAGTGCGGGAGCGCAAAAGATGACGCCATGGAACGGCGTAACATTGATTGACCGAGCGGGTGCGACAAGCGTTACATACCAAGACATAAACAGATTGCCCTTATCCTTTAACGGACTTCGAGCTCAGCAGCCCGAGGAGATATCAACACCAGCTGCATTTTATTTTCATTAATCGCGCTTGTTATGACACCTCATTCTTCTAGTCTTCTCGTCAACGATTGAGAAGAAGAAGCCCTAACTTGGCATTTTCTTCTCAAGAAAAAACGAAGAACGACACTTTTTTCTATCATTTTAGCTTGATAAAGTGCGCTTCAAAAATTCTGACCGCTGTTTAAATCATCAAAAATCAATGCTGCTAATGGATGTTGATCTCCGCGAATTCTTCATTTTTCAAAACTTTAGTTGAGAGTAAATGTGGCCGCAAGATGATGATCCGATAGTAAGACTAGTTTTCTTGTATTTTTATATCTATTGATTCAGTCGCTCTGGTATCTTCTGTATTTGACAGTGCTTGGGCTTCTGTACATCTCGTCCTATCTCATGTTTCTTATCATCAGAGCAGCTTGTGGATACGAATTCGAGGTGCTGTCCATGTCTTCTTCTTTTCGAGAAGATTTGCTGGAGAAGAAAAAGAAAATTATCATTTCTGTCAAAAAATAAAATTATTTTTTTTTCTACCAAAATGACGAATTTTCAAAATTTTGAAAGAGATCTTCAATTTATGTAAGAGACTAAAGCTTAGATCTCTGACTCTAAGGTTGTTTAGTTGTCGAAAATCCTTTCTTCCGGAAACATCCGAACTCGACATCAATCCTTGTCTGAACATGACATTGGACGGGCCTTACGATTTTAGGTGAGCAAGTTTTTTAAACCCCGCATTCTTGAAATTTTAAGCTGCTGGGATCTCAACTTCGAGGAATGTTTGGCATATGTAAGTTCCGAATTCACGGCGATCTAAGCTGATAAAGAGACAAATAAAATTTTCAGACCCTTGTTGCGATCCTCTTTGTTTTCAACATCGCCCTGATCGCCCGTTGCATTAAAATAACCGTCGATCCTTATGCCAACGGGTTTTTCACCTTCAGTAAACAGAATCAAAGGTCACATTGAGCGCGAGATCAGGATCAAGCTCATCTCCGGATAAGACCTTAAAGTGAAGATAAAGACGACCAAAAATAAAATTTGATGAAACTACGCCATAGACGGTAATCAGGGGCGTAGAATCCGAATCTTTGGTCGAAAAAGACTTTTAATGTCAAATGAGCCAAGGGCAGGAATCTTTACAACAATTACTGCCCTTTTTCTGCCTTCTGTTTGAGTCTTTAGCTGCAAGTTATATGTCGCAACTGTCTTTTTAATTTTCAAATCGGAAGCAATTAAGATTGACAAACTTTTATCAAGCAGCTGATAGAACAAATAACTAATTAAGGAAAAGATTTAATAAAAGAACTTCAAAAAATGACGCTCAGGATCCAGAAAATACTAGATAACCAAGGGCAGTAATCTTTACAACAAATACTGCTCTCATAAGAAATGAGCCTCTCCGGAACTAGGAAATACTTTCAGAAATTAAGGGCAGTAATTGTTCTAAAGATTACTGCCCGTGGCTTATTTGTCATTAAAAGTCTTTTTCGATCAAAGATTCGGATTCTACGCCCCTGATTACCCTATTGGGCGTAGTTTCATCAAATTCTATTTTTCGGTCATCTATATCTTCATTTTTAGGGCTGATCCGAGGATGAGCTTGATCCTAATCTCGGGCTCAATGTGACCCTTGATTCTGTTTACTCAAGGTCTCACACCGAGACTTGCTCCAAACTTGGCCCCGAACTGGACTCTGCAGGAGTTCGCATCGGCGGCGTGGTCCCTTGCATCTATTGACTCTCGGCTTGACACCTTCTGTGCCTTAGCCCCACGTGCGGAGTGGGCCAACTCAATCCGTGTTTCCCCGTTTTTCACTTGATGGTTCGTAAAAAAACCCTTTTCCTGTAAATATTTTTTCTCGCATTTTTTTTCTTTTTCGGGTTCAGAAAAGTTCAACAAAAAATTTTCGCGCCTTGAAAAAATTATTTCGAGATTTAAAATTTTACAAGTCAAGATGGCGCCCTTATCAGCTCAATTTTTACTGATAAGAGAAATAAATTTAATTTTGAACTTGAACCCGTTGCTTCAGAAAAGGCTGAAGCAATTTCTTTCATTTTCAATTTCGTCTTTCTTTTTTTAACAAAGGGTTGAATAAAATTAACCCTTTGGAATTCAATCGTCCAATAAAATGGCAGATAGAAAATCTGGTTATCCATTTGCCGGACTTTTTCTTTGAAAACTGAGACAAGAAGCAAACTCACGAGGGCATTTTTCTGCCGATGTCATTTTTCATCAATTTTAGTCCTGTCAAGTCACGTGAGTGAAAATTCAAAAACTTCAAATCAACTACAAATCCGCCCGGAATTCGGGAGAAGCCCAAAATCCGTTAAAAACCAGTCTTTTAACTGTCCGAAGCCAATTCAAAAGCCCTCACGTGACCAAGACAGAAGCCATTTTTGGTGGAATAAGATATGACATCTGTTATGTACACAAATTCAAAAACCCAATAACTTAAATTTTGAACCAACAATTTTGCGATCATAGATTCTTTCTCGGAAATATGCAATTTTGAACGTATTTAATTCTAGCGTAAAAGTAAAGAGCTTGGACTAATACTTTTTATGCTGTACGAATAAATAAAACAAACATTCATCATCATATATTTTATTGAAAAGGAAATTGCCAAGATTTAGTAGAACTCTTGTCGTTGAATTTCAGAAGTAGTGCGGATCATTTCTACGTTGATGTTTTCTTCGTTTACAACTGGTCCTAAAACCGGTTTGAAAACAGAAAATCGGACCGAAACTCACACCATCGCTGACTTTTTGGTACTCCTCTTCATTTTCCTCTTCTTCCGGCCAGTGAGCAGAAATGACAAATAAGTAGCAAAGGGAACCAATAACGCCTAGATTTGAATTTAAGAAATCCTTATTTACGCATCATTTTTACCTCCAACAAGAGGAGCAACAAGTGGAATCCAGAAAAAGTGCCCAGAACCTGCGATAGCTTCGGTTCCGTACATGATCAGTGAGAAAAGTCGTGGGCCAAGATCTCGGGCAGGATTGATGGCTCCACCACCATTTGCTCCGTATGACAAACCTAGGAATATTGACTGTATAGAAAGATCTTTGAGAGCTCCTACCGATTGTACAAGCAGCTAGGCCAATAAGAAGTGGGGCAGCTCCACCAGGATTGGCATTTCGGTTGTCAGTGACGCTGAAGATGACTTTGAGCGGTTCTTTTTTTGTCGAGATGGAATTATTTGTATTTTTATGTCAGAAGAGAGCCGGTCCTGTAATAAGGATCCAAGTACCAATAACCTGGTCAAAGAAAAGATTTCCAGCTGAAATCTCGAAATCTCCCGTCGGCCAAGTAGCGTAAAATCCGGTCAAATCATGCGAAGAAAGATTCTTGTTCGAGGTCAAATACTCTTCCTCGGCCTTGTATGCACCGTAAACGAAGAAACAACTTGAACGGTTATTTAGATACCAAATTTTTAATAGAATCTTACCTCAAAAACGCCCCCATGATCTGCGAAATCGAATAAAGGAGAAACATAACGGCATTTTCTCCCGCTGTTTTTCCGAGTCTCCCCAACGTCGCCATCGCAATCGTCACTGCTGGATTCACATGTCCTCCAGAAACACCGGCAGAGGCGTAGATTCCGAAAGCCACGGCCAAACCGTAGGCGAAGCAGACGGCGAAAATTCCTGTCTCTTTGTAAGCGCCTTCGTGGACAGCTCCGTTTCCGACGAGGCAAAGGATGAAGGTGCCGAAGAATTCAGCAAGACAGATGCGGATCATCGGATTTGAGATTCGGCATTTTTGTTTGATCAGCGCCTCTAGAAATAATCATCAAGATTTCAACCTTTCTTCGAGTTCCAAGAATAAAAAATTTTCTATAAGAAAAATTTTACCAAATGACATCTTCTCTAGAATAAAATGAAATTTGGACGGAAATATTCCCGGCATAGAGAATTGAGGTCATCAAGTTTATTATTTTGTAAAGTGCATTCGAAAGTGGAGCCAAATACTGGCATGAAATAAATGGTATGCAGCGTGGAATTCAAAAAGCAAATAAAAAAATGCGAATAGCTCCTCTCCCATATTGGCATATTTTAAGTTCAACCTTCGTTTTTGTTCGAAAACTAACAATAATTGAGCAAGTGCGGGAGCGCAAAAGATGACGCCATGGAACGGCGTAACATTGATTGACCGAGCGGGTGCGACAAGCGTTACATACCAAGACATAAACAGATTGCCCTTATCCTTTAACGGACTTCGAGCTCAGCAGCCCGAGGAGATATCAACACCAGCTGCATTTTATTTTCATTAATCGCGCTTGTTATGACACCTCATTCTTCTAGTCTTCTCGTCAACGATTGAGAAGAAGAAGCCCTAACTTGGCATTTTCTTCTCAAGAAAAAACGAAGAACGACACTTTTTTCTATCATTTTAGCTTGATAAAGTGCGCTTCAAAAATTCTGACCGCTGTTTAAATCATCAAAAATCAATGCTGCTAATGGATGTTGATCTCCGCGAATTCTTCATTTTTCAAAACTTTAGTTGAGAGTAAATGTGGCCGCAAGATGATGATCCGATAGTAAGACTAGTTTTCTTGTATTTTTATATCTATTGATTCAGTCGCTCTGGTATCTTCTGTATTTGACAGTGCTTGGGCTTCTGTGCATCTCGTCCTATCTCATGTTTCTTATCATCAGAGCAGCTTGTGGATACGAATTCGAGGTGCTGTCCATGTCTTCTTCTTTTCGAGAAGATTTGCTGGAGAAGAAAAAGAAAATTATCATTTCTGTCAAAAAATAAAATTATTTTTTTTTCTACCAAAATGACGAATTTTCAAAATTTTGAAAGAGATCTTCAATTTATGTAAGAGACTAAAGCTTAGATCTCTGACTCTAAGGTTGTTTAGTTGTCGAAAATCCTTTCTTCCGGAAACATCCGAACTCGACATCAATCCTTGTCTGAACATGACATTGGACGGGCCTTACGATTTTAGGTGAGCAAGTTTTTTAAACCCCGCATTCTTGAAATTTTAAGCTGCTGGGATCTCAACTTCGAGGAATGTTTGGCATATGTAAGTTCCGAATTCACGGCGATCTAAGCTGATAAAGAGACAAATAAAATTTTCAGACCCTTGTTGCGATCCTCTTTGTTTTCAACATCGCCCTGATCGCCCGTTGCATTAAAATAACCGTCGATCCTTATGCCAACGGGTTTTTCACCTTGCAAAATTCAATTAAATTAAACACAAGGAAAACCACGGAAAAAGGCTCAATTCACGATTACATCGGCGTCGGAAGCTACACATCCGTCACTCCACTCCAACGTTATGCATAAGACACTCTTATCTTTCCGAATAAAATGATGAGAATTTAATTTATTTATTAACAGAATTCGGACAAATGAAAAGTTGAAATCGTGAAGAATCGCAGGTATGAGGTCAGTGACGGTGGAGGAATATTTTTTCTTGAAAATCTAGCGCGATTTTCCGAAGGTTTTCAAATCTGCTACGGTGTCGGAATGCGGACTTATTTCGCTTTTTTCGCTGAAATTTTTTGATGAAAGATGGTTTTTAAAAAGATGCTTTACCTTTCCCTATTGCTTTCGCGGCCATATAGACCAATAAAGGAGCCATTTTCTTAGAAGAAAATGTTAAAAAAGTCTCTTTTCAAAGTTTTTCTTCATGAAAAAACACGATTCTTGAAGAGTACCTGTATAATGTCTTGTAACACCACCTTCCGCACCAAATCCCGTGATTGAATCCGACTCCGAAGATACTTTTCTCAATTCGCTGTTTCCATATCCCGCTGAGTTCTTATCAGAGCTAAAATTTTTTGATAAGAAAATTTCTTCCGCTGAAAAATTGTTTAGAATTTTGACTTTGACTTTGACTACAAAAGTTAAAGCGTGTTAAAATGCTGAAAAGGTGCTCCATATTCTAGATTTTGTCTACATCTTCAAGTTGTGCGAATGGTTAGAGTTCTAGCCCAAAAGAAGTCTTTTGGCTTCTACGGAAAAATAAACCTGTAATCGCGCGCAGACTCGGTTTGAGAATTACTGCGGCTTACGCGATTCGAGTAAATCATTGGTAAGTCCTTGTTGTTGGCCCGGTAGCGCCCGAAGCTGATTTTTGTCAAGAAGATTTGATAAAAAGGGAGTTACCGAGGAGAATGAGGATGGAGGAGGTTCCGGTCTTCGATGTTTTGTTCAGGGTCGTCGATGATGAGTTCTTGCTTTGTTTGCACTGAATATATGAGCTATTCGAAAAAATTTTCAGAAAATACCATAAAAACGAAGTTTATTATATCTATTAAAAAAAATTGCGCATTATCGTCGATAATTTATCGACAATAAAGACATTTCATATTTCTGGACTCCTTGTCGGTTCAAACGATCTCGTACCTGGATATTTTCCTGACTTATTATGCTGGACAAAGCAGACAATGATGATCAAAAGCAGAGTCCCACCGGTACCGACGAGGACTGCAACAAACCACAAGTTTGTTTCAAGATTCGGTCCATCTTAAAAAATTTTAGAAATCTCATTGCTAAAGACCTAAACTCATACCTTCAGTAGAGAACTCAGCAGTAGTGTTTTCAGAGTTTCCATATTTATTCGAAGCCATTATGACAAGAGTGTAGTTTTCTCCTGGTGGAAGCCTAAAATTTCCCTGTCATGTTTTTTGTAAAAAATTTGAATCTTACCCGTCTAAAAGGAAACCAGGTCGTTTTCGATGGGTCACTGTCTCTTTGCTCCAGCCAACTCCTTGGTCCGAATTCCGATTTCGATACTGAAAGAAAGATGATTTTATTTATTTTCTGCCGATAATTCTGATTTTCGCTTTGACAGATCTCCTTTTTTATGCACAGAGTTCTAAGCAAAAAAGCCATCATTAGCCGCAAAAACGACTTTCGCATCGATTGCCACCGGCAATTTTTAATTAAGTTGCAACTTCCAACTCTTGCTTATGCTTTAACGCTTACCAGAATCGTGTAGTTGTTTGGCTTGATGTAGGGAGTCTGCTCGTTTTCTTCGTAAGACCATGTGATGTTGACTCCGCCAGTGGTTTGGGCTATGGATACATCTGTAGGAGCAGTTGGGCGGGCCTCAGCGATCGAAATGGTTGAAACTGAAATAACGCCAGGAACCTCGCCTTGCCCAGCGCTTGTTTTGGCATATAGTTTGATGTCATATTTATGATTTGGCTTCAAGTTTGCTACGTCCATTCTTGACTTGCTGTATCCAGCTGATTCCTGAGCGACGGTATGATAATTTTGACTGCCAGGATTGTCGATTGGGAGACCATCGGCTTGGTAGATGTATGCGGTTATTTGGCCATTTGGATTTTTTGGCTGTTTCCAGACAATATTTACCTGAAAATTATTAATTTCGATTATAGAACCAAGAGTTTTACCTTGTCTGGCCAAACCGACATGACCTGCAAATCCACTGGCGGCCCTGGTCTATCTTCCAAGGTCTCTTTGTCAACAAAATTCGAAAACGGCCCGACTCCAGCGCTATTGACAGCAGCAACTTTCATCCGATATTTCTTCGCTGGCTTCAAGTTGTCCAACCTCAGACTCTCTGATTTGGCTCTGACTTCATTTTCCGACCCGACCATGTTGTTTTCATCATCGTCGGATTCTTTGTATTTGACGATGTATTCGACGATTTTTCCATTGGCCTTTGATTGTTGGAGAGCGTTCCATTTGAGCTCCAAGAACGTTTTTCCTCTGGAATCGACAGAAAGTCCAGTTGGAGCGGAGGAAGGAAGATCTTCGCCAGAAAAGAAAAATTGGCACTGCGGCCGGGGTCCGACTCCCTCGCTGTTTTTACTGCGAATTCTGAGACTGTACCGCTGATATGGTTTTGAGACACCAGAGATGGCAAACTCCAAATTTGGGGAAGCAAAAGTCTCCGTTTTCCAACTCAGCCCATTTTCGCAAATTTCGCAATTATCTGGATTTGGCTGGGCGCAGTATTCGAGAACATATTGAAAATCAGGGCCGTTGTAGTTTTCAGGAGGAATGGCATTCCACTTGATAATGAGCTCTTTTGGGGCCTGTTGCGATGGGAGATTGAAGGTTGGGTTGATGCTTGGCGGTTTCGGCTTTGTCCGAATTTGACTTGAGCCGGCGTCATCGGGCATTGAAGGGGAGGAAGAGCCGACAGGGTTGTGCGCTTTGACTCTGACTTCATAAAGGGTGAAAGGGACGAGCCCGCTTGAGATAAATATTTTTGTTTCTTCATCTCGCTGCCTTTATGCTTTTCCTCCTTCATCTTTTCCCAGTTTCTCAAAGTCTTTCCATCTTCCGCAATTTTCGCAAACTCCACGGTATATTTATTGATTTCCGCATAATTATTGAATCCTGGTTCGAGAGAAACTTCCACCCCTTTGTCAATATTTTTGACATTGATATTCATCGGCGGTTCTGGCGCTCCTTGGACGACGACTTCAACTGTTCCTTCTGCCTCGTCATATTGTGTTTTGATTCTGACTGTATATTCTCCTCTGTCGGCAAAGTCAGTTCTGTTGATGACATAATTGCTTTGAGGTTTGTATCCGCTTCGGCTGGCAAGGGTTGAACCTTTCTTTGTCCAGGTGATTACGTAATCGCTGATTTGACTGTCTGTGTCAATTTTTGGCTTGAGTTCGAGCTTATCGCCCTTGTTGATTGAAATCTTTTTGCGAATGGAAATCGACGAGCTTTTGAGCTTTTTGACGTTGAAATAAATTTCTCCCGACCCAAGGTCATTTTTCCCGGTACAACTGTAGTCGAGAACATTTTTAACATTTTCAACAATGCAAATTTTCTTTCCAGCACATGAACTTGGCGCATTGTTCCAGGAGAATTCGGGTTCTGGAAAGCCGAATAAGGAGCAGTCCATTGTCAATTGACGGCCCTCCACGACATAGACAGTTTGACGGGAGGAGGATGAGCTTGAGTCCGATGAGAGTCGAGGGGCTTGTTCTGAATTTTTGATGAAAGATGAGGGTATTTTTTTCTATTCTTACCAATGATAAGAACTCTCACAGCTGTTGCAATGTTTCCAATTGAGTTTTCCGCCTCGCATTGATACGTCGCCGAATCGGTCTGTTTAGCTGCTTTTACTGATAATACACTTGTGGTTCCAGAAACTGTTATTTCTCCATCTTCAGATCTGAGCTCTTCTCCATTTTTCTTCCATTTGATCGAGGGCATCGGGTTTCCTGATATTTGACACTCGAGGTCGACTTTGTTGTCTCGCTGCGGATAGACGATTCGGTCCTGAGGAGTTTTGACAAAATTGGGCGCTTCTTTGATTGACATTTCGAAGTCTTTTACATCCAGCCCGGCTTTGTTTTTCGCTAGACATCTATAAGTTCCGCCCATTTCAGTCGTAACGGATTCAACGACAAGGGAGGAGTTTCTCTCCAAGAACTCCATTCCCGATGGAAATTGCTGCTCTTTTCCATCTTTCATGTACTTCCACTGAATATCGGGAGTCGGTTGTCCGGAAGAACCGCACTCGAGCCTCATTGATGCGCCGATTTTGATGCTTCGAGATACTCTCTTTTCGTCGTTGTTTGCAAAAATCTTCGGCGCGCGATTTCGAATGTTTTTTGGATCCCCAGTGACGCTGATGTAGTAACTGTCCCCGGCGTAGAAGTTCTCGGGAAATTGAGGATCGTGGCCCATGCATCGGATGCTCAAATCGTTGTCTTTTGAGATCATGTTGGAGAAGAACAGGATATCTCCATGGTTGAGAGCTGTTAATCGTCGCATTGCACGAACAGGGATTGTGGAGAAGTTGCCATAATTCCAGACTCGGATGACTATGACTTGGCTCAAAAAGAAAGCGATTAACAAGTAATAAGGATCCCGTCAACTGAAGAACCCTTATTAGATTTTTATGAGCCCAGTTCCTTCAGAACCAGATGGAAGGGGTGCATTGCAATTAATATTGAGCGAGTCGCCAAGTTCAACAGTGAGGCGCTTTTGTGGAGCTGTTTGCCCGGTTTTGCGGAATGGGAGCTTGACTCGAATGGGTTCGCCAAAATCGGATCCGTAGTCGTTCTTGACTGTGCAGATGTAATCGCCGCCAAGTCGACCGGGGGCTTCGGGGTCATATGAGACAGTGTAGAAATCTAAATACGGATGAGTGGGAAAATTTGACATTTTTGAAAAGAAAGCTTTTTCGACTTCAATAGTAGTCATCGAATTTCAATAATCCACGAGCTCAAAATCACCAGAGCGAGGGATAAATTGAAAACAAAAAGCCATCAAGGGCAAGAAAGCGTCTTCCCTTGGCATTGGTTTGACATGGGCAGATGTGCCGGGTGACATGGGTGAATGATAAATTGCACCGAAGCGGCTCACCTTGACTCGCGATGTTTAAAGACCCGTTCCGATCGATGCTGAAGCTTCCGTCTTCTGCCACCGAGGATCCGTCCTTTGTCCAGCTCACTTCTTTTCCCTATTTTTTGGCGTCGAGAATTTCAATTATAAATTGGATATGCAAATAAAATCTTAATTAACCCTTGAAAAGTATCCAAAAATCAAGTTATCCGGACCAATGAGTGCACTTATTACATGAATAAACCAAAAACCCGCCCGAGTTGTACTTTCTTTGATAGGTATCGAGCCCGATAGCTGGACAGAAATTGGCAGGCGAGCGGATTTAGAGATTAAAAATGCATGAAAATTGCTCATTTACGCCAGAACACATATGCGACGCGTTATTGCGCACGGCCATTGATTTATCAGCGCAGCGAGGCACGTGATTTTCCGCCGGCAATTCAAATTTGCAAATTTGCAAATTTTGAATTTTTGTTTTCAGAATTTTATTGATTTCTTCCCTTGGCTAAGTGATATTTAAATTTCCCCACGGGTTATAACTTAAATAACTTATTTGCGGCCCGCCTGTTTGATGACGGGTTAATATTTAAAGTTAAACTAATCGGTAATCAATTTTTGAGCTGAGCAACCTTTTTTGCAAATTTTAATCAAGCTCGATTATGATTAAAATCTGAATGGCCCAAAACATCAAAAAGGGATGACAATAAGGATAACTGTCATCAGTTCTTCAACGCCATTCCTGAGAGCTGGCACTGTGTTCACATGGGAGGATAAGTGGTCTTCCTGGTTCAAGGTTCTCAATATTAATAATTAAAATTGACAGCTTGTCATTACTGGAGATTAAGGCACGCCTTAATAATTCGCTTCGATCTTGATTAACTTGTAAATTTTTAAGGCGGGATCAATCTTACGCCCTATTTTTAAAGATGAAATTAGAACAAGTTTCCCAACAGAATCTTATCAAAAAAGAACCTATGCCTTGAACCATGGGAAAAACTCTTCCGGGAATTCTCTCAATCTTCGGCGGTTTCGCTACCCATTCCGGCAGATCTTCCATTTTTAGCGCCTCTATTTTTGCGATCATCCAAAATGTCCAAATTTTCCATTTCATCTTCTCTTTTTTTCTCTTTTTTTCTTTGTTTTGCTGTTTTTCGTTATTCTCTGAAAAAAATGAAATGATCCCTTTTTTGTTAACGAGACAAAAATGAACAGTAAGAGGCGTTCATTATGCAGGAGTTTACGACCCTAAGGCAAGCCCGGTCGGCGGCGGTTGATTGATCACTAGAGTAATACCGACTAAATTATCGATCCAGAGTGCATTAGCTCTTATTTTGCAATTTTCGATAGTGAACTACGACCTCTCTTACAAATACAGAAAAAGGATGATCACCAAAAATAAAATCAAGTTAGGTCCGAACACGAAATGGGTCCCTAAGGGACTCGGAGGAGGCGACGCTAGACTGCCAAGTTATTTTTCGACAATGCGACGCAAATCGGATTAAATTTTTAATTTTGACGGAATGAAACCAAAAAGAAATCATGGGTCTTGGAATTTTCTCGGAAGCAAAAGGCGTGTTCTCTTTAATTCAACTTTAAAATTGTAAGGAGGCTATCTTATTTTTAAATACCTTTATTTTTTCTTTATCGAAAAAAGCTCTTATCTTGGGTCAAAAAATCTGTAGGTCGATTTATCTCGGAGAGTCTGTAACTTGTCCACGCAGTTGCATCGCGTCATCTATCGCTTCTTTATTTTATCGATTTTTCGCTGCTCCACCCAGGCTACCGAAAACTCAACCCTGCTGCGCCCGACTGCAAATATGCTCTTTGTTCTTGTTGAAGTGATTTTTAATGCTTAACCTACCTGCTGATAAAGTGAAAAGATCAAGATTATGGAAAAATATAAATTGCCTTTATTGGAAAATTCACGAAGAAATCAGTTTGTTTCTTCAGTTGTTTCTTGAATCTCAGACTGGTTTTCGGTCTTGTCGTCTTCCTTGATTTCAGTCTTGTCAGAGCTACTTCCAAGCTCATTGTCAGTCTCAACTGGGGCAACTTCGCTTGATCTACAAAAGCATTAGAAATGATAGAATAAAACCTTCTTACTCATAGAAGAAAAAGAAATAAACGCCTCCTGCGATTCCAAAAACGCCAAGAGGAACAAAAATAGAGGTGCAGATAATCATGACAAGGTTGTCTTTCTCACAAGTATAATCATCATAAACAATTGGTGATGTTTCCTCATCAAAATCCTTTCCAAAAATTTTCTCATCGAAAACTCCCTTATATTTGTCGTTTCCGCATCCATAGGAGCACTTATAAGGGAAATAATTATCAAAAATGTTATTTTAGGAAATACCCGTGTTTCACAACTGCATTCAAAGAAGCGCTCTTTAGTTTCATCCTTTTCGGCGGTGCATTCATCGGGGCATTTGACTGTTTCATTGGGTTTTGGGGGCTCCAATTTTTCGCATGAGTGCGTATCTGTTGGTTCTTTTGCAATAACATCATATGAATTTTTTGTTGTGCTGAACGACAAACATTGATATTCAAGAGATTTGTACTCTGGCGTTTGGTCTGTTTCCTCATCACTTAAAACTGAAGTTTGTTTCTCGAGAACTAAATAATTGTTAGTCACGATCAAAAATCTTATATCTACCATAATGATTGTTTCCGCAATGAGATTTTGCTATTTCATTTAAATCATCATTGCAAATACAATTTCCATTTTCACATTTATTATCTTCAGTGCATCCTTCGCCAACAATATCAGAGTAAGAACCTTGAGCTTCTGCTAATTTAAAATATTCCGAATCCGATTTTGTCTCGTCTTTGACAATGGTAAATTCATCAAAGCACTGCCAATATTGGGCAACAAACTCGCCACCAGTATTTTTGCATTCTTTAACTTCGAAGAGCCGATCAAAGCAGGTTTTTGTGCATGTATCCTCAAAAAAATATTTTATCTTGTTATAATAAAAATTTTACCATTTCCTTCTCAACAGGGAGATTTTTGATCAGACATTTTTCTCCTGCTTTAAGACTTCTTCTTGCTTCAGTTTCCCACTTTGCTCCGGGAATCGTCAGACATTCATCAGAATCCGCAACAGCACATTCACACTGATATGTGACGATTTCATTATTAGTTTTCTTATCACATGTATGAGTTCTTGCACCACATGGAAGCTGGGCGATTTTCTCTCTTTCACAAAATCCATATCCATCATTTGAAACTTTGCAATTGTCTTGCTTATAATCGAGAATTGGTTTACCCTACAAAGAGAATAATAAAATTTAGATCATTAAACACGTCTTAACCTCGTAACAAGTATTCTTGACACATTGCTCAATATCTGCACATTCATTTGTGTATGAGGCTGCTGAGCATGTCATTGTTGCAACTTTCCCCGACGGATCCGTGCAAGAGCATCCTGAGCTTGTAAAACCGCCTGTGCATCCAAATTCATCCAAAGCGTCTCCATCTCCAGTTTTCGTGTATGTATTTACTATTGAAGATCCGTCGAAAGTCAAGGTATACTCTTCGCCCGATTTATATCCGCAAGAAGGCGTCTGGCATGTGTGTGAAATCTGATTGGTGGTATTGCTATCGATGATTTTTTTGTTGCAGCCATTAAAAGGGGCATCGAAGCAAAAAATGGTGTCTGTGACAGTTTCAGCCGCATCGATTGGGTTTTGATGAGAATTTGGACAGGAAAATTCAGAAAGTAATTTTCCGGAGCATTCATAAACACAAGATGTGATAAGATCAGCATCATCAGCTTTACCATCAGAACAGCCAAAAGGAGAAGCTGGACAAGAAGAAATTGTCACAGCATTTTCGACAGTACAAGTTATCTCTTCAATAGCAGTATATGGATTTCCATCACTACCATCTGGATGAGCAACGACACAGCCGCTAAAAATGGTTTCGGGCGTTTCTGTTTCTGAAGCAGACAAAATCTCCTCGCATGTCTTTTCCTCGAAAGTTCCAAGATTCAGGTCTCCGAATTTCCCATAAGTTTCGCTAACACATTTGAATGTTTCGGTAAAGGTTGCAGAGCCCTGAACGCATGCCAGAAGCCCGAAAAAATTTAATCGTCTCATTTTCAAAAAGGCTTTCTGAGAGTAAGAAATGGAATTGAAAAATTACAAGTTTGTTGCGCCAATTAAACAAATAGGGCTCACTTCATGATACAGACGTCAATTTATTTCTTGAAAACTTGCTTTGTAATAAGATTGAAAACGATGTCGAAAATTTTTTTACAGAAAACATGAATTTCTTTTCAAAATGTAATCATTGTTCCAAACATGGTCATTTTTGATTGCGCACTCTCTAGTACTCTTCCGGTACTCTTCAATCAAATTGTTTTGGCAGCTCCATAAGCAACATTCGCCAATTTTTGTGTCTCCGTCAAATAGTTGAAGCCTTAAGATAAAAAGAGAAGCAATTTATATTTGATACCTAGCTCCATTAACATCATCGCTTATTGACTCGTAGCATCTTTTTTGAGTGTCATCATTATAGAACAACGATTGTTTCTGGCAAATAAATTTGTTCATATCCTTTATCGTTGACCAAATATCAGTGAAAGAATCCGTAATTGTTTCATCAGAAGATTTGCCAGAAAATTCAGCTGGTGCGGCATGTTTTTCAATTTTGATCGTGTCTTGCAGAATTGAAAATATTTACAAGCTAAGATTTAGTTCTAAGTGATTTCCATTCTTTCCAAAAAATTCATGTTCTGCAAGTTTTAACAATGAAGCATCTGTTGCTGCCACCATAATCGGAAAACGTGCATCAGAATTACCGATTGATCGCATCACATAACTATCTGGACTTGTATCTTGTAGATGAATTATCTTGACACTTGGGCTTCTACGTTTTTCTTCTGCATAGATATCTTTTATGAAGGAGATTGTTTGCTCAAATGTAGGAGTTGTTCCTTTGCTCTCGGTGATGTGAGGATTGAGAATTGAGAGCTTGATTATTTCTTAAAAAGCTTGACATTTTCTCAAACAAGAAAGCGGACAAATAATAAAGATCTTTACCTAAAGCATCTTCCAGTTTAGTTTTATCAGGATCGTTGACTCCAAAATTGATCTTTGCAGTGTCGAATAACTTTGTCAATTTCATCGATCTTCTTGGCTTACTTAGTCCATAGATTTGAATTCTGCTTCGAAGTAGCTTGTTGTCAATGTTATTTGCGTCCCATTTGAATTCAAAGGCTCGCAGCGCTTCTTGAATCAGAACTGTGTAGTGGCTCAGGTACAAAGATGTCGATTGCTGAGAAATGTCGATGGTAAAGATCAGATTTAGATCTTCTTTCATCGTGCAAGTATGCTGGGTAATCTTTATTTCTTCGTTTGAGCCAGATTTGACACCAGGAGATCGACAAATATCCTCAGTGATCTTTTTCGATAGTTGGTCGTGGAAATCGTCCCCAACAATCAGCATTATTTTACCAAAATATGCCCTGAGAGAGAAATGAATAATTTATCAAACAAGGAGGAAGATTTAAAATATTTTGGTATCCTTAGGCAAGAAAGTCTTATTTCGTAACTACGGGAGAAAACTTTCCTACAGTATTTGCCGATAGCGATTCCTATCGCCGAATTTGTTTAATGAACTTGCCTGTTGTTTGTTTGTCCGTTCAAAATACTGCTTCGTCGATCGCCCGTTTCTATGATTACTGTAAATACATCATCGCCAGACGACCTTCCGAGCGTTCTTTCGCCATTTCCCGTATTTTCTCGTTCTCCGCTGTTCAGCTTTTGGAAACCCTCTTGTGTCGTTAGCAAATAATAAACAGGCTTGAGCGTTGAATCCGGATCAGAAGTCATTCTTGCTGTTTTAACGGTTGACTCAAATGAGAAAGCCGCAGCGGCTCGATTCTGGTAAAGAGCGGAATTTCGAATTTTCTTTCGCGCAAAGAGGATTTTTTGTAGAACTTCTTCGGATGTTTTCAGATTCTTGAAGCTAAGATCTCGAGAATCTTCACCTCCAACATATCCTTTTAAAATAATTAATGATTGAGAATTCTGATAAATCTTACTCAGGCTGATAGCTGAAAAAGTAGAGCTTTCGATAATCTGCATCACCGACTCCTCCAAATGAACTCTCTCATCCACATCCACTCCCGCGTCGATATAGAAGTTCAAATCCACCAGGTCGTTGCACTTTTTACCCTTGACGACATCAACATCTGGCGATTTGAAATCATCTTCTTTGCAAATAACCTTCTCCAAATTATCATAAAATGCATTTTTATCCTCTGAGAAGAAGTAGTTTTCGACATAAGGAGACATCACTTTTGTCCAGCGAGGCTCTTCCGCTGCTGTTTTTATGATTGAGATACTGTACTCAGGAGCTTCGGGGAGCATTTCGTCGAGATTTCCAATGTCATCTTCGAAACTCTGCCAGTTCAAGTCGAGCTTGGACTCGTCGATCAGGAAAATGACCTGGAATCCGTTTGGTTTGTCAAGCATTTGATTATACTCGCTTTCGGACTGCTCGACGCACATATTGAGTGAGTCACCCTCGGCGCTTGCGCTAGAACTGGCGTCGTAGGAATCGTAAGACCCGTAGTCATCATAGACACTACGACGTTTTCGATAATAGTTGTACTGCCCCTCACCATAACCATACTCTTGATCAACACTGTCATCTTTATTCAGGAAGTCGATACTGTACTATCAAGCAAATACTGAATTCCCTTGACAGTTGCTCCATCAAAATGATAATTGATTGGCAGGTTTTGATACCGCGTAAACAGTTATCGAATCCCGTTCCTATGCCAGAATCGTTTTCTATTCCGCAACCACCGTAACTACCGAATTCGTTCTTGAAAGACTCGTAGCCGCCGAGTATCGACAGCGTGTTGAAATATTCTGACCAGATAAAATCAACTGGATCTGGGTACAAGTGCTCAAAATACTGGAGATTTTGGAAGAAATTGTCGCGGTCATTGTTGAAAAGAATGTATTTTTCGGTATCTTTTATGCCGACGAGGGTGATTTGGGCTTTTTTGGGACAAGAAATTTCCTCAATATTTTCTGAAAATGAATATTTTCGTCCATTCCTGAAGGTTTCAACAAACAAAGAGAATCGGAAATAATGTTCACGAAATCCTTGTTCAACTTCACGACAAAAATGACATTATCGGACTTTTTCTTCTGATCACATTGAATGATTTTTCTGTCCTCACAATAATCCTGAAGAGTTTTACTGCCTGCTTTGAAAGTAGATGTCGTCGTAGTCGGAGCCGTTGTCGTCGTAGTCGTTGTTGTTGTCGTTGTAGTGCGGCAAGTACGTAGATTTGAGAGGTAGTGTTGATAAGATTCTGGACTTTCTAGAATTCCGATATCATTCAGTTCCAGAAGCGACTTGATTTTGTGAACATCATCAGAACATTGTGACTCTAGAAAGGTATTTTATACAAGAGATTTTTGATGCTATCCATACCAACAATAGGCAAATGGTTGATATTGAACTTCTTGTTGGGTACAAAAATCGTGAGTTCATCCGGCTGAAGCGCTCTATCATCGACCTTGAATTTGGGATTTGAAATCTGTCAGAAGTGCACGTCAAATATTGGCACCTCATATTTTCGTTTCAAATCCCTGGCTTAACGAACTCGGAGTCAATGTCTCCAATTGTGATCACGTACTTCATATCTTCAGGTTTCTCCGGCTGGGTATTTCCAAATCCTTCAGCTTCGACCTTTTTCAAAACCTCATTCAAGTCAATTGGCTCTTTTTCCAACTCCTTGCTGATTCCCTTTTTGAGCTTGTTCATCGAAAGATAGTCCGTGTATTTTCCATCTTTTTGGAAAAGACGAACGACTCGTTGTTCCTTTTCGTTTTCAATTTGAACTTTTTTGGCGAATCTTGCGATGTCTTTTGCTGATCGAGTAACTCTGCTTTCTGGAACCTTTCTTTGGCTAAGCAGAAGGAGTGGGAAATACAGGACTTCTGTGAATATCAAAGGCAATTCCTACAAAAAGTCGACCTTGCTGAACCCTTTCCTGAGCGCCAATAATCAAGTCAATCGTTGAAATGTCCTTCCTGATGTCTTCAATGCTCGCGCCGAGGTTAAAGCAAACAGCCTCTTGAATATGATTCAAGTTTTCGGCGGAAGGAGATAGCGAGTCAAGTCTGACAACACCGTCAACAGCAGAATGAAACGCTTGAAGGTCCTTGTCGAAGCTTATTCTGTATTCGTATAGCGACTTCTCCATAATAACGATTCCTATCGTCTAATAAGTAGGATATTTGGAGACAACATAGGTAAAAAGAACGAATATCGTCAATTCTATCTTTCAAAGTCAATGAATCCTTGCCTTGACTTTTGGTTTCTGGGCGTAAACATTCCTCACGTAGGAGTACCTACGGTCCGGCTGACCTTGTGCGCTTCTCGCTAGAGATAAATCTTAAAATTCATAAGTCCTTATTTTTATGACCTCTTACCGTAGTGAAACATGAATGCAATTTTTGGGACAAGCGGGCTAGGTGGATCATTTGAGTCAGGACAGCTCGCCAGCTCAGCTGCTCGAAAAGCGCGCTCGTAAATGTCTCGTCTTTCATTTGTCAAAGCCGATTTTGATTTTTGCAGGATTCGATCAGAGTTGAAATACCAAAACGGCTTGTCGACGAATTCCGTCTTTTTCCACTTCTTAGGGTTCGAGTGTCCTTCCATCACATGACCAGTGCGGACATAATTCATGTCTTTGAGAGCCTTTGTGATCAGTTTTTGCTCGTCCTCGATTGTGAGAAAAGTATTCGCTTTTTGAGGATTGTCGTAGTCGACCAAAACTTCGAAAGCGTCGGAGCACTTTGCCTCGGATTTCCGAACAGCGCGGATTTCTTTTGGCTTTGGTGGTGGAGTCAGGACTGGGTAGAGCTCTTCAGCAGAGGATATTTCGCAAAGTCGTTGCTAGAGGAATTTATGATTTGTTTATTTTCGCCTCTGCTTTACCTTGATCATATCTTTGACTGTATAAAGACGCTGCCAATTTGTCGGTTGGAAAACAAGGCAATGATTTTCAGAAAGCTTCAGAAGCTGGCTTGGCGAAAACTCTTCCGGAGTAACTGAAATGACGAAAGGAATGTCCTCTGGATTTGCATTTTCGGACCAAAAGCTTGGGGTCAGCTGATCGCCCTTATCAGCAAGTCGATGACCGGAATGAAAAACGATAGCTACTTTTTTGTTTTCTTTGTTTTGGTCAAGAATTATCAGCTTGAAAAATGAAAACAAGGACTCTATCCAAATTTGACCTTTAGCCTGGTTTACTTCCATAGAAAGCTCGCTCAAACAAATTCAGTTTTTGATCTGTCATCGAGCTAACTGGAATCGAACCGCCGGGAGTGAGCTGTACTCTGTCGATGAGTCCTTTTAAATTCTTCGCGCCTCTAGAAAATCCTCGCTTTTCGGAAAGACTCTGTCGATAGTGAAAGGGAAAAATCTTCTGTTGATGAAAATTTCTCCTGCTATTTGACCCTGGCATCCAGTCGACCAGCTTTTTTATTAATTTCTGTTGATTTCTAAGCGCTTCTCTGTTGTCATGACCAGTGTCGAGCATATATACGATGTCCATTTTGAACTGATTTCCGCAAAAACGAAAGTCATCTTTTGAGTAAGTACTGTATCTCGCATTTGATCCTCCATAGAACAACAAGAATAAACTATTAAAATGCTTCATATTTTTTCTTTCTCTATTTGAAGATTCTGCCGAGAGCGATTTTAAAGGGGATGAATTGATCAAACAAATAATTCGTCTTGACTTTGAATCTCAGGATGTCTATCTTCTGAGAATCTTGACTGATGAGTCATCAGTGATGACGGGGGTCTTTGACATAAGCGGCAGTCTCCAAAGCTCGACAAAAATGGACAAATGATAATATTGAATGCTTTTTAATCGTCTTTCTTTTTGTGTATTGAGAATCAATTTATTCAGTCAGGACTTGAACTTTGTCAGCGAAGCACTCAGGTAAATTAAAGTAAAAAGCAAGAAGCACTATTCAGTTCAGATTCTTTCAATTGCAAGCATTCTACAGAGGGGACGCGAAACTCGCTGATTTGGTTGTCTTTGCAGCTCCAAACGCAACAATCGCCCACCATTTTCATTCCTTCAATCAGTCCAAACCTGAAAATAAAATTGATGAAGTCATCAAAAAGCATAGAAAACCTAGCTTTGGAAGTACCGATTGGCTCATAGCATCTTTGGAGACTTTTTTGATTGTAAGAAACTGGTTGGTCCTCGCAAATAAATTCATTGATATCTTTGATTGTCGTCCAGATATTATCAAAAATGTCAGTTAGATGTGAAGTTTCACATTTGGGCGTATTTTTGATAATGATCGAAGTTTCTTAAAATTGAGATAAAACAGTCTGATCCGCTTGACAAAAATTTTGTCGTTTATGTTTTATCCCTTCCGAAGTCCTCTTTTTCCGCCAACTTTCTGAATTCCATGTCCGACGAAGCAACAAGAATGGGCAAGCTAGCTTTTGGCTTTCCCTTTGCCCTCGGCACAAGTGTATCTGGAGATGTATCCTGCAGGTGAACAATTTTAATGTTCGGGTAGTTCCTCTTTTCCGAAGCGTAAAGTGTCTTCAAGAATGAAATGGTTTCGTTAAATTCAGGGGTCGGTCCTTTCAAATCGCTTGAATCAGGATTCGTGACGCGTACATTTATCGTTTCTTTATAATTGCTCAAATAAAACATTCTTTTCTGCCTTTTTTTTGATTAATTTTGAGCAATTTCCTAGGGCTAGCTGTAAAGTGGTCTTATTTTGATCGCAAACCGCAAAATCCACCCCCGTTGGACTTCTTTCTTCGTCGTAAAAAGTATCAAACAGCAATTTTTTCTCCAGTACGCTTCTTGGTTTGTTCACTCCAAAAACTCGCAGTCGACTTTTCAACTGTTTGTTGTCAGGATTATTTGGATGCCATTTGAACTCGAAGGCGCGGAAGACTTCTTGAATGATGGCAGTGTAATGGCTTTTGTAGTAGAGAGACGATTGTCGAGAAAGATCGATAGTGAAGATCAGATTGAGGTTTTCCTTGAAAGAGCATGTATGATGCGGTTCTTCGTAGTTGTCGTCATTGCAAGATCGAGAGTTACAGTACTCGTTGTAGATTTTTTCTGAGATTTTTCGATTGATGTGCTCGCCGCCGATGATTGCCATGTTTCTTAATAAAATTAGTACGACTCTATTTTTTTGACTTACGGATCACTGTTGCTGATAAGACTCCTCATCTCCGGCTTAAGGTCTTCATCAATAATGAATGTACGGCACGTCAATACTGTCGAGTTGCAGTTCATCAAAGCATCTTCATCACCAAAAGTTCTCTGAGCAACCCTGCATTTAGCAATTTCTTCGAATCGTTCCCCATTTGTCAAGAAAAATACGGAGGGTTTGATTGCGGCATTCGGATCTGAGGTCATTTCGAGTAATTGGTATGAGGATTTTAATTGGCTTTTGAGAGCGTTGCAGTCCTTGAAAAGTCGCGTCTGTAATTTTTCGCGAGCATGGAGAATTGAATCGATAACATCTTGAGTTGAATTGAGATTTTGAAGTGAAATTCATTCGATTCCCCGCCAATATACTCTTTGAAATACTCGATTATGGTTTTTTTAAAGTTCATACTCAAATTGATCTTCTCAAAAGTCGAGCTTTCCACAATCTGCATCGCTGCTTCTTCCAAAATCGTCCGTTTTTCTAGCTCCACTCCACCATCAACTAAGATGTTCAAGTTCTCCCTCGTGTTGCACTTTTTGTTCTTCACCAAATTGACATCTGGCGATCGGAATTTCTTCGCTTTGCAAAGTGATTTTTCCAAGTTTTCAAAATCCACTTTTTCTTCAGAAACATGATAGTTTTCAACTTCTTTTCCAACATTTTGCCACCACCAAGGTTCTTCTGAAGACGTTTTGATGATAGACGTTATGTAATTGGGCAGATTTGGGTTCAGAGATATTTCCTCTTTGATCTCTTTCTTGAAGCTTTTCCAATTTGGGTCAAGTTTTGTCTCGTCGATTAAGTAGACAAAATGGAAGTGATCGCTTTGGTTGAGGAATCTGCCATATTCTTCTTCTGTCGCAACATATTCGCAGGTCGATTTGTCCATTTCAGAGGAAGAATCGAAATTAGCATAGTAACTTGACTCTACGCTTCTTCGTTTTCTCGATTCTTCCGGGCTCTTTTTGAAGGATTCAACAAAAGATTGGTAGTAGGAGGTTATCATTCGTGCTGCCCCTAACCCTAGACCTAACCAAAGGGGCTACGCCCCCGGGACCCCCTCACCTCAGGCCTGAGCCAGGGGGCTTCGCTCCTCTGACCCCTGTTTAGAGTTCCCAGTCCCTAACCCTAACCACTAGCCCAGATTCTGGAGATCTTGAATGGCTCAAATCAAAGGGTCGAATGATAATCCCTCTCTACGATAAGATTCGTCCTTTCCTGATAATATGAGTCCGCCAATAAATCTGAGTAACCGTATTCTCCATAAGGATCATAATCTGGAAGACCCCCTCTCACATCGCATCCGTCAGTAAAACCAAACTGGTTATCAAAACTTTCTTGTCCGTCAAGAATATAAATCGTGCTGAAGAAATCGTACCACTGAAAACTCGACGGATCGGGATAAAAACTGTCAAAGAACTGAAGAGAATCGAAGAAATCATTCCTTTTTGATTGAAAATAACATCTTTTTCATAATTATTTGCTCTTCTGTTAGACCAATCAAGGTTATTTTTGCTTTTTCTGGTCTTTATAAAGCAGTTTATGCTTATGGTAAAGGGGTAAAGACCGTTCCTTCGGGATCCAATAAGCAAAGTCCATCTTTTATAATTTCGGAAAAATCATCATTCATTTTTGCCACAAAAATGATATTTCCCGATTTTAAGTCTTGTTTGCACTTTACAATTTTTCGTTGATAACAATACTCGTCCAGGGATTGATGACTAAGTTCGTGGGGACTAGGTTCGTGGGACTAGGTTCGTAGGTGGTTATGCCAAAGTATGCAAGATGGGGTATGGTTTCCTTTCTATAAGGAACAATGTGGTGCGACTAGGTTCGTGGGACTAGGTTCGTAGGGGTGCTAGGTTCGTGGGTTTTGAAATTAGAGATTTTTCTATAAGTATTATAAGTATTATAAAAATTATAATTTTTTTTTATAAGGAACAATTGAGTGCGACTAGGTTCGTGGGACTAGGTTCGTGGGTTTTGAAATTTTTTTTTATAAGGAACAATTAAGTGCGACTAGGTTCGTGGGACTAGGTTCGTGAGTTTTGAAATTTTTTTATAAGGAACAATTGAGTGCGACTAGGTTCGTGGGCTAGGTTCGTGGGTTTTGAAATTATTTTTATAAGGAAAAGGAGGGTGCGACTAGGTTCGTAAGACTAGGTTCGTGGGTTTTGAAATTTTTATAAGGAAAAGGGGGTGCGACTAGGTTCGTGGGACTAGGTTCGTGAAGACTAGGTTCGTGAAGGTTAGGTTCGTGGGACTAGGTTCGTGGGACTAGGTTCGTGAAGATAAGGTTCGTGAAGACTAGGTTCGTGAGACTAGGTTCGTGGGACTAGGTTCGTGGGACTAGGTTCGTGGGTTGTAAAATTGGGTAAAGTTGAATGGTAAAAATGACTTTCCCACCCCCCAACCCCCAAAATAGGCCGCTAGGCTCTTTAACTGAGTTTCTATGTTAGCGCTGAATAACAATGGTTGCCTTAGAATAGAAACCCACGAACCTAGTCCCACGAACCTAGTCGCAACCCATTTTTCCTTATAAAAAATTTTAAAAGCCACGAACCTAGTCCCACGAACCTAGTCGCACCCCATTTTCCTTATAAAAAAAATTTTAAAAGCCACGAACCTAGTCCCACGAACCTAGTCGCACCTCCCTTTTCCTTATAAAAATAATTTCAAAACCCACGAACCTAGTCTCACGAACCTAGTCGCACCCTCCTCTTCCTTATAAAAATAATTTCAAAACCCACGAACCTAGTCCCACGAACCTAGTCGCACATAATTTCTCCTTATAGAATAAAAATAATTACCAATTAAAAACCCACGAACCTAGTCCCACGAACCTAGTCGCACATATTTTTTCCTTATAGAATAAAAATTCTAACCAATCAAAAACCCCCGAACCTATATTTAGATAGCAATATTATTTTATATGATCATATAATTACAATACATATATATAAATATATATAAATAAATATATACATATAAATAACACTTAATCATTATAAATAAAAATATACATAGTAAATAAAAAACTCACGAACCTAGTCCCACGAACCACGTTTTCAAGCCAGCCACCCACGAACCTAGTCTCACGAACCTAGTCCCCACGAACTTAGTCATCCCACACCTCGTCCAGTGTCGGCAGCGTTGCCTGTTTCATTGACTTCGGAGGAACAGTTGTGGTTATTGCTCTTTCCGTTGTAGTTGGGCAGTACCCGAGGCCGTAGACATATTTTTGATAGGCATCTTTGTCCAAAATTTGCTCGATATGCTGAATATCATAAAGCGGCCGGATTGTTTCGAGTGAGTCGACACATTCTGATGCGTTCTTTTGAACAATCGCGAGATGGTTGATGTTGAATTTTTGTTCTGAACGAATGGGGAAAAATTGTCAGGAAGAAGGGCTCTTTCTTCTGCTTCCAATTCCTCAAAACTTTGCGGTTCTATATCCCCGATTGTTATCACAAATCTGTCCTTTTCCGCATCATCTCCGTCTTCTTTAATTTGCCTCAGTGCATAATTCAAATCGACTGGCTCCTCCTTCAATTCCTTTTTTATTCCCTTTATCAACTTGTGCTTCGAAGTGTAGTCAGTTGCCTGTCCATCTTTTTGAATGAGTCTCACGACTCGTCGTTTCTTACCATTTTCTATTTCGACTTTTTTGGCGAATCGGGCAATTGCTTTTGCTGTCATTTTTTCTTTTTCAGGAGATGTCTTAGAAAGGTTTTTGAAGGGCGGAATCAAAGAGGAGAAAAATCATTGATTTCAACCTTTTTCCTGTTCGCCAATGATCAGTTCAATCGTCGAAATATCTTTCTTAATATCCTTAATACTTGCACCAAGATTTTCACAAACAGCTTCTTTAATTCTTTTCAAGTTATCCCGATTTGCATCAAGTGAGTCTATCCGAACAACTTGATCTACAGCAGCATGAAATTCACGGAGATTCTGGTCGGTTTTGTTTTTATGGTCAAAATTGACTTTGTCCATAATGACGATTCCAATAGTTTTGACTTTTGGCTTCTGGGTGTAGACGATTCTCGGGCTTGAATTGAAAATTGGGTCTTTATGTGGGTTCACAGTAAATTTTCGATAAAAAAAGGTTATCCTCCTTGATTTCGGAAAGGATAAAAATTTTCAAATAAACTACTTTTTTGGTCATTTTTCAGTATTTCAGAAATTTCGGAACCTTCCCTCCTCCGCTTCTGACATCCGGAAATCCAGATTCCAGAGCATAATGAAACACAAACGCAATTTTCGGACTCAGCGGGCTTGGCGGGTCATTTGAATTCGGACAGCTCGCAAGCTCAGCCGCTCGAAAAGCGCGCTCATAAGCGTCCATTTTTCCATCGACCAATGCTTTTCGCACTTTTCCGCCGCCAATTCTGTCAGTGTCAAAATACCAAAAGGCCGATCAACATACTCAGTCGTCGCCCATTTTTTCTTCATCGAGTGTCCCTCCATAACATGCCCAATTCTTCTGTAGTTGAAGTCTTTAAGCGCTTTTGAGATGAGTTTTTGCTCGTCTTTGATGATTTGAATTGCGGTTCCTCCGTTTGGATTGTCATAATCGACCAAAACTTCGAACTCGTCGGTGCATTTCGCTTTTGATTTTCGAAGAGATCTGATTTTTTCGCGGCTGGCGGAGGAGTCAGCCCTGGGTACTGCTCTTCTGAGGCGGAAATTTCGCAGAGGCGTTGCTGAAAAACTGGCTTTGATAATCAAGAAAATGGCTTTGGAGTGTACCTTGATCATATTCGTAACGGTATTAAGTTTCTGCCAGCTTGTGGGCTGAAAGACGAAGCAGTGGTTTTCAGAAATTCTCAATAGCTGGCTTGGCGAAAATTCCTCTGGCGTAACTGAAATGACAAATGGAATGTCCTCTGGCTTCTTTTCCTCGCTCCAAAAACTTTCTGCCAGCGCGGATTTTTCATCAACGGAGCCGATTCCAGAGTGCAGCAGAATCACCACTTTCTTGTTCTCTTTTCTGCCGCCGGAAAACGCCATGGAAAATAAATCAAGGCTCTTGTCCGTCAATTTGTCGATCGGAATCGTTTTGCCTGGGTTGAGTGTGATTCTGTCAATTTTTCGCTTCAGAGTGGCGTATTTCTGGGTGAAGCCTGGAACTTTTGTTGTTTCTTTATTGAAAGCGAAGAGTTTTTGCTGATGGAAATTCGTTGCGCGGTTGGTTCGAGGGATCCAGGTTGTCAAGTTTTGAAGCATTCGTTTTTGATTATCAAGAGCTTCTGAATTATGACTTTATTCAAGGGTTGGGAATGGAGGGTCAAAGAGGGTTTGCTCGTCTGTGATTGGCTGACGCGTGAAATGCCGGTTTTTGATTGGCTAAAAGGTTAACGCCCGCTTTAAAGAGGTCATTATTCAGAACTTACCTTGATTATCGTGCCCTGTATCGACCATAAAAACAATATCCATTTTAAACTGATTTCCGCAGAATCTGAAATCATCTCTCTCCGCCCTCGCGTGAAATAGAAGCAATAAAAATCTAAAATTCATCATTTTTATTCTGAAAAATTCTTACTCATCTGTTTATGAAGTTGGAAAAAGTCCTGACCAAACAAATATCTGAGTTTGACTTTCCAGTTCTGAATGATCTCAGAGGATCAAATTTTCCCTGATAAGTAGCATTGAGAATCTTCATTTTAGATTCTCAAAGCTTTATTTGGAAAAAAAATTATTTTTGAAAAAAATTTTGTTAATAACTATCTAATTAAAATGCCATAAAATATATATGAATAAACTTAAATTTAAAAACTTTATCACCGGCGCTGCTGTCGACTACTCCGAGGGCGCTCGCGAGCTCCATCCTCCGCGCTCTCTGTTCTCGGCTCGAAAAGGTTCGAAAAGGACCCCGTTGAGCCGAATCGCGCCTAAAGAACTTCCTCCGCGTTTATTTTTCGCACCTATTACCTTTTTGGGAAAGAACCTAAGAGAGAGAGAAAATTAGAGAGTGTCCAGAGAAGAAATCTGTGATTTTCACACTTAGAGATTTGAAAAGTGCTCCGGCCAGAAGATTGAGAAGTTTTTGAAAAAAGCTCGTAAGTTCAATTTTATTTTTAGATCGTTAATAATTAACAAATCTATTTTTTGAATAATTATGATAATTTTCAATGAAAAATTATTTTATTTTAATATTTTAAAAGAAAATTTTTTTAATTTATTAAAAGGCAGGAAAAAGCCATTTTACTGTCCGAAAATGCCTCTTTCAGTATAAATTAGGTTATTTTTACGTAATGATTCCTCCTCATTTTGGAAAATCGCCTTGACTTTTTCGCTCAAATTTCGCTTTGCGTCATCAAAAGGCGCTTGACCGCGTAAAACGTGGAACCAATCTACTTTATCGGCGCCAGTCTCTTGAGGAATTCCATCTTCTATCTTTGCTTACTTTTGGCGGTCATGATTTTGTAGTAAAAACAGCCTTTCATCCTTGAAGGTCACGTGTTTATAGCCATGGGACGTCAACAGCCAGATAGAGTTTCGCCGATATCGGGCTGTTTTGACTCTCGCCGCGAACTCAGCGAATTTCTAGCGTCTTGCGTTTATCAAGGGTGTCTTTTTGATGATACCCAATCTCAAAGTCACTTCATTTCTAGCTGTTTACTGCTCTCGTTTGAAACTCGGTTATCAATAATCCTGCCACGTTTTTGCTGGGTTGAAAATCTGATTTCTCTTTCGCCGAGGAAAAAATCCCTTTTTATGGTCAATTTATTGAATCATTTTCAAAATTTATTTTCATAAAATTATTGTTGCAGAGAGATAAATAACTTTTTTCTTTGTTTTCGAAGAGAGAGAATTACCATGATGTAATTGATTTCATTTTATGCAAATTTCTTTCATTATGAGTAAAAATAACAGTAACAAAGGTTTACCGATAAGCGTTAAGTACAGTCGGATCCATATCTTGTTCTTCTTTTAGCTCCATTGCCCCTTTGAGCCACAATTGCAGACCTCTATCTCCCTCTCTTTTCGCCGTTGAAAACATCTGTTTGTATTTACCTGAGTGACTTACTGTATGCTAACGGACCTGCACCCGGCACTAAATTTGCCCTCCGAGAGTCAAATTATGAAACGTCATAAATTTCAAATTTGCCGCTGCCAGTTTGGACACTTGAAGGAACTCCCATGTCTCAGAGCAGAATGTGTTTTTGTTTTTCAATTGCCATGGAAGCTAAATCACTATTCAAGTGAAAACTGCAAAATCAAGAACGTTTGCCCAGCGAGCGATAAAAGAGGACTTCAAGGTCGGGAAGGGTAGGAAAGCGATAGGAGGGTAAATAGATCGGAAAAAAAACGTACAAGTTTTTGAGAGCCGCGAGACAACAAAGATTGGAATAAGTAAATTCAAGTGCGTTGATAGTCGCTTAGGGCCAGTTGTCAAGGGGAATCATCCAAAATTCGAAATGTTCCAAGAAATTCCGAAAATTCCAGCAGTCGAAAAATCGAGGGCAAACAACTTGGAGACGGTCGATTTGGGCTTTTTATGGTCGAAAATTATTGAAATCGCGGATTTTTGACCAAAAAATCTTTCAAAATCAGCATTTTCGGGCATTTTGTTTTGAATATTTCGAAAATTTTGATAAATATTTATTTTTTTTATTCTTGATGAATTTTTTTCTTTTTCTTCGAGAAATTTTGGGATAGCGTCTAGAACCGACAAAAAATTTCGACGGTGAGCTGATTCCAGGCTTCTGATTGGTTGAAAATTTCCACTCAAAATTTGTCGAAATTTTTTTGTCGGTTCCAGACACCTCCCGGAAATTTGGGCTTTTTTTTGAGCTGGTTCAATTAGGACAGTTGCGTGACGAAAATTTTTGCGTTGAAAAACAAGTATTTCTAACCTGTGGTTGCGTGAAATCGAAATCGGCGCGTGCCCTTTTCTGGGTCAAGTCAGAGTGTCTTTGACATCTTTGTGTTAATAACGTTTGGGTCACCACCAAACCTGGGTTTATACGCTGAAGAGATCGACCGCGCCGTTTTTTGGAGAAAACTTGTTTTAATATTTGTGTACCGACAGAATTTACATTCGGTTACGTATCGTTTCGGCTTCTTGGAGAGGCGATTTATTTAATTAAAAATTATAAATATTGTTTAACACAATTTATTGCATACAAAATGGCTTTTTTCGAGGAGGAAATTAAAAAAAAGCGATTTAGGTTAAAAATGGTAGATTTGATTTAAAAAATTTCGCCCATGATCGTCGATTTTTCCCGGTTTCGAGGCGAAAATAAACGATTTCTGGTCGGTTTTCTGAATTTTGCTAGACTATCTTCGATTTGTGGTTAGTTCAAGATAGAAAAAGACATAAAATCTATCAAAATTCGACCCGAAATGAATCATTCTGTTGAAAAAATTGAGTATTTTAGCAAAAAATGAAATTTCTTTTGAATTTTCCCAAGAAATCAATGAATTTTCTCACATTTTTGTTAATTTATGATCGAATTCTTGGGCTTCTATGGCCAAAAATACTGAAATTCGTCCTCCAAAAGCATTAGTTTTTTCTCAAGAATTCTAAAACCCGGAAATGCCTTTCCGAAAATCACTCACGTTTTCTCCCTCAATCTCTTATTATTGCTCGACCGGATTCGCTTGCTATTTTCTAAATAGCAGCTTTGAAACAACTCGCAGCCGATCATTAGACTTAAATTTTTGAATTCATCAAGAAGTCGGTTTCTATTACAAAAACAGTAGTTATGTTTAGATAAGTAGCTTTTTGTTTTAAAAATATTAGCATGTAACTTTCACGCTTGATAACTACCACTGGCAACTTGATGATCACGTAGTCTTTTTTGAACACGTGCTTGTAAATAGAAGACCATCTCCGAGACGCTTCTTTAGCCGGATCGGCTTAGGTAGGCCACTTTTGGCGATTTTCGATGATTTTGCCCGCTTGGGGGTTAAGTGCTATTGTGGGTTAAAATACTGTGGTTGGGAAATAATAAAGATGATAATGAATTCGATTTATTCTTGTGTAATCGTTTCGCCAAATCGCTTTCTTCGGGGTTTTTCAAATCTTATGCTTGATAAAAATCAATGTCTTTGGTAAAAAATATCAAGCTACCAAGATTTTGGTTAATTGAACTGGGCGAAATTTTGGCTGCGCTTGTTTATGGCTGAGTTTGTGGGATGAGCGATCCCGCCAAGGCGGTCAGACGATTGGAACTTGCGTCATGAGCCGTACCCATTAATCTTGTAATTATTTCTAGAAATTTGTCAATATGGGCAATCGATTCTTTAACTCTTGGACATTGTCAACGACTTCTTCGATTTCTTGATCGGTTATCAGCAAGAACATCGGATATCATTCTCTACAACCTTAAAATTCGACCTTATAATTATGGTTTTGAAAAGTTTTGGGTAGGTTTATTTTTAGTCACAATGAAATTCGATAACATCTGACCTCTATTAGACGATAAAAGATTAAGGGTGTATCCCAGCATGTCAATTCTCGCTTCTCCTATAAGATAAGCGTTTCACAAACCCGAAACGTATTACCTCTTCTTCACGTTTTCCAACACGATTTTTAACAGAGATAAAGACAAAAACCTTCAGCTTGAGAAAGAGAATTTCGATAAGAAATTTTAAAGCAAAGAGCGAAAAGTTCATTTGAGCAATTTGTAGTCTTGTCTCAGCGGGACAGCAAGACAGAGAGAAGAGCTCTTATCAGGAGCTTTTAGAAACTTCTCCTTGAGCTCCTCTCCCATGTGCAGAATTCCGAACGACGTGAGATCGGAATTCAAAGATGACTCGGGCGAAATTCAAAGTTTGGAAATTGACGCGTTTTTCGAAGAATTGAATTAATTTTTTCTTGAAAAAGAATGTTCAAGAAAAATTTGAAATTTTGAAAGTTTGAATTTTAGAACATTTGTGATGAAGGACTTTTTCTTTTTCTGAAAATTTTGAAAACAATCTTAGTTTCTTTTTCTGCTTAGTGGGCTTTTAAAACGTTCCATTCTGGCAAAAACTAACCGCGCTAATCTGTTGAGGGAAAATAGATTACGGACAGGTTCTTTCACCAAGAGTTATATAATTGAGCGTCTTTCCGATTCTTCTTCATGTAACTTTTCTTTTCGGATAAAAAGAAAATTCTAAAAACTTATCATATTGATCCCCTTATTTCATAAAGCTTAAATTCTGGTCCAAAAGGGTCAAGAAAAAGGGTCGACCCTAAGGGTGGCGTCAGGAAGCGACAGAAAATTTTGACAAATTTTGCGTGGGCGGCTATTCGGCTAGTGATTGGCTTGTTCGCCAAATCTAGGCTTTGGATTGTTTGAAAATTTCAACGCCAAATTTGTCGAAAATTTTTGTCGATTCCCGACATCTCCACGATCCTTATTTATTCAAAATTGATTAAGGGGGTCACTTTGTTATTTTTTCAATTTATTTCTTGATTAACCTGCTTACAGGTCCTTATCCTGTTGTCGAATTATGATTAATTAAATGAGCTCTGAGTTTTGTTTTATCAGCGAAATCTATCAAAAAGCATAATTTACCGGAATCAAAGCCGCCGAACTACAAATACACAGACACTTGATTAACAATCAGCACCATTCTCATTTTTAATTAAATTGAGTGTTTACATAAAAACGCGCGCTAGAAGAGCAATAAGGGTGCCTAATAGTGGTTCACTTCTAAAAATCAACGACGCGAGTGGCATTTGCATAATTTTGTTTAGCTTCGTCCTCATTTTCTAAATGTTCGTATTTGACACCGAAAATGAGATAGGATAAAAACGACGCCATAACAAAATTCAACACCGTTAAAAATCACCTAAAACATTTAAAAAATAATGTTTCTACATTTGTTATTTATTAAAGAAAAAAATTGAAATTTAACATGGTGATACCCTTATTTTGCTCATCAAAAATAGCCTCACAAAAATTATGTATTATTTAATAAATTACTTAAAAATATGCTTGAAAATAATAAATAATTAATAGTTGATGTTGATGTTCATTTTTGATGGGCAAAATAAGGGTATCACCATGTTATTTTCAATTTTTTTCTTTTGTTTTTTACACTTCAAAAAAAGTAACTGGACATATTTTTTCTCCGAATATCTTATTCAATCTAACCAGACAAAATGAATCATACTTTCGCCACGTGAGAATTTTTTCATCTTCTGTAAACGCTACTTCAACTCCTAAAAAAACATGTGCTCAAATTAACCCCCACCCCTGCATGTAGCATGGGATCTCAAGTCTTGTATAACAATTCTTCAGAGCATTCTTTATCTAACATTCTTTTGCCCATACTTGAGAAATATTTGGAAGTATTGTACTTATTCGAAAGCAATTTCAGACCACGTGGACAAAAAGGAGGATGTTTTTTCCCTGCAAGTGAAAATTGAGTGGGGTCAAGACTGACAAATTGAGATTATCAAATCTGAACTGATAAGGGTAGAAACAAAGCTGAAGGGGATTAAGAGAAGAAGCAAGCTTTGCCCTAGATTTCTCGAAGAAAAAAAGTTGATTTTTCTGGTTTGAAAATTTTTTGAATCGTAAGAAAAGATCTTCTAAAAACCTCGAAAATGAACCTAAAGGATAATACCCAATACAGCAAGTAACAATATTGGTAATCGTCTAGAACCCACAAATACCATTTCGCGGCGCCACGAAATGACAGAGAGGGGAGGAGACTCGGGGAAGCCGTCTTCCCAGAATCAACGCCAACTCGCTCAGAGAGAAAAATCACGGGACAAACGACAAGACTAGCCAGCTCAGCTTAAACCTATTTCAAGTTTATTATGTATCCGGAGATTCCTCGTTTTAGCCCCTGCTGCGGAGCTGGCTGATCCAATCATTTTTGGAAATGAAAAAGGGAAATTTCATAAAACACGCATTCTCAGTAAAAACTCAAAAAACAAGGACAAAAAAGGAGGCAAAAATCGTTATCATCTATCATAAGCTAGTGACACCCTTATTTCATCGAAGCTCTTTTGTAAGAAACCGTGCCGATTCAGTTATCATGGCAAATTCAGTGAACGATGTTCGAGTGATCATTTTTTATGTTTTTCGATTTTCTGCTCCACCTAAGCGAATTGGCCCCCGATTATGACTGAATCATGTATTATCCCTCCCCTGGTTCTCCTTCTTTTATAAAATCCCCGTCGGAAAATTGCGTGACCCAACGTGGCTTTGAGAAATTAAATCATGTTTTTGCGATATCATGTAACGAACGAGAATGAAATTTTTATAAATTGTTTAGATAGGAGATTTTAGATTTTATAAAGCTGTTAGAAACCCGCTAGCAATTTATAAACGAATTGGATCGAAGGAAAAAAATCTTGAATTGGTTTTGACCATAAGAGTATTTCGACTATTATCCTATTATTGTATATTGAAAGCCGCGTAGCGGCTTTTAGAAAAGTGAAGCCGCAAAGCGGCTTCGAAAAATTATTTTTCTAATTATTTTGTAATTTCTGGCGAAGCCGCTTCGCGGCTTCGTTTTCAAAAAAGCCGCTACGCAATATTTCAATAAGAAAATAATAATTTCAATAAGAATCTTTAGACCCTGACTCAGGCTTTTACACAAGTTTTTGTGCTCAAATTAGAGCTGTAGACTGAATTTTTGCCAAAAATAAATGAATTTAGATTATTCATCCAATTTTAAACTCCATGAAAAACGCGTAAAATCCGCTCTTTTAGCATTGCGGAATGTCACCCCTCTAAACAGGAAGTGGACATTTGCAGTCAGCTCAACGTGTCTGAGCGGGTTAAGGATGTCCCTCGTTCACGTGATTGTTTGAATTGCTCCCTCTTGGGCTGGAGAAAATGCAATTAACCCGTGCAAGAATCGGCGAGTAAGGAGCTCCTCGAAATTAATTCAGCCCTGGAGTAATTTCCCCGACCGCGTTAAATTTCCGATGATTTAACTCTTACGTGGCCCCCGTTACTAAACCAGTGACTTTTTCGGGTTAATGACAGATTATTTTTTTCACCGAAACTTTTCGTTGAACGAAAAAAAGATGCTCTAAAACGTGATTCTGAATTAAAATGAGTCTAACTCTATTTCTTGGTTTTCAAATGGAAAATTTTTAGATTTGAATTTCTTCGTCATTTTTCATGCGTGTGCGAAAAGGTTTTAAAAGCCACAATTTGATCTGAGAATGACACCCAATGACGGGCAGAGAAATTAGCCGTAACCAGCCGCGCGGCACCCGACAATTATCAATTCATAATTTTGGCCAGAGATCGTTTTTCTAAGTCGTAATTGTTGAAGCTTTATTTTTGGTTGAGAAGCCTTTATTACTGACGCTCAGTGCTGTCGGACCCTTAAATCGATATTTCGCTCAGTACAGTCGAGAAGCCGCTTGCGGCTTCAAACTTTTAAATTGAGCCGCGCTGAGCGCGGCTTTTTTAATTTTAACGCCGGAACGCATATACGACCCATTTTTGGGTTATACGATTTTGCTCATCAAAAAACCCATATTATATTTGATATACGCATATAATATGACCACGCTCAAGTTATATTTTTGTAGCTTAGAGTCCGGTTATAATATATAAACCCGGAATATTATTCTCTTTATGCCCAAATCGAGACAATATTCGGTTAAAAAATGGTCAGAAATTGGCAAAAATGGCCATGCGTTCCGGGGTTAAAGCTAAAAGCCGCAGGCGGCTTCTCGATTGAACAGAAAAAAAATTCGAAATCGACCACTGATGGCGCTCTTCTCCAAACAGCGCCACCGAGCGTCGAAGATTTCGAAAGCTTTTCGTCTTTTTGTAAAAACCTAGTGAACTTGTTTTAGGTCCGAAAAAAAACGGAATGAGTCTTGTGTTATGTCAATTTTCGGGGTTCGTTGTTTCATCAAAAAACTCGGAAGCGCCTTTCACGCGGTTTTCGTGACTCTTCTAGTGACTAGCGAAAAGGCTTTTTTAATAAGGTCAATTAGCGATTAGGAGCTCCAAAAATTAAAAATTACGGAAAAAGGAACTTCTTAAAAAGGGGGAAAATAGACAATAATTAAAAAAGAACAAGTGATTTTGCTTTGATTTTTTGTGTGTTTTCGAAAAAGCAAAGGAGCAATTAGCAGATTTCAGGGAAGCAAAACATCATTTAATTAATTACCGCTGCGGATGTAAATAATGAAACAATCTTTTGAATCATATTTTCAGGTCAAAATACGAATGTAACAACAATAAATGGAGTTTGTGTTACGACTACAACGAGCTCGCCGGTCCAGCTCTCAAGAACCTTCCAAGAACAAAACTGGTCAAAGTCGCCCGTCAAAAAATCAGAACTCGAAGAGACCAGCAACTGCTCAAAAGTCGAGGAAAGATTTCGATGATGTCAAGAGCGACTCAGAGGTGCACAGACGATCCAATAAAAGTTCAAAGGTAAAACCAACTTTTTTATGATTTACACTGTATTTTCAACAGTAATTTTATCCCAAGTCGTCAATCTTGGGGACTGGGCTCGGCAACCTGTATAGAAAACCTGAGTCAGGCTTTGAAGAACTAAAATAAAAAGCTGCAAAGCGGCTTTTTTAAATTGAAGCCGCAGAGCGGCTTCGCATATTTTTAAATCACAGAAGAGTGATTTTGTTTCGAAGCCGCGATGCGGCTTCGTTTTCAAAAAAAGCCGCTACGCGGCTTTTCATTTGAGCTCTTCATGTCTCAGTTTTTTTACACAGGTTGTGGTGCCCAGCTTTTGGAGGAGCTGTGTTTGTAGACTTTTTTTAGTAAAGAAAACGGTTGTCAAATAGGCAGCTGGGGATATAGCAACAATCTAGTTAATTAAAATTTGACGCTGATCAATTTACACTCAAAACTTCCCCCGATGAACGGATGCGTTCAAAACTTACGTTTTCAAGTCCCTTGATGACGCAAGAGACAAAATCGGAGCTTATCGTATTTCCGCAAAATAGAAAAAGTTACCCAGTTTCAATCAAATGAAATTGAGTTTGAGCCGAGTAAATTTGCGTTAAGGCTTCTAAAAAATCGAAAAAATTATTATGTTTGGAACATCCTTTTTCTTGCGCGATCCGTAAGTTATGGAAATCCTCACGTAGAGATAAGCATCATACAAACTCAACCGCCGTAATTCATCGTTTTTCTCACTCCTTGGTTTGAAAAATTTTTTGTTGTATTTGCTGCTAACAATTTGTTGGAAATGGAAATAAAAATGAGAAAAATTAAGTAGGCGGCTATTTTGCCCGTGATTGGCAAAAAGATCTAATCCAGGCTTTTTATTGGCTAAAAATCCGAATTTTCTCGTAATTTTTTTGAGTCGATTGACGCCGCTAGCCGGATTCTCAAGGTGATAAAACTAGTGAAATTTTTTAACATTTGTTCAATTGAAAATCGATAAAAATATTCACCACGATTCCAAGTAATAATTTGATTTATGATTCTTATCTCTCAAAAAATAAAAAATCGTGAACCCGATGAACTACAGTAACCTGAATTATGAACCGTGAGGTACCCCAGACCAGCTGTTGTATAAAGCCCTTTGCGAAAACAAAGTTCTGAGGCCAGAGTGCCCTTAGAAATCAAAAGCCACAGCGTGAGTCCACGCTTTGAATTTATAAAAGCTCTTCATAAGCTTTTCATTACTTTTTTCTTTTTTGAGTTTCGTGAATTGAATTTTCATTCTTTCTTCCCCTTTCTTTCGATTTTGAAAAAAATCTTGAACTCGTGACCTGAATTAGATTGGATTAGAAAAGCTGACTGCGGCGTTTTTGATAAGCTGGGTCGAGCTTTGTGTTATCTAAATTCGAAGTGGTACTACTATTCGACACGTGATCTATCAAAGAGAGTCAGCGAAAATTTTTCGAACACGCGGAAAGCGGTTAACACGCTTGATACCTGCCACTGCGAAGGTACAAATTTCGGTCGAGCAGATAGCTACATCACCGGCTACAAACGATCAGATATCCATTCTGGATAAGAAGAAAAAGCGGCTCAGAGTTTTTTCACTCCTCTAAAACACTCTAAAGAGGGCCATTTTTCTTCTAAAAATTTCTTCTTCGAACTTTTAAAATTGTTCGAGAAAAAACGTGAAAAAAGGGGGAGACTACTAGAAAATCAATTTTCGCTGAAATACGCGACGAGCCGTGAAATTCTTCTGTTCTAAAGCTTACTTCGGCCAGGTAACGGTGACATATTTTGGGGAAGAGAATCCATTACGAAAACGCCCGCGTCGCCTAAACAGACTTATTCCGTACCTCCTCAAGATAACAATTATTTTTCAAGAAAAAATTTAAAATCAAGATGTTTTTAAGGCTTTATTTCAAAATTATATTGTTAAAATTAAATTTAATATTTATTAAATTATAATTTTAATTATTCTTTAAAAAAAAATTTTTTTGATTTACTTTAGATCACGTGAGGTAGCACATGAGGTTTGTGATTTCAGTTCGAGTCTGAGAAATTTCTTTTCTCGGCGGGAGAGATCAAAGGCGAGCCCCCGCCGCTCTGAAAATTGAAAGCTGGCTTTGTCCACTTCCGTGAAATCGAGACAGACCCTGGGAGTCGCAAAATCCGAGCCATTCTGAAAAATAGAAAATAGAAATTTGTTGTTTCTGCTGATTTTTTGTTGTTTTCTGAGAAAAAGAGCCGAAAATTCAGAGATTTTTTTAAGAAAAAAAAACGAAAAGACCGATTTTCAAGGTAAAAAAATTGTAAAAAAAAAATTTTGTTTTCGTTGGAAAAAATTTTCTTCTCGAAAATTTACGCTTGAAATTATACAATGAACAGATTTTTAAACGAAGATCGGCGCAGTCAAAAGCACGAACTCATAATACCGAATTCCAATGCCGCATTCTTCGAGATTATTTTAGAGCGCTGAGGTGCCCATACTTGAAAGGTTATGTATTCATCACGTGTATCGCGACAAGGGGCAGGCCTTCTTTTCTAGCAGTTCAGTTCGTAGATTCCTTTATCGAGGTTTTATCTATTCTAGGAGAATAAAGCTAAGAAATGTGAGAAAATAAAGTGGAACTTACTGAAAGAGGGGGAGATTTGCATATGTTAAGAAATGCAGACAGGTGTTGAAAATTATAACCAGAGTGACTCCCTTATGAAATTCAAAAAGAAAAAAAAAATGGAATGTCGCGAACAGACCAAAAATGCGGACTTAACCTATTTATGCAAGCGCATTTTTGGATAACCAATAAGACCTCTGTATTTGGCTTAACGGCCAATCAAAACCCTGGTCCATAAAATCACTTCCATAAATTGGGTTAGCACAAAAATGCTACAAATAAATCAAATTTTCGCAAAAAAAAATTATGAAATCTGATTGGCCCACGCGCCAAATTTGGTGATCTGATTGGTCTAAAATTCAACCAAAGTTTGGTTTCGTTTTTAACCCTTTTCTCGTTGATCCTTTAGTAAAATATTCGACAGTAGCCGATTTAAACTGTACCAATGGATAAACCGCCTGAAAACTTTCAGTAATCAGCCACTCAAGCGGGCCTTGAGAGCTGTGTGAATGAGATAAGCTAGCGCTATTATCCTTTATTAAAACAGAAAATCAAAATCTCAAATTTTCAAGCTTCAAAACTTTCAAGCGCTCACAATTTGCCGGATGCGGCGTTGAATCAGCAGATTTTCTTAAAGACACGAAATACAGATGTTCAAAAAAGGGCTAGAAACGTAGCTCAAATTTGAGCTCGGCGCAACCGCAAGTTCTAATCTGCTCGCAGTTGCTGTCAGCTAAGATAGACCGCCCTGTAAATTGCTTCCGAGCTGCCCATAACACTATGCTACACGTTTTCGAGCATCAATCAAATCTGTCACATGAAAACTCGCATCTTCTTGCATTTCAAAATGGCGAATCAAATGAGTGACTTTCGTTAAAAAAAAACCAGGTTGTCAGAAAATTTTGAGTGTTTGTTCAAGGAATCCCTTGAGAAGAATCGTCGTCAACGTAACAAAAATACGAAAAAGGGGATCAGGCATTGCCTGTCAAAATATTCTTGCGCAGAGTTTTTGCGTTTTTCAGAAATTTTCGCTCAAAGAAATTTGAACTCAAAAAACATCTCCTTCAAATTCGCCTTTGAAAAAGCTTCAAAAATCGAGAAGCCGCTTGCGGCTTCGAGTCAAATCATGATTATGCCGCGCGCGGCTTTAAAATTCCTTTTGGCTCGAAGCCGCAAGCGGCTTCTCGATATTTTTAGTCTATCCAAACAAGGAAATTTTATGAGGTCAAATTTTTCGCGCGAATATTTCTAAAAAGTATTCTTATCGCTAATTTATCCAAAATTTCGCGTGAAAAGCAACAGTTTTAAATCTTGATAACATCCCGTTATCCAGCGCGGATCAATATCAAGTGCGTGCCCTGCTAAGATTTACTGCCCAAGGCGCCAGCGCGGCCCTATTCGCCGTCGTAAAATACGCGATAACTATCGACCCAGCTTATAAAAAATATGACTTTCATGGGCAATTTGCGTGCAAGCGGAGACAGCAACGATCATTTTTGAGCAGACTAATTGCAAAATGCATGAATCGGTTTTGAAATTAGCGTTTTCAAAGCGGAAAATAAATGATGCAACTCACGAGGAGTCAAGTTCAAAATTCTGGATCATCCAGGTTTTCTACTAAAATAAGCCCTTATTCAGTGAAGAAAGTCGAGAAGCCGCTTGCGGCTTCGAGCCAAACAAAATTTGACCCGCGCGAAGCGCGGCTTAATGTCTTTTCGCTCGAAGCCGTAAGCGGCTTCTCGACTTTCTTCGCTGAAGAGGGGCTTATTTTTGCGGAGATTGCTGGAAACCATTTTTCTGAAGAGTTCAAACGCGATGTGTATAATTAGGTTAGCCAAAGTGGGCCCGATAAAAGCCGCCTCCTTGAGTCCTTGAAAATTATATTTTCCCTCGCAGCGGGGTTGTTTCTTTTTTATGATATCTCTTTTGGCCCTTGACCGTTTTACCGCAGCGCTGTGCGTCCTGCCGCGTGATCTCCCGCTGCGTCGATTCAAAAACTTTCCAACATACCAAACCAGGCGCCTCCTTCTTTTTTATTTCTTCTTTCCGTATTTAATATTCTGAAACCGTTGATTTTTATTCAAAAGAGATTTTCAAGGAAGAGGATCTTTCAGCGAAAATCAGCTTTTATCGAAAATTTAGCAAAGTGACACCCTTATTTTTTTTCCCAAAAAATTAACCCGTCGTAAAAACCGTAACGCTGCGGCGCGGCGCTAACGGGTTAACCCCCCTTTCACGCATGACCTCAAAAAGAAAGATCGAAACATGCCCCCTCGCCTGTCCTCGACGGATTTACTCGCTTCCGGCCCTGTTTCAACAAAAAGATAATTGACACCCTAACGAAAATTTGAAAATTTGAAAATTTCCATTTTTTGCTGCTGAAAGAAAAAGATCCGAAAACAGTGAAGAAAA